TTACAACATCAGCAGTTTCAGCGTCTACTGTTCCAGTTTCAACATCTCCTGCAATTTCAACATCTCCTGCAGTTTCAACATCTACTGTGGCAGTTTCTACACCAACAGTTGCAGTCTCAACATCTACTGCAGCAGTTTCCTCATCTACTGCTTCAGTTTCATCATCTGCAGCGGTTTCGACAACAGCTGCTTCAAATAGATTTTTAAGAAAGTTAATTGAGATTCCAAGTTTGGAGCAAGGAGCGAGTGGAGTGATAGCTCATGTTACTAAGACAATACAATCAGCATTGAGTGGAAATGGAGTAAGTGGTTCAGCACTTGGATTAAATAATTTGGATGATGCAAGAACAACAATTGAAGGTATGGTAAAGACTATTCCATACACACCGGGAAAGAATTCGAGTAATATATTATTAGTAGATGGAGTTTCACAAATAGTTAAATTACCAAATGGAATAGATAGTAAGAATTTACTTGGAAATATTACATCACCAACGGAATCACTTAATTTACAGAATATTACAAATCTAACAAATGGTTCATTAAGTAATATTACAGAGAAGATTTCAAATAGAAATGCTACATTAAATAATGAGAATTTAGTGGTAAATTCAAACTTTCAATCTTTAAAAAATTTTACTTCAGCTTTAGAAGGTAATAATATCACAAATAATAGTTTGAACATGAATAGTACTTTACTAACAAACTCAACATTAAATAAATTGATTAATGGTAAATTTAACACAACTGATATTTTTAGAGGAATTGGAAATACCATAAATAATATTTCAAGAAGTATTAAAGATCAGAATGAAAATGAAATTGAAAATTTGAATTAAATCTTTAAGTAAGATTTAGTTATTATTTTTTTTTTCATTCCTCCAATACTCAGAGTAGAATAGCATAGATTATGAGAAAAGAAAGAGTAATTCCTTTTTTTTCGATTTTATGTTATATACTGGCTTTCTCAAAATCTCAAGGAAAATCACTTTCTTTCTCTAATCATTTTTTTTTCTATTTCAAAAGGCCATCAATTTTACCATTAAATAACATCCATAAATAAAACTTTCACTACCACCACAAACACTACTACCACTAACTGCCACCTCCACCACTACCACCTCCACCACTACCACCTCTATCACTACTACCACCACTACTACTACCTCTACCACTACTACTACCACTACTACTACCACTACTACTACCACTAACTTCCACCTCCACCACTACCACTACTACCACCACCACTACCACCTCCACCACTGCCACTACCACCTCCACCACTGCCACTACTAAATCTCTCTTTAACTATAAAAATGACAATTCAAGTTAAAATGTGGTCTTCCATAATTATTTGAATCCAAATCTTTCATTAATATGTTTAATTTAAAAAACAAATATGAACCCCAATAATATTACTACTATATTTTAAGTCAAGTTTGCATAAAAAAACAAATACATATAATTTATTTTTAATATTAAATAACACTTAATACATTCAGATTATTTGAATTATTAATAATGAATCAAATATTAAAGAATTATTAAATTTCTTTGCATTTTAAACACGAGTTATTTATATAATATATATTCTAAATAAAGAAGAAACAACCAATTAAAAATAAACTAGAGCTATTGCTCATTTATGCCTTCGCCATTTTTAGTTATTTTTTTTTCTCTTAAGATTGATTTAAATGTATATAAATATATAATATATAATATATATATATATATATATATATATATATATATATATAATATATATATAAAGTTAAGTTTGCAATCTTAACGAAAAAAATCAAAGATATTAGAATAAGGAAAATATAATTTTGTCTATTAATTTATGTACTTTTTATATACATGCAATAAAAATAAGTTTGAATTGTGCAGTACATTATGTTTTAATACTTTTTATATACACATTTTATTATAATCAAATTACATAAAATACCAATTAAATTACAACTTTATTAGACATTTTTTTTTTTTGCATATATTGCTAAACAAGCTTAAACAAAATGGGGTATTATAACAAACAAATCTATATCAAATTTACATATCTATTTTTACTCGTGTATTATCACTACATGTAAATAACATATATTATTACATGCAGATTAAATTTGCATGTAGTTGCCGCTCAAATACATAAAAATATGTTATAAGAATTAAGCCAGAAGCTTATTAATACAAATAATCAAGTTAAACAAATTTTAATTAAATTTCTTTTTCATTAATTTAACAATTAATTAGTTAAATTTAATATTATTTAGGATTGTCTAAATGTGAATTCACATCTTTTGAATTGGAAATTTGAGCTTCTTTTATAATTGAACTATTATTAGTTGGATCTTGCATTACAGATCCAACTGGTGCTCCTGTTATTATTCCTATTCCTGTTCCCATATTTTTGGCGCCAGAAAAACCAATCATAGGATTTCCAATTAATTGCTGTTGCTGTTGCTGTTGCTGTTGCTGTTGCTGTTGTTGTTGTTGTTGTTGCTGTTGTAGTAGAAGTAGGTTCAACATGTCTGCTCCAGGATTTCTATTTAGTTGTTGGTGATTTTGAAAAGCAAATGGAGCTGTATTCGCTAAAAGTTGTTTCTGTTGCTGTTGTTGCTGTTGCTTTAACTGTAGCTGAAATTGCAGTTGTTGCTGTTGCTGATGATGTATTAACTGTTGTTGGAATAAATGTTGAAACTGCAAAAAATTAGGGAATGCTTGTGGCTGTGTTTGAATTGGAGTTTGTGCAAAGACTCCTGTTCCTCCTGTTGTAGCTCCCGTTGTTGCTCCAAGTCCTGTTGCAGCTTCTGTTGAAGTTCCAAGACCTGTTTCTGCCCCTGCTCCTTTTGCTACTCCAGTTCCAGTTCCAGTTCCTGTTCCTGTTCCTGTTCCTGTTTCTGTTCCTGTCTCTGTTTCTGTTTCTGTTGTCACTCCTATTCCTGCACCAGTTGTTGCTACTGTTCCTATCCCTAGCCTAGCTCCTGTTACTTCAGAATTCAATCCTTTTGAATTAAGCATTCCTAGAGCTAAAGCACCATTATTCAAGTTATTTTCTCCCATTGATGTAAATCCTCCTGCTAAGTTTTTTGCTCCAGCATTTGATAACTCTGTATTCCGATTAGTAATATCAACGTTTAAAGATATCTCTCTATTATTTTTTCTTTCCCCAGCTGCATTTATACCATTATCTAAACGGAAATCCTCTTTAATAGACGATTCTCCAACTGCTTCATTCTTTTCTACCTCCTTCTCACCTTGCATCTTTAAAATAGGATAAGAATTAGCAGTACTTATACATCCTCCATAATTACTTATACTTGTATTACCCGAATTATTTAAGGCAATACCATTACCCAATAACGTATTCATAATCATTTGATTCAAAGGATTTGCCAGCCCTCCAACTCCATTAACTCCTCCACTCAAATTAATTTGCTGAGAATTCCTTATTTGCTCCTGCAATGTTTGTTGAAAAACTAGTTGTTGCTGCAAGTATTGATTCATTAATATGTTACTCCAAGTCTGCCCGTGATTACTCTGATTATTCATATTTGTTGCATCGTTTGTATTACTACCAGTACCGGTATTATCACTATTATTTATATTCTTATTGCTGGTACTATTCAAATTATTACCACTATTCACATTATTGCCAATATTCATATTATTACCATTCACATTATTATTGTCACCTATCAAAGATCCTCCTACTCCATTATAATGCCCAAAAGTTGTACCCAAACCTCCAAACAATAAGCCTGGTGAATATGTTCCTCCCAGTCCCAGACCACCTATATTAGGTATTCCAGCCATTCCTGGAGGGCCACCTGTACTTTGTAATCCTCCAAGCCCTGAAAAATCCTGAGCTACATTGATACTATTATTGTTACTACCACCATTTGCACTTACACATCCATCAAAATTACCATTTTCTCCTGTTCCTGCTCCAACCACTGTTCCTATTGTTCCTCCTATTACTCCACCCATTACACCTCCATTACTTGTATTATTGTTTCCACTGATTATGTTGGTGGGATTCATTACATTAGAAACTCCAGAGTAAATACAACTATTCGGTACTTGCAAAGGTTTCAAAGGATTCATAGAAGATGAAACATTTCCACATGCATCAATAGGTTGAAAACCTGCCATCATTGGAATCGTATGATTATTATTTTTTGGTAATTGTCCGAAATTTATATTACTCATATTCATATTTAATAAAGCACTTGGTAACTGATTTAATCCAGAAATTGAGTTGTCTGACATAAAATAACTACCAAGAATTCCATTTCCAGATCCGTTTATACCGGTATTATTATTACCAACATTACCTATTAAATTATTCATATTATTCATGCTATTAGATAATGTATTAAAATGACTGGTACACATTTTATTATTACTATTTCCTATATATTCATCCATTAATTTTGACATCTTTCTGTTTTTATTACCTCCTCCGTTTACATGATTATGGCTATTAATGCTATTATTCGCATTCAAATTAATATCATTCAAAATAGTATTACTATTCAGTACATTAACATTTAAGTCCCTAGACTCCTTGATATTTGAACCACTTATTCCTAATCCTGTTGATGCTCCTGGACCTGATCCTACTGCTGCTGCTGCTCCTCCTTCTACTGTTCCTACTGCTACTGCTCCTCCTCCTCCTGGACCTGCTCCTACTGCTCCTGATCCTCCTCCTCTCTTACGTCTTCCTTGTTTTGGTTTCTCATTTACTGATGATTTTGACGCCATAGTATTATTCAAATTATTTGCTACTTCGAGATTTCTTAATTTAATATTTCTACCAGCCTCAGATAATGAAACATTTGAGACATAATTTGAAAGATCTGAAGATAATGAATACTCTTGCTTATTTGTAGGAGATATTGTCAAAGAATGTAGTAATGAACTATTACCACTCATTCCTCCACCTATTATATTATCATCCATGAATTGATTCAAATATAAGTATACCGATACCTTGAAATCATGAATAGATATTCTTGGATCTAAATATGACTTATTCAAAGATTCCTGATCCATATATTTCTTATGATCAAATATTATTGGAATATTACTTGGAATCTGTATGTTTGAATTTCCTTGCTTATTCTGAATATTTATATTATAAAAAGGAGAAATTATTGCATTCATAGTACTTGGTAATATATATCCATTACTCAAATTATCCATTGTATATCTCTTATTTGTATTCAAATAATAATCATCATGTATTCTGAACAAAAACTTATATATCAAATCATCATAAAGTCCCCAATCTTCTTTATTATCTAATCCTACTAATCCCATACAAATTTCTCTTTTTTCTATAATTGGAAGCCTAAATAAAGATGATGGATTATAAATCATCCTTATTTGTGATGATCTTGAAAGAAGCCTTTCAGTATACATATTCATATTACCAAGAGAATCAAAACATGATCTCTTATAAAAATCTCTCATTAAATTATTATATGTTGAATCTATTGTTAAAGTATTCAATATTTCATCAATTAAAAGCTCCCTATAAGAATTCTTCTTATATTTAATAATCTCCATACATCTTGTAGTACTAACAAGACTATTCCATATGATCATTCTGTCTTTCTTATTAAATTCATTTATTTTTTCCATTTCATCTTCTTTTTGATTTTCTTTAGTATTTTCTATTCTTTCTGTTTCACCTTTTCTATGAATAGATATTTCATCCTCATTTATAATTAGATCTTTTTGATCATTACTATTACATAAATCACGCTCATGTATTACATTAAACTGATTTTTACCATGATTACCCTTGTAATAATATACTAATCTCAAGATCCTCTTAAATCCTAATGTATATTTATACTTATAATAAAAATCTATACAGTCTTTAATAGTTTTATGCTCCATAAAAGATGCTATCCTCCTAAAGTCTTTTGGATACATTAAATACTTTTCAATAAACATTCTTATTTCAGAATAATTCCATATTGTATTTCTATTCCTTTCTTGATATCTTGGATCTTGAACCTGATTATTCTTATTTATATGTATTATCCTTACTGGTTGTATTGGATCTTTATCATATACATTATATTCTATTTCTGCTGGAAATCTAAAAATACTATTTTCAAACCATAATGGAGATGGACCTATAAAAGTTGATGATGAACTTGCCATCTGTACCCATTCTCTTTGTGCCTGCTTTTGATGTACTATTCCTTTTTCTCTTTCTCTATTTTTTTGAATATTTAAACCTATATCTTTTTCTTTTTCTTTTTCCTTAACAGAAAGATTAATTTCTTTATATACTTTAGGCATTCCCATATTACCTATTCCTGATGGTCCAGATAAAGTTCCTAATGAATTAGATATATTGTAGTTACTAATATTAGATAATGTTGCAGAATTAGTATTATTAAGATTTAAGTTACTTGATGATAAATCAGATTTCATAGTAATTAAATTCTCATTTGAGTTAAATAATGATCCTTTTTCTTTATAATTAACATTCTTTTGATTATTAAAAGTTCCAACATTTCCTCCAGTCTTTGCTGAGTCAAATAATGACTGAGATGTACTCACTGATAGTAATGAACTATGATCATCACATCCCGTAGCATTATTTGAATGATTAGAAGAATCATTAGAATTTCTTGTCTTTCTAGTTTTATTCTGACCTAATGTTACTACTGTTGATGCTGATATATTTGTATGGTTAGATATATCAGAAGTATTAATATCAACACCTGCTCCTCTTTTTCTCCTAGTACCAACTACATGACTTGCATTATTTATAGTTTCTCCCAAATACAAATTTGATATAGTGTTATCATTATTAGTACGGTAATTATTTTCAGTTAAATATTGATCATTATTACCCATATTATCTGGAAATTTGGAAACCTTAGTATTGTTGTTATAAAAGATCTTATGATGATTATTTCCAGTATCAGATAAATCATCCAATACTAATGCTCTATTTGATGTAGTAAAATTCAAAGGTGTTTGTATATTTTGTAAAGACATCATATAAGTCTTTGATATATCATTACTTTTACATTCAGGAAGAAGATCTAAAAACTTATGGTATACTTTAAATCTGAAATCATGTTTGAAATAACCAATAGGAAGAGGTACAACTTGATCTGGATGATCAATTGCTCTTAATGGTAAACATCCCCAAGTAAAATTCAAATTATTTGGACTATTTAAGATCTCGTTATATGTTAAATATCTTTTATAAGAATGATATACAAGAGGTAAGGATCTTTTAATATTATAAAGTTCTCTTCTAATCATAATCTTCCTTTTTCCTATATGTTTTTTTACTTTTTGAATATTTTTAGAATATCCAAATAAATTAATTGGATGGTAAAAATCACCATGAATTGGTCTTAAAATACTATTAATTAGAGATAATTCCTTCTTAAGATCAATTTCTTTGATAGAATTTTTTAGATCTTGTATTGGATAACACAAACTTGTATTATATGGCATTAAAGAAATATATTCAGGTATACCGAGAATAATCTCTATATGATCTTGTATTTCTCTATTAATAACTAGATCATCCTGATAAATAATAATTGTTTGAATCTGAGGATTATCTTGACCTAAATCAGATTCAAGAAAATTGATTTCATCAACTAAATAGTTAAAAGCTGAAATAAGAAATGGAATTTGATCTTTACTTATTTCTTGGTTGTTGTTTTTCTGATGCATAATTATTTGATTAATCTTCTTCTTAAGAACTTTCAAGGAAGTCAATCTTTCAAGGTTCTGTTCTTTGAGCTTTTTAAAAGAATGAATAATCCCAAAATCGTCTTTAAAAGTATCAAAATATGGATTTTGTTGAAAATTTTCAGAATGAATTTGATCTTTTCTATTTTTATTAATAAATTGTATTCGGTACCTTTTTAGATCATCAATAGATGAATCACTTGGATGATTAATTAAGATTTCTAATTCCTTAACTCTATTAGGAAGAACACAAATTTTAACTTTTTGTCTTGCATTCCTAAAAGTTTGGGTAGTATTTTCCATTACTGAAGCCAAGTAATTATAGTTATGATCATATTCTTCTGTCTGATTATAAATTTCAGAATTTCCCGCCTTTTCAGTGACTAAAGAATTTCCGTGATGATTAGAATTGGATGATGTAATATGACCAAGAACTCGATTCTCAGATGAAATATTGGAATGATCATCTTCATCTTTTTTTGATGATAAATTTGATTGGTTAAAATCTGGAACTAAAAATTCGATACCCCCATGAGTGGAAAAGATAGATTTATGATTATTGACTGAGGCTATATAAGATGATTCATAAGAAGTACTTAAAATAATTTGAGAGGTTTCCTGGGATCTTTTAACAAAATTAATTTGATATATGTGATATATACTGCATAGATCATTAAGAAATGGTCCATTTCCTCCAAAAAGTGAATTGTTAGTTAAATTAGCCGTTTTTATATTACGAATATTTGCTAAACTTAGATTCAAATAGGGGCCTCTTCTGTGATCTTGTGCTATTGGAAGGTGTTGTAAATCATAATTTTCTAGTTCTCCATCTTTATTTGAATTTAAGTCCTTTAGATAATATTTGGAAGCCAAAGTAATAATATCTAAAGGCGTTCTGGATCTTAATATTTTTTCTGCTTCATCTAATTCAGTTTTTTCTTTGGAACTTGTATTTTTCCTTCTAAAGTATCTTCTATGAGTTTTCTTTTTTTTGGTGGTTTTTAAATCTTTGGTAGAACATGAAGATGAATTACTATTAATCATATTTAAAGTAGAACTGGATACTAGATTGATTCCTGCTTCAAAATCTGGAACCTCAGAGACATCTTCTCCTTCTAAATCTTCTAAATCATCATCCATAATAGAAGTTGTCACACAGTTTTCACTAAAACTGTGATTACTGGCCTGAATATTTCTCTTATTTTGTTCCTGCTTAAGTTGTTCAAGTTCTAAGTTAATTCTCAATATTTCATCTTGAAGTTTTATTACTAAATTATGGTCCTTTATAACGTTTACATTACCAAAAATCATTCTCTCTTGTATCTTATCATCTATTATTGGCTCATATAGAGACTCTTCCATAAATGAATGATCTTCCAATTTCCCTCCAGTAAAATCTGATACTTGTTTTAAGTATTTATCCACTAGTTTCTCAAACTCATCCAGTTTGTTAACATCTTCAGCTTTTCTACATCCATTTATCAGACTCTCCAGCAAATCTTCACTGCATTCAGTTTTCATAGACATTTTTCTTCCAGTTGTATATTTATCTGTCAACTTGTAAATTATCTACCTATATAAGTGCATAGAAACATATATAGTAATAAATAAATATATTGTATATATATAAATATATATATAATATACATATATATATATATATATATATCTAAATATATATATATATATATCTAACTTGCAAAATTCTACATATATATAATATCAAAATTTGAACTTACAATCAACCACTACTATTATTTTCTCTAAGTCTTCTCAGCTTCCTTTTAATCTTTAATCCATTAAATCTTGTCAAATACTTTTTATTTTTGTCTTCCCTTTAATTTTATTCCTAATCTTTTTCTCATAAAAATAATCGCAAATTGGCGCCAAAAATGTCGGTACTATATTATTCATTAATACCGGTATGTAAAAATAAACAAGAAAGGCATCATGTCTCGAGATCTAAAAATTTAAGAAAAATTGTTTAGAAAAGAATTTTAATAAAATTAAAAGAAAACAGTTAGTTATTGTTAAAAGAAAGATTTTAAAAATTTAGATAAAAAGGAGAGACTTTTAATTAAAGAAGAAAGTTGTGGTAGAGTTTTGATTTTTTTAATGATTTGTAGTTAAATGATAATTATTTAAAAATTTAGCATCCGGAGTACGGAAATTCAAATAATTTAAAATTGATTACTGTTATTCACGAAACCCAGTAGTCTCTGAAATCTCTGGAAAATTCTCTTGCACTTCCTGTTTAAGATTAGACTTTATAGGCTTGACATTATCAATTCTATATATTTCTTGCTCCTTGTGAATAATTTCAGCACCTGTTTGAGACACAAACACTGCATCATTTCCTTGAAATACTACAGGGTTACTTTCTAAATTCAAGTTAGAATTGTTATTTGCATTCTTTGTTGTGGAAGAGTAACTCCCCACTGTAATATCTCCAACTAAAACGCTATTTCCACCACCAGAACTAGTAATAGTATTATTAACATTAGAACTAGAATTTGAGCTAGAATTAGAACTGGAGTTATTTGAAAGTCTGTAGGAGCTTGTAACTGGGTTTGAATGTAACTTAAGGTTAAGATTCTTTTGGAAATATAATGTTTCATCTAATAAGATACTGTTTTTTGGGCTCGTGTTATTACTTTGTGAGTAAGATTTAAAGAATTGTAAGGTATTATGGAGTCTTCTCTTTAGAGAAATATATTTTTTAAAAAGGATTATCTGAGAAATAAACAATGTTATGAAAAGTATTGCTATAATTAAAGTCAGAAAATGGTTATAAATATAACCAAATAAATTAAGTATAGACAAAGTTATTCTTTCAAATAACTGTATTAAATAACTTATTACTTCACCTGAATAATATTTTCCAAGAAACCTTTCAAGATACCCACCTACTAGATTTAAAACTTGAATTAAGTGAGTGTCTACAAGCTTTAAAGATCTGATCTGATCTGTATTACTTTGTCCATTTGTTGTATTATTCATATTAGAATCCAACAATATATCCTGGAGAAACTTGACAGAATTTGAAAGTCTATATAATGAATCATTGACATGGTCCAAAGTAGAGTTAAAACTTGTTAAAATTGTTCTCTTTTCAAGCTTTATTGCATCTAATTGCTTTTCTAATATTTTAACTCTATCTATTAGAGACAGCAATGGATGTCCCTTTGAATTACTATAATGTCTTCCAGTTAAAGATTCAAAATCTTCATCAAACATATTTCTATTCTCATTATACTTAACTTTTTCTTGACTTTTAATTAGTAAACTTCTACTTTCAGGTTTAATTAACTCAGGTATTGTATTTGTTTCATCATTACTCTTTTTACTAATACCTAAATTAAAATCACTAGAATTCAAATACATTATATGAGGTTTTTGTTCATTTATTGTTCCATGTATACCTCTGTCAATATCCCTTTTCAATAAACGATTTTCAACATCTTTTACACTCTCCTCCATTTCTGACATAGAAATAGAACTTCTTCTATCTCCTCCTCCCATTTCAACTTCCAATCTATTAATTACATTATTTCCAAATATCTGGATTCGGCTTAAATGACAATAGTAATGACCTTCCTCATAATGTGATATTGCTCTTACTCTAATATAACGAACCCAACATGGATTTGAATCGTGAATTAAGTTATTCTCCTTAATATTACCCACTGATGAATCTTTTCTAATACCAACTCCTGGGTGATCTTGACCAATTTTAAGATCTGCCCTATCAGATGCTTTATTTGAAGTTCCTTCTTTAATATCAGAAACCTTGGATCCTTTTGGATCTGTATTATCATCAATATTATACTCTAAATGATCCAAGATGTGATGTCCTTCCTCTTGTTTTACACATAAAGTCTTTAAATCAAACATTTCTTTTGGTAATACTTGATTTCTCCTTAATATACCTATAGGTATCCACTGCTTAGTTGGATATATTAAGCTTCCAGAAATTTCAATTTCTCTAAAAGATGATGAAAAGTACTCAAGTGAAAACAATGCAATATACTCAAGAAATATATCTTCTTGAAACCCAATTACAAACCACATTGGTTTATTACAAGGAACTAATAGATATGAATCTGGATTAGAAGATTGTACAGATTTTGGGCGTAGTACTCCTTCACTCCAAGAAAGAAGCTTACTATTGGAAGAGCTTGAAGCATAATCATAGTGTAGAGCTGCTAATTGGCTCACATAAGTTACTCCCTGTATCATTTTTAATTTGCTTTTCTCTTCTATCTTCTCTTCTCTATTAGTTATTATCTCAGTTTCTTCTTTTTCCTCCCATTTAGTATTTTTGTTTTTTATAGTATCCAAACTACATATTTGTAAATCTGGATTTGGACTCCCATCATTTCTTAACATAATCATACTATCTAAAAATGGTGGAATACACTTCTTTTGGAGTGAAATATGAGAGGAATCTAAGGTAGAAGATAAATTTGAACCAACAGAAGTCCCTATTGTTGATGAAGTACATGAAATATGAGTTCCTGAAGATGTTGGAATTTTAATTATGTCCTTATTAAGTATACTATCCTCAAAGTTATTATTTAACTGATCTTTAATATTTTTAGAAGATCCATATTCATCTGGTAATTTTTTTCTAAAAGATAGCTTAAAGCCTTTATCACCAATTAAAGTAGAATCAGATTCTAACTCCAAACTTTTAGATATAGCCAACATAGACTCTGATACAGCTTTAAGCTTTGCAGAAATCTCCAAATTCTGCTTATTTGGATGCCAAGAACATTTAAATAAGAACTGAGAAGGGTTACAAGAATTCATTTTTATACCAACTTGACGTAAATCATCCAACATAAGTTCAAAAATTCCTCCAAGAAGATATAATGGAAAATTCTCTCTCCTTCTTAACTTTGTCCTAACTATAAGACTGGAAATACTTCCAATATGAGTAGTAATACCATCAAATTCAGCCCACCTATTGTCTTTAATTGACATAATAATCTTTCGTATTAATAAATAGAGTTTTGAATCTTTTTTTAGTATTAAACATAACTTATTATCTAATTGTGAGTTCACTTTTTTTATTTGTCTATGTAAAATTGGAGAAACCCATATTGGTAAACTGTCCAGTCTAGAATCAATACATCCTTTACAATAAGGACATGGTTTTCTTGAAGAAAGTATATCTAGAAGCTGAACAAGTCTATCAAAAGACTCCATTACAGCTACTGATACTCTTGAAATCCTAATTTTATGTCTTCTTAAAATATTGATTCTGCAATCACTTGGATTCAAATTAGTAAAGTAGTTTCTTCCTTGTACTTGTGTCTTATATATGGTGTCTTCATGTTTTAGATGAACAAATTTTCCGTAAAATTGGTTATCTTTCTCATCTTTAACAGAACTAACTATGTTTTTATCTTCTTTTCCAATTAATATTTCCTCATTTTTTCCATTATTTTCATTTCTTTTCGTTATTTTCTCATTTTTAATATAGAATTTCTGGACCATTCCCATGTAAACCCCTTTAAATTCGTAGTCTTCGCAATAACCCACATAGTCGGTGGCTAAACATAGTGGACATATGCTAAAAATTCGACATAGGACCAAAAATATCAAAAAAACTTTACATTTTACCATATATAGTGATATTACAATTTTTGAATTTTTAAACCCCGCTAGAATTTTTTTTTTCTATACCGGTAATACGTGTACATGCAAATATTAAAAAATTATATTTAAAAAAAATAAAATTATTATTTTATACAGAAATTGGTTAATCATTAAAAAAAAATTACTCAATTTAAGGAATAATGCAATTTAGAATGTAATCTTTACTTCATTTTGTAGATTTGTATAAATAGTCATTTATTATTACTGTAATGTCTGAATTTTATCCACTTATATGTTGAATATATATGCAAAAATAATATATGTATATATATATATATATACTTTTATCTAGTTATATGTTTATCCTATAGGTATTAAAAAAAAATTTGATAGATTTGTGATTATTCGTATTATTTAGTAAATACAAGTGAAAGTAAACTTAAATCAAAAATAGTAATAAATTATATTCACAATAATATAAGTAAATATTAATACTTTAGTTTTTTCAGTTTTATTAATCTTTAATACTGGCATTCAAGAAAAGAATTAATGTTACAAAAAAATATCCATAGAAACAAGTACTCTCACTATTGGAATGTATTGAGTTTATTATTGCATTTTCAGTTTCTAATAGCAAGAGTAAGGTCAGATGGAGACAGATTTCAAAATCAAGTTGTCCCAGAGGACCACTCTAGAGCAATAATTGACGTATTGAAAGGTAACTTTGGCTATAATTCAGAATTAAATGGAAACTATAAAGATTCTTTACCAAATATAAATAATGTAGATGGATATCAAAACGGATACTACTCAGATGGAAACTTTGTTGGTATGAGTCCAACTCTGAGTTCAAGCTCTAATTCAAATATTGGTAGTTTTGTTCAATCACAGAATTATAATCCAAGAAATGAAGGTAATATCTATATAAATCCTTATAACAATATAAATCAAAGGGATACTAATAGTAATACTTATGATATAATTTATTCAAATAATCAAGAAAAGAAAATACCTCTATTTTTGTCAAAATCACCTTTATTAATGAATGGAGGAGGGAATTATAAAAAGCCAAACTATAACGTAGGTGATCGGCAAGAAATTAACAAGTACTTTTCTCCATACTCTTCAATCCACTACTTAAAATATTCAGAAGCCCCAGATAATAGGAATTCTAGGTGGACTTGGAATCACATTGAGAAACCAATATTGAGAACAAGCACTACAAGACCCATAGAGTTCAAGCATAAGATTCCAAATATTGATGAAGCTTGGTGGAATGTATCATATAATGTGAGAAAAGAACCACGAAGGGCAGATAATTCAGAAAGTCCTGGACAAAATGACCTGGTAAAAAGCCAAAATGCAGTTTCTAATGATGATATTGAAAGACTAGATTCAAAACCTATAGTTAATCCAGAAGATAAGACCAAAAATGTAGTTAATGATCAGATTCAAAACCAAAATTTAAGTCAAAACCACAACCATAGTCACAACCACCATTACCATCATCATCATCATCATAAACACAGTCACAATCACAAACACAATAGTAGTCACAAAGATCAAATCAATAAAGATGAAGAAAACCACATAGAAGACGAGATTGTAAAGTCTGCAACAGTTGGAGATGTGGTCAATTTGACTCGATTGGAACTTCCTAATCCATATGATAGGAAAGTTGCAATAGATCAACTTATTTCAACTTCATTGAATAACTTAAAGCAGGAAAACTGGTCAATTCCTGTTGAAGAATTAATAAATGCAACCTTTATTCATCCTGGGACTCAACAACCAGATCTAGTTCCAAATCAATTGGGGCCTAAAGTAATGGTTCAAGACTTTTATTGTAATCCTCAGATTCACAAATGTACAAATCTTCAGGCAGTTGGGACTGCTATTGGTGAACCTATTTGGAAGATTTATAACACTTCTACAATTGGGCGAGCTCAGAGAAGAGTTAGTAATCTTTTAGATGATGCGGAGGTAAGTTAAGTTTCTTATTTGTTTCCAGATTTAAAAATTTGAATTTAATGTTAAAATGCAATGATTTTTGATTTCTTTTAGGAACAACTAACTATGGGACTAACTCAAACTTTTATTGATTATATTGAACAGGAGCCGACGGTAAGCTTAGCTCTACTTTTAACATTATTAAAGCGGATTTGGAGTTATAAAAGATTTATTCCATTCCATTTAATAAATTTCTAAATATGTAATTAATAATTCATTTTTTTTTTCAGATTGAGTTATTAGAGTCTATTGGAAAAGCTCCCACAAATATATTTCAAATACCAGAAAATGGTTCTATTAATCAATTCTATGATAATGCAACCAGACTTGGTGTATTTCAGGCAGCAGAATTTATTAACCCACTTCCACAAAATGTAAGTTAATATTAAACTATTAATTGAAGATTGTTTGGTAACTAACTCTTAATAAAACCAGAAAACTGATCAGAAATTTGCAAATGCTCTAAAAAAAGCTGCAATTGATTGCCTTCTTTCCAATTTCACCTTACCAAATTGTAATATTCCTGAAAATAATACTCGAAATGAAGAACTCTATGGCAATTACTCCATATATCAACTCTTTAAAGATCCAAAAGATGAAAAATTACATTAATTTCTTTATCTAATATTTATGTGTATTTTTTTTTAATTTCAATCTCATATTTTTCCAAACTACTTTCTAAATTCACACACATGAAAAATTGAGAAACAGATAATTCAACTAATTAATGAACATGTTACTTCACTAATGCATCTAATTCCTTTAATTGACTTTTAATTTTATATATCATTCCCCTCTCCTTCTTAAGTAAAATCAACCCGGAGATCCAATTTCACCTTTTCTCCTTTTCTTTTCTGTGTATTAATTTAAACTTTTTAATTTACATGGGCGCCATAAAGAATAATATACAATAAGTTTTAGGCGCCAAAGTCTTTAAAGGACAAATAAATAAATCAAATAGAAGAGTAAATAATAGATTAAAACGAGAAAGAGAAATTTGGATGTATATGATTTGCTTAGATTGAAGAATATATTAGAGTTTGATAATTTGGGATTGAATAGAGCTAAGCTATTTTTATTAAAAGATGAAGATAGGTAGAAAGAAACAGATTAAACGTATATTAAAGTATTACAAGATAAATTATGGCTTCGAAGAGCCATATAGACTTTTAAGTAAGTTTTATATAATCTAGAAGGGATTTAAAACATAAATAGGAAAGATTGAAGTGATTAGGTGTTAGTTGGGTAATTGTAATGTGAAAGTAAATTGTTGTTTCCAATTGGGAGTAACACCTACTGATATTATTAGCATTACATTTTCTACTACTATAATTGCCGTCTTTTTCTTTCTTCCTATAGTGATTTATATATTGATTATTAACTCTTGTTTGCACTATAGTTGATGGAACCTTTATTATGGCAGCTCTAAAAAATAAGATACACATTAAAGAACAATTTCCAAAGATTCTTAATGGGAAGACTACCCCCATTATAACAGACTGCATATATAGGGAGATTGAAATGCTCAATAACTTAGAAAACAAAAAAGCTGATTTTTCTGGTGCAAAGCTAATAGCCAGAGGATATTTCAGACACAAATGTGGACATACTTATTGTACTGAAGAGAATTCTAATATTGAACAGATGACTTCTTTTTCTACCAACAGCCTCGATATCTCTTCTGATCAAGAAAATGATGTTGAGAAGAAGGCTTCTTGTGAAACTTCTGATAAAGAAGCTGCAAGCACTTTACGTACATTTGATTCATTTAGATGTATTTTGGACGTTATATCAAAAGATAACAACTCCAAAAAATTCATGGTCGCTTCTCAAGATCCTCTTTTAAGAAAGAAGCTTCATAAGGTTCCAGGAGTTCCTTTAATTTACCTAAATAACCAGGTCCCTATCTTAGAGCAACCTTCCATTGCATCTTATAATCAAAAATCTATTTCAGAAGAGTCCAGAATGGGGCTTCAAAAGTGGGAATATCCCCTAATTCCTTCTTTAAGAGACTCTGCTCAAGGCAATTCTAATGGTAGTGATAGTAATGGTAAAGACTCAAAGTAAGTTTCAGTATTATATCATTCTATATTTTCACCTAACTTTCAAACCTCAATTTTAGAGTTAAAAAGAAGAAACAAAAAAATCCGAATCCTCTTTCCTGCCTTAAAAAAAAGAAAAAGCAAAATACGAGTAAGGTAAACTCTGATAAGAAAAAAAGAGTACGAACGAAAAGAAAGTCTCCTACAAATAGTTGAATTTTTATATTAATAATACTAATTCTTTTATAATCTATAATATATTCATATGTTCTCTCAATTTCTACTTTTTATCTAATTATTTGTTCATTTCTTTGAAATATTTACTTCAAAAAAATATCTATTTCAAGTACAGGAGCCTTTTCTTTGTTAATCTCACCTGCAAATATGCAATTTTACCAGTATCGGTAAAAATTGTAAGTATAGGCGGGAAAATAATTTTAAGATATTTTTGGCCATTAGAGGGAAAAAAAGTATACTAATAATTATATAGTAATTATAAAATATTACATATTTTAAGAAAATAATTAATAAAGAAAAAAAATAAGTAAATAACTAATAAGTTTCAAAGTAAAGCTTATTGTTTATATTTAAAGGATTTTGTTGATTGAATACAGAATTACTTGGTTATCAACGAGATTGAGATTTAATAGGCTTAATTAACAAGAGATTACATTTAAAAAAAATTATTACTTTTTAACTTGTGATCAACATGTTTAAAAAAGGAGTAATTATTGCCAATTTAACAAGTTTAGTAATAGCTGTATTGGTAAGTTGAAAGTTCATGGGTTAGGGTAAAACCTAACTTATATAACACAATTAGAATAACTGACATTAATTTAATAAGCTTTCAGGATGTGCATTTGGAGGAGTAATGCTAGTCCAAAATTGGACTATGTTTGATGGAGTCCTTCTTTCATGGGAACTGACTCCAAAACAACTTTTTGTTACTTTAAACTGCTCATCCAGAAGCAGAAGATTTTTGGGATTTTGTAATAATGGTATTAAAGAGATTAGTGGAAGCTTTGCGAATGTTGTTCAAGCAATTTGTGTTCCTCCAATAAAGTATCAATTCTTGGCAAATTCTTGTGATAGTGTTCTCTCTATGACCAATTATTTGAATCTTATATACTTGGTTCTACTTGCTTCAGCATCTGTTGTGATTATTGGAATAGTCTTCTTAATGTTATACAGTAGAAGCTTTAAGGTGGACAATAATAACACAGATCCTATTAATTCCGAAGTGATCTTGAAGTCAAAACCCAGAATTGGTCTGGCGGTTGCCTCCATTTTATTCAATATTCTTGCTCTATTGGGGGTTTGTTTCTGCTCTGTATTAGTTATTTACTTGAGCCAATCTTCTCAAAATTTATTATCAATCACGTCAGACATTCCAATTTTTAACATTGTACCTCATAGCAGCTCTCTAGGTTGGGGTTTCTATTTGCTTTTATTGGCTAATTCTCTATTAATTGTACATATATTGGCTCTTTTAGATTCTGCAAGAATGGCAAAGAGATTATGGAAATTTAGCCAAGAAGTTATGGATAAATTTGCAAAGAAACAACATTCTGAAATAGTAATTAAAAATACCAATAGAGTACCAGATAAATTCTTTGTTCATAGCTTCTCACCATCTTCAATAGAAATTGAAGGATCTCAAAATACTGGGTCTACTTTTCTACCAAGTTCTGGAGTTATTGGAAGTCGCATCCAAGCTCCTATTAATAGTGAAAACCAAATCCATTGTCAGTATATGCCTATGATTCAGACTCAACCACCATCCCCAGTTTCTCATATACAAACTCAAAATCAAGTTCAAAGTCAGCAATTGTACCCAAGAATTGGTAATACTCCAGCCACAAGATCAGTTTGGGGATTTTTCCCAATTAACTTACTTCCTCGTTTTAATCCATACAACTCTGGAATGGGGAATATTGTGAATAACTGTGGAGATCATCATTGCTATGGACATCAAAGATGCAATCATCACCACCATCATCATCATCATCATCATAATTAAATAGTAATTTTCTGTAATCAGAAAAGATTAACATTTGCAAACCTTAATGAGAACTAGTGGTGACTATAGTATATTTATTCATTCTAAGTCTCACCGTATTGTAATAAATATAATGATCATTATAAGTTTCAATATATTTAACTATTATTATATGGTTTATTAATAATTATCATAAACAATTCTTGTATACAATTTAAAATCTTTTAGTAAATCTTTCTAAATTAGTATCTGAACTCATCATTTTTGATTATACTATTAATTCCATGATCTCTTTCTTCTGTAATATCAGAGTTTCTAAGTCTACAACTCAGACAATCTATTGCTTCAATTCTTATCTTTTGATTTGCTCCTAGTTGAATATTAGTTGGAATTACTCCTCCAGTTTGAGTTTTCCTTATTCTAAAGATCTTTGTCCTACTTGAATCTATATACATTTTCCATTTTCGTTTGTGAAATCTATGAAATATCATTTTCCCTTCCATATTTAAATCTGAATCAAGGTACAAAGGTAAATTTTTGTTTACTCTAGAATAATGATTAGATGTATCCAGAATTTCATGCATTGCTTCACATGAGTTTTCTAATATTTGTTTTGCTATATTAGATCTAATGAACTTTTCCTAGAGTAATGTTACATATTAAGCATGAGGAATGATGGCAAAAAGAAAGTTATTTTTCCCAAGTAACTTTGAAATAAAAAAAATAAAAGTAAACTTACACTTTGTAATTGTTCAAGTACCTCTGAAAGACACTATTTTCAATTTTTGAAAAGAAAAAGAGTTAATTAGTAAGGTGAACATAAATTACAAACTTTTCCTTATTTGAGTTCTTTGTACTTACATGTATTACTCTAGTTTTCAATAATGCATCCTTCATGGCTATTAACAAAGAAAATACAGTATTGAATAACCCTGGATAATAGGTTTAAGTTTAATTAGATAATATTTCCTCGTAATTTACTTCCAATTTGACTAAATATTTACCTATACCGGGCTAAGTAGCCCGCCCAATATGTGGGGACAATTAAAAATAATGAGGAAAAAAATGACATATACAAGAATTTAAAAAACTACCTAATATATTTATTTTTTGACTGACATAATCATTGAACTAATGTCATCATTGCTCTGAGAAGCTTTTTCTAAAAGGCTCATATACTGCATTATATTCGACTTATTAGTTTCTGCAATTCTTCCACACATAATAATTTCCTCAATAATTATGTGAGCTTTGTCTAAGTTAAACATAATGTCTAACTCACACTGGGAGATGTTTTAGTTAGGGTTTAATTCCAATTTAGTTGATAGTATGGAAACTTACCACATTCTCGAAATATTTATCTAGAGTCTCTACTATGAAATGTATAAGTTCATAATATGATAGCTCATTCTGTATATTATTTAAAGGAAGGTAATGGAAGATGAGTTTTAAAGTAATTTTACCAGTTTGAATTGAGATAATATAAGTGATAGTAATAAAAGGTAAAAAGTAAATAGAGATTTTCCATTATGTAAAATAAAAGCTTACCACCATATCAGAGTTCTCAAGTCCCATTATAAAGTATAGTGATGCATATCTCCTAAAAACAATCTATATATAGTTACAGGCAAACCTTTAAGCTTTAGTTATTAAAACGGAATGAACTCACCTTATAATTGTTAAACTCCATAAACGGGCACTGGTTCTCCCCCTTTAACAAGCATTTTCTTATTAGCTGTCCTTCTAGAATAAATCTTTCCTCTTTTGAAACCTGTGCGTAGTATTGACTTAGTCTAATCTGGCCTTGCTTATTTACAAGTAATAGAAACTTAAGCATTCTTCACACAAACTAATGCATGAATAAAAGCAAATTATGTTGAGATTTTTACCTCTCTGTTTTTAAATAACTAATTCCAGAATTTTTTTTTTCTACATTATTTTCATGAGTAAATCATTAACACAAATGTACCCGCGCGCGGGGGTTCTCCCCTCACGAAATTGACAGAAAAGATGCGTAGAGAAAGATAAGCAAGGCTAAGGAAGAATAAAAAATAGAAGTAGGTCTAATAGAAGAATATATAGATAGATGCAAATATAGGAAAGGTTATTGGGCCTAAGAAGCATATCCGAAAATTTTAAAAGAATTTCTGAATGAGTTTATGCATTCAGAAAGTAAATAAATATATTGTTGTGGGAACTTATCAGAGTTGAAGAAGTCTGTAAAGTTCGTAAAAAGAGTAGATGAAAGTAAGTCTAGCAATTAAAGAAGTTGATAAAAGGCTAGTAAAAAGGTAATGCAGTCCTGTGGGCAAAGTTTGAATAATCTGGAAGAAAAGATACATGCAGAACAGGCTATTATATTCAGAGGGAGACTATGAGGACTCTTTTCTAAGCGGAGTTGTTGGCTTGGATGCCGGGTCAAATGTTTCAGGCAATTCTAGTAGAAAGGCCACTCAAGGAGGAAATGGAAAAGAAGCAGAAGCGGGAGGAGTTTATGAGGGAAGAATGCCCAGTAAGGGAAACACATATTATTCATCAGAAATTAATCACGGATTGGGAAGTATGAGTGGTGGTAGATCTTCTGTTGGTTACTATGATCACTTTAATGGAGTTGGAGCTGGACATCTGGATAATGGAATAGGGTCTTTGGGAGGAGAATTGAGGGTTGGACAAAATCCTTGGGGCTGGGAAACATACACAAGCTATAATATGATTGGACTATTTTCTTCACATACCAATAATAGGAAAGTTAGGCCATTTATCTCATCTATTTACTGCGACCCATTTTATGAGCTTCTTTGGCTTGGATGGACAAATGGATTTTTAAGTTCATTTAGATTTCCACATTGTAGTAGATACACAGCATTTCCAGTAGGAATAGCCGATTCAGTATCTGTGGGTGGGCCTGCAAGGGATAATGTGATTTACATGGGATTTCCATCCTCTTCACATTTATATACAGTCACTAATAGTGGAATTGGTGTTTATTCTAGAGGAGGAGCTCCGATATCTTCTAATTCTTATAATACACTAAGTAATGACAAACAACAAAGTTCAAAAATACTATGTTGTGATTCTAATAGGTACCAATCTTATATGATGGGTAGCCATCCAATTATTGGTATTGGAACAGGCAAGGGTGTCTCAATCTTGGATTTGCAGGAGGTGCGTCCAATTCACAGTATTCCATATAATGGGAGTATTAGTTGCATTAAAAGTTCGGCAAACTCCTCAAGTTTCATTGTAGGAGGGGTGAATATGCTTGGGATTGCTGATACGAGACTTCCGAGGTTGGGACATACTATTCAGATTTGCCCCACAAATTCGGGGAATAATGAGACGCTTGTTTCAGGACTAGCTGTTAACGAATATACAGTAGCTATAATTACTAGCTCAATCTCGAGTCGGAAGATAACATCGGATGAGCTTCTGAGCTCAGTTGGTGGAGTTTGTGGGCTTCCTGTACTTGATTTAATTAGAATACATCCTGGAGAAGTCTCTACTTCGCCAGAAATGATGGTTTACAAAAAGAACTTAGATTTAACAAACATGATGAGAGATTCTGTTGTCAGACTATATGATACCAGGAAATTCAGACCAAGGAAGAACGTTTCATTTTCACCAGGACCAATTAATATTGCCTGGAGTGATAATTCTCTGGCTATATCAGCAGGAGCTGCCACCACACCTGATTTTGAAGATTTATATATCATTGGAAATAATGGACAGTGGCAAATTTATCACTCAAACATTGAACAGATGGAGTTTTATGCAACTCCATCTGTTCCTTTATCCAATCTTAACTTTAGCTCTTCCAGCAATTACCTGATATTGGCTGACACTTCTGGGTCAATCCATACTATGCAGAGACTCCATACAACTGGTGGACTGGCCTCCACATCCTCAATTCAAGCAAATACTTCCTCGAGCTCAAATATTAGTACCAGTGGTACCAAGGCAGATCAGCAACATATCACAAGCTCAGGAATAACTGGAGGAGGAGTGAATTCAAGCTCATCCTACAGCCACCAAAACCACCAGCACTCTTTTAGTGTTTTTCATTCCTACCCACTTCCAAATCTTAATATTCCTGGAACAAACATTGGAGGAAATTATAATAAACAGATGAATACCTCTCTCTATAACTACTCATATGTGAAATCAATTCAAACACTAATGGGAATTGCCTCTAATCCAGTAACTAAGCCCGCCACTCATAATCTGGGGCATCCAACGATCCCAAACCTTACTGTGGCACTCAGATATCTTCAGGGACGCCCAGTTGTGGCATATGATTCCCTGAACTCTGTTGGAATTCCTCCTATTCTTGAAAAGCTACACAACGGGAAGCTTAACATTAGAGATGATAGCCTACTTAGCTTTAATAACAAGTTTGAAATTGATCAGATTCGTAAAATACAAACCGATTTCGGCTGGAACACTTATAAATCTTCCGATGAACTGCCACAAGGTCTTTGTATAATCAAAACCAGAACTCTTTCAAGGCAAACGGATTCTTCTCTTGGACTCCATGCCTATGCAACTAGTTTCTCTGGCTCACAAAACTCTGCTATGAGGAGCCCGCATAACGTGGGAAACATGCAAAATTTATTGCATGCAATGGGGGGCACCCATAAGCAGAGTGGAATTCAATCAAATACAAAGGAACAAAATGAAGGTGGAGAAGCTAGGCATGGCCACTCCAGTGGGACTTTGGCATTTTCTCTGGATTATATCCGAGAGATTAGACCAGAGATGGATCTTTATAAGCTAAAAGGACTGGAGTTTAGAATGGTTGACTTTATCAAAGTTGCCATTAATCCTGATACAGCCAAGTACAAAAACAACAACTTAGTTTATGGTTTCCCGTTATTGTGTTTAAGAGGCTCTATGCCAATTTGGTACTACCGAAAGAAAAGAAATTTGTCATTGTACACAGTAGGAGTTCAAGGGGCCCTAGGAGAAACCTCTCACGCAAAGAGTCTTTCTTTAGTGCCTATTAAGTTTCACTACAAACCAAGATTAAATCCCAATAGGCGGGAAAAAATAAAGAACAGAAGGATGATGGGCGGAAATACTTCAAGTGAGAATCCAGGGGTAGGGACTTCAGCACAAAATGGAACACAGTCAGGAGGAGTAGGAACAGTAGGAACTTTGGGTAATATAGGTACCAGTTCGTCACTTCCAAACGGGGGGGATGCTCAGACGGTTTCTAGAACAGAGGAAGACCACTCTTCATTAGGAGAAGGGCTAGTTTCAATAGAATTTGACAACGATACCTTGGACTTTACTCAGCCGTTTTTCATGTTATTTTCTTTTATTCCAAAGCTTTCCTACGACATTCTCCTTGCCCATGTACCAGGCTGCACTTCAGAGTTTTGCCTTGCATGTGAGCTTGTACATCTAACATTCATGATGTATAGTTGCAAGTTTAACTTAAAAAATGGAAAGGGGAGAAATCCTGACTTGTTTCCATGCGTGATTCTCAATTCGATTTATACATTAAACATGCTAAGAACTGTTAGACACATTCCAGAAATTAAACAACTTGGGATAGATTTCGAAGACAGCCAACAAAATCAAATTGGGATTCCTGGAGTTGGAGGACCAAAGTTTGGAGGAGTTGGAACAGGGGTTGGGTCAGGAAGCCCAACTAATTGCTTGTTTGATGATATAAACTTTAATGGTATGGCTTTGGTGAGTCACTTACCTCAAACAGCCTTTAACCAAATTCGTAAGACCGAGATCTTTTGGAAATTCTTTTTAGAGAATCTGAAAAAAGATATTATGAAAACTTACTTTATCCATAATACAGATGGAACAGAAGTCGAGCAAGAAACAAAGGCTTTTGAAGTTAATGACAGAAATGAGAATGATGTACTTGAAAAACTGATAGATTCTCTTTTCAGTATTGAGGTTACAACAATCAGTAGTTGTGTCCAGGCTAAACATGCATTTAAATCAACTCAGATACTAACATATCTAGATATCCCAGCTAGTCATTTATTGGCTCAGAGTTCATTAATGAGTGGTCAGAATTTAGACTTATCTAAATTAAACCAAAAAGATGACCCATCTATGTTCCAAAGGCTAAGATCTGAAAGATTTTTGAAGGCCTTAAATTCTAATTTGCTTAGAATTATTGCTGGAAGAAGTTTCTGTAAAGAATGCGGAACTTCAACAGCTTGCCAGCATGTCAGATGTATCACAAAACTTCCTCAGATTCTTGTTCTTTCTTGCAACATCCAGTCTAATAAGCATTGGAACGAGTATGGAGGAATGTCTCCAGAAGAACACGAAGAATTTGTCAAAAAGAGCCAGAATGTGGGAGGAGGTGTCTCTGGAACCAATCACGAACATCTTCCTACTCCAGAATATTCAATACCTTTTGAAATCCGATTCTCCAAGCTAAGAAAAGGGTTCAGCTCACAGGCAGGGGGTAGTGGAGAAAACAATGGAGAAACCTCTGGTGGAATAGATATTATCCAGGTTGATAAAAAAGGTATATTCACGGAAAGAAGTGCTAATCATGTTGTTGAGCAAGGTAGTGAATCCAAGTTAGGAAAAGAAAGCTCAGAACAAGAGAAATACCAGGAATATGAGTTGGTTGCATTGGTATTCGGAGTTTATCAGGGATGCTCAATTCAGCTTCCATCTGGTACTCATTTTTGTATGTATGTTAAACATAAGTTATTATTTAATGAGATGAATAATACACAAGATAAGTGGTACATGATTAATGGCTCCTCAATTCTTCCTGTGAATAACAAAAATGAGATAATTAATTTTTCATCATGTTGGAAACTTCCAACCTTTTTGTTTTATTCGGATAAGAAAGGAAGTTTGTTGAATTACTTGTTTAGTAACTATCCATGTTTGGAATTCCAACTAGATTTGGACCAAAAAGATATAGACCTGTTGGTAAGAAAGGTTTCTTGTAGTTATAATGAAGAAGAAGAGGCTAAGGATGATACTGATGAAAAGATAAATCAAGAAGGGGAAAAAGATTCTGTAATCAAAGATAAAGAGATACCTAATCCGAGCCATGGTACTGTTTCAGATGCTTTGGAAATGGAAATTTTAGATATTCATGGTATCCAGATTAAAATACCTTGGAGGTATCCAAAAATGATACATGACCATGTAATACAACAATTGGAGTCAATAATAAGGTTAATTAAGAATGAGAAGAATCTTTCAGAAAATCCAGATCTTAGTCAGATTAATGATCAGTTACCATTCACACCTAAAGAACTTTCTAATCTTTGTTTGAATTACTTTATAAGATACCCATTTTCCAAAGGACTTTTGAAAAAGCCAAAAGAAATTGATGAAAGGTTTATAAATACACTAAGTCATTCGGAGTTCATTAAAAATTCCCCTATGGTTGTTGCATTGGATTCAGAATATGTAGCTTTAGATGTTGAGCAGTCTGTTGTAAGGTCTGATGGAACAAAGGAGATATTGAAGAAATCTCAATTATCTCTAGCAAGAGTTTCTATCGTACGCTGTGGAAAAATCTCATTAACTGGAACTAATGATAATGTTGAAATTGATAATAAAAAAGGATTAATAATGGACCATTATGTATCTTATGGGTCAAACAGCCAACAACCCAGAGACTATTTGACAAAGTACTCAGGAGTTAGACCTGGAGACCTAGATCCAAAAACTTCGTCTCATTTTCTGACCAGTAAATTCTGTATACTTAAAAAGCTCCAATTTTTAGTGGATGCTGGTGTTGTATTTATTGGACATGCTCTCCCAAGTGACTTTAAGATCATTAATATTTATGTTCCTCCATTTCAAATTATTGATACCGTTGAGATTTACAGACTTCCTGATGAGAGATATATTAGCCTTAAATTCTTGGCCAAGTTTGTACTTAACAAGAATATTCAAACCGAAGTCCACGATTCCATCGTTGATGCTAAAACTGCTCTCGAGCTTTTCTTAAATCATCTTTCTTTAAAGAAGAGCGGATCTTGGAACGACTTCCTAAGTTTCCTTTATTCAAAGGGTCATTCTATTGATTGGAAAATTGAAGCTATTGAAAATTCAAATTGAACAGTACTAAAGCAGAACAACTGTTTGATCGTATTATTTACTTTAATAACCAAACTGAGAGAAGTGGTAATGCTATTTTATGCCAAACTCAACATACGATCTTCTCTTTACTATGTTTTGCTTTATATAACAATTTTTAATTGCAAAATCATCTGGAGCCATATATAACCTACTGCCTTAACTTTTACCACTGACTTTAACATTCATAACTAGTTTACTTTCAAATATACGCAATTACCCTTCAAAACTCACTAATTTAGCCTTTATATCTTATATTAATTAAATATAAACCAACTAATCATTGATTTTTTTTTTTCTAAACTATTTTTGTATTGTTTTACTATACTATACCACGTTATACCGTTTCTGAAGTTCCACATGCATTCTAAAGGCGCCATTTTTATGGCGGGTTTTGGTGGGTCAATTTGGACTTTAGAGAAAAAAAGTGAAAGATAGGCAGAGAATGAGTAGATTTTACGAACATAAAACAAGATTAAAGATTTGAGCCAAGCTGGACAGGAAAAACTGAATTAAGTTAAGAATAAATGAGAAGTGGAGGAAGAGGATTAATTAGTGATGAAAACGAGGAAATTCCAATAAAATTATTAAGAAAATTAACAAAAAATGAAACAATTTTAAGTCTAGAGTTTATTAAGTTTGATAATACTTTAATCTCTGGAAATATTTCAGGAGTTTTGGACATTTGGGACTTGGAAATCATGAGATGCACTTCAAGCATAAATATTGGATTTGGTTCACCTATTATTAAGACAATATATGATGATAAAAGAGAAATAATATATGTACAAAACAGAAAAGGTGAAGTATATCTAGTAGATCAGTTTGAAAACATAAGGAAAATGAACTTAATAGGCACGGACTATTCCTTAGCAAAAATGATCATTCTTCCTCGTAGTGAGAATGTAATTTTCCCAAGAGAAAATGATTTACTTTTGAAATCTTTGGAAACTTCAAAAAATGAAGAAATTATATTCAACTATCCAACAGAAAAGAGTGACAAACTTATTGATATTGAGTCACTTAATGATAACTCCGTTTTATTAGGATTTGAATCTGGAAATGTAGTCATTTGGGATTTAAGGAAACCAGACTCACATGCATATATGAATAATGTGACAAATAATTCTCCTATACTCTCAATTAAGAGATCTTTTAATCGTCTCTGGATCTCCAGCTTTGACTCAAAACTTAGAATTTTTAACAGAAATTGTTTTGATTATCCCATCAAGGAAATCACTTCCTTGAATGTAATTGATAAAATTTCTGTTCGTTCTGATTCTCTAATTACTGTTACATCCAATACAATTAATACAAGTATGGACATTTTTGAAAATAAATCTCTAGAACGAATTAAAACATTCAAGTTTCACTCTACAGAAGTCAGTTCTATACAATTCTCAAATATCTCAAACTTGTTTGCTGCTTCCTCCAATACTATCTCAATATGGGATTTACTATCCTAGCTAACTTTATAAATACTCTTTTCCTCCATCTTACTAACACCTATAATTATCTACCACTGCATATAATACCTAAATAAATTCATCACTAACTTATGCTTAAATAAGAAATATCTAAACCTAACCAAAAAGATAACTTAATCTTCTACCTTTTCATTAATTAACTAATGATTTATATATTATATTAATATTTTTTACTATTTATTTTAGCATGCATGTTTCCCGCCTTTCCCCACACATGGCGCCTCTCCCACTTCAGAGGCAATCATGTCAATAATTGGGTGGTTATTAAGGTCACTATCAATGTTAGACAAAAGTTCAAGTTGTTTAATTATTTGATTTATTTGTGCATTTGATGGTCTGGAATACGAGATATCAGAGCTACGATTTGAGAGGTTTGAATTTTTTGATTTTTGTATAAGGCAAGGAAATAAGTCTGAAGCTTGAGATTCATCTACTTTCTCTTCAATAATATCTAGATTATTTACATCTCCAGAGTCCTTAATATCTTTAATATCGTCTTTAATGTTATAATAATCTAAAAGAAGTTCTTGATCTTGACTAGGTAATTGTTCTTCAGAAAGGAATACAAGTATAACCCAGTCAAATTCAGCTTGAATCTCTTTTAATCTTCTTTTGAAGTTATTAAAGTTTTGATTAATCAAATGATCACTACTATTATAGTTATCTGTATTTCCATTCTTGCTTTCAAATTCTTTCTTTGCTAAGTTTAAGAATCTTCCCCATCCTTGTTTACTTTCACAAAAGATTATACCAAAAGCTTCATTTACTGATGTTTTATTACTGGAAATCTTAGCTAAGCCTACAGTATCTTTATTAATTACCAGACTATTTGTGTTATATCCAATAATTTGAGCATTAACAAAGTTATTTGAGAACTTTGTTTTTTGTGTATTAAAATTTGCAAATCTTGAAAATAATCCTTTTTTTAACATAGGCAAAGTCTTATCATCCACAATATTAAGATCATCTATTGGATCCAAATTAATGACTATTGGATTCCCAAAAAAGCTGCTTGGAATGCTTAGTAACCTCTTTAAATACATATAGGAATTACTTATTAAAGTTTTATAATTAGTTACTGATATATTCATTGGAGGTAAATCTCTTAATTCAATACTATTTTTATTCAATATTGGCTTAAAGAATAAATGAACTAATACTTCTTGCCAAAAAATATCCCAATCTGAGCGTATATTAGAAAATTTTGTCTGATTAATATTATTATTCATTTCATTATAATTCGGTACCTTTGTCTCAAATATACCCTTCATTTCATTCCAATGATCTAAAAATCCATATTTTAAAATATCATCACCATACTCATCATATAACTCTTTTTTATTTGGGTTACTAAGAAATTCATAAGATTCTTGAACTTGTCTGAATTTGGCCAAACTCTTTTCTTTTTGATCAGGATTTTTCAATACAAGCTTGTCAGGATGCAACTTTGAAGCTTTTTTTCTATATGCTTTTTTAATACTCTCCAAGTTACTTCCAGGTTGAAGTTCTAGGATATCATAATATTTGTGAGAAATTAATACTCTTTTATTTAACATTCTAAACTCATTAATTGGTGATTTATTATTATATTTTTCATTTGGTGAATTGTAATCCTCCAAATTCCTTTTTTTATAATTAACTTGAGAATAATGATCACCAAAATTTTCATGATCAGAAATTAGTTCCCTTCTCTTGTAAACATTGTTTTGGCTTCTTAATGTATGTACATAATCAGACTTGGTCTTTGAATCATTGCTAATAACACTTGGGGAATAACTTATTTTACTTGAAATATCCTCCAATTTCATTCTAAAACTATTTATATTACTACATGCATTATTAACACCTAAATTACTACTGTCCACACTGCTATTACTACTTCTACTACCCGAGCTCTTGTTTATTAAACCTTTAGTATAATCAATATTGTTGTGTAATTTACGTATTCCAATCCCAATCTCTTGTAATTTTTTGCTTTCTTTGTTCAATACATTATCTATGTTGCTTTTCTCATCCTTTCTAGATTTTTGGTACTCCTTAAGTCTGTCTGAAAACATTATATATATTTGACTACCCTTGGCTTATCATTGGTATTAATTATAATTACTTTACTATCTTTAATTTTATTTTACAATATATATGTAATATATTGATTTATTTACTAAATTTCCTTTTTTCTATCTTTTCTTAATTTCCCTCCTTATCCCCTTTTTCTCACCTCATTTTAACATGCTCTTTTTTGTGCAATTCCGTCTCGTCTCGTCTCGAAAGCTGCATACCGGTATATAAGCTAGACAAAAAAAAAGTTTATCAATTTGGAGGAAAAAGGTGGGAAAAAAAAAAAATTAAAGTTGAAAATTGAATGTAAGAAATAAATAAATACATGTGTATACATATATGTATGTATATATAAATATACATATATATATACATATATATATATATATGTATAATATGTTCATAGATTAATATATGTGTATTTATGTTTGAAGTGAATGCATGCATGTGATACTTAATCGAGTTAATATAATTTCAAACAGAAAGAAAAGAAAGAGTAGTTATTAGTGGGGTATTCAATTGAAACTTAAAGAGTATTAATATAGTATAGAGCTCTAGATACACAAGTTTGAGGAGTTTTCAAGCCTTAAAACTAGCAGATATAAAGCGTCTAATGGAATCAAATAATGTAAAAGACCTGGAAAATTTATATATGCATATATGTTACAATAAGAATAATAATAATAATAATTAGGTTTATGATTACTTAATTAAAGAATCTGGAAAAAAATGAATGATATTAAGAACAATAATAGAGCAATTCAGCTCAGTAAAATACTTAAAGATGAACAGGAGTGGATCAGAACCAGGAAGCAGTCCCAGTCAACTTTAATAATAGTTTCTTTGGAGCTTCCGGTAAAAGTGGTTCGTTTGGAAAAGATGGAATTAATCAACGAAAGTGATAATGTGAATAATTATAATGCAAGTAACTGTTTTGGATCTGGGAATAGTGAGAAAAAAAAGGTTAGATTTGGATTAAAATCATCTCAGCATTCTTTAATGAGGACTTTGCATAGGCATAGAAATGAATTGGCAAAGACTGTAAAGTTTATAGGTTGGCCAGGCATTCATATAGAAAAGGAGGATGAAAAGGAGGAGATTAGAGAATTACTTGAAAGTATTGACTGTGTTCCAGTATTCCCTCCAGAAGTTGAATTTGAATCTTTTAATGAATTTTGTCAACTATTCTTATGGCCTCTTTTTCATAATGTATTGAATCCTGAAGAGTTAAGTAATGCTCCTTTTGATCATGAACAATGGAGAAGATACCATCAAATGAATATGTTGTGGTCTTCCGTAATTACTCCAATAGTTTCTCCTGAACATATGGATATGGTTTGGATCAATGATTATCATTTACTTTTATTATGTCAATATTTAACTAGAAGAGTTAAAGGAGTTAATATTGGATTATTTCTTCATATTCCATTCCCATCTTTTGAAATTTTCAGATGTCTTCCAGTTAGAGAAGAGCTATTAAGGAGCATGTTAATGGCAGATTTAATAGGTTTTCACTTCTTTCCTTATGCTAAACAGTTTTTATCATCATGCAAGCGTCTTCTTGGGTTAGATCACTATTTTAAACCAGGAGGACTGATTGGAATAGATAAAACTGCAGCTTCTAGTAGATCATCTGTTAAATCCAGTAACAGTTTAAATCTAGAATTCAATAAACAGGAAACCATTGTTAGAATAGGTCATGTTCACATACAATGTGATGATATTCTTCAGAATATCGCTTCAAATCAAGAGATCTCAAAAGGATCTCTTGAGATCAGGAATAAGTACAAGGACCATTATATTTTTGTATCCATAGATAGACTTGACCAACTAAGTGGATTACAGCTTAAACTCAAAGCTTTTGATAATTTTCTCCAAAACTATCCATATATTAAGGAAGAACAACCAGTTGTTCTTATTCAATACATCTTCCCAACAAATACTCTTACACTTGAAAAGAGAGAAAGACTAATCCAATCTTTGATCACTCTTTCAAAAGAAATCAACCTAAAGCATTCTGGTTCAGAATGTTTTAGAAATCCAGTAATTGAACTCAAGTATGGCTCGATAACTCAAGAAGAGAAGTTTTCCCTATTCCTTTCTGGAGATTGTCTTTTTGATACCAGTGTTAGAGACGGACTAAATCTTAATCCATTTGAATATATTATATGCAAAGATGATTCATTATCTTTCTTTAATGTCAGCAACACAAACTTTGGTCAGAAAAACAATGTAAATGGTATTTCCTCTTCCAGTAATTCTTCTAGTAATTCTTCTGGTGGTTCCTCTAATAGCTCATCATATTCATCTTCAGAATATGGTGAATCTAGTGGAAATGATGAAAGTGTTACAAGAAGAACAAGGATTTCTGTAGGAGCAGGAGGGAATAATACTGTAATATCTGGTCCATTTTGTAGATTTAAACATCAAAATAACTTACCCTCTCTGATCATTTCAGAGTTTACAGGATGTTCAAACACTCTTTCTAGTCCATATAGAGTGAATCCCTGGAATATGATGAATGTAGTGGAGACTTTGGATAAGGCAGTTTATTGCCAGAAAAGTATCTTTCAAGAAAAGAGACGCCACTGGAATATGGATAGAGCATACCTTTTATCTCATAGTACGGTAAACTGGGCAAAAGAATTCATTATGGACTTATGTATTTTTTCTGAAAGGAAGAAGAATGACATGCTTCACTATTATAATACAACTTTTGGGATTGGTCCATCTCTCATGGATATTCGTATTAATCTTAACTCCCAACATCTTAGCCTTAATTTGCTTTCCCAAGTGTACAGAAAAGTTGATAGAGTAGGAGGACTGAGGCTTTTCCTTCTTGATAATGAAGGAACACTCACTCCTGATTTTAGGCACTTCTTTGATAAGATTAATTCCTCTTCAAACTTTTGTATTCATTCAGGTTTAGGAGGTGTTACTGAGGACGGAGTTAGAGTCTCGAAGGGGGCTAGGGGTGGAAACAGCTTGCTTTCACTCTTAGGAGGAGCCCATCACGGGAAGAAAAAGGGAAGATGGAAGCCAAATAAAGATGACCAACTAAACCTTAACGTAAATCAAAACCTTTCCGAATATTTTCGTGGAAGTAGCAATATTAGCATTAGTAAAGAAACTGGAAATTCTCTTGAAGAATCAGCTGAATGTATACCAGAAACTAGCAAACCAAAGTTAGATCCCGAGATCTTTATAAAACATCCATATTCCTTAAGGCCAGATTCTAAAGCCTCTCCCAATATTCCTCTATCTTCTTGCTCCAATGAAGATACTGCTTTCAATGCGAACAGCAACTGTACTAGTATTGAAGTCTTGAACTTGGAAAACTCTATTACCAATACCAGTATTGCTAGTATACTGAATATTATGTCTACTAACACTCATGAAGTTGACGGAGAAAAGGATAAAATTTGTACTGAAGATTTGAGTACCAATATTACAAGTAGAAACCAATCTATAAATGGAGGAAAATGTTTAATAGAATGCCACAATGCAGATAACGAACATTTTGAAAGGGATGATGTAGAGGAGGAAGATGAACACAAACCTGAAGACTTTTACTTATACAATGAGATCTCTTGTGCTCCTCCAATACAAGTGATTGAAGCTCTTAAAAAGTTGTGCAGCTCTCCAAACAATGTAATCATTATCTTTTCTGGAAGAGAAAAGCATCTTCTTGATGAATGGTTTGGGGATATAGACAATATTGGGCTTTGTGCTGAGCATGGCTACTATCTAAAACTCCCCAGATCTATAGATCCTATCCACCCAAACATCTGGAGACAACTTAATATTGAATCAATATCCAAAGAAAGCAATTCATCCCCAGTATCTTTCTCTTCTTCCTCATTATTATGCTCGGTAAGCAAAAGTAATGGCTCTGAATGTAGCTGGTACAGTCCATTAAAGTCAAATAGTCAATTAGATGTGGATGAATACAATAAAGGAGACAATGAGAGCAATTCTGTGATTTTGTCATCAAAAAAACAGCAGCTTTATAATGTCTCAGATTGGAAGAATATAACTCTTCAGCTTATGGAGCAATATGTACTCAGAACTCAAGGATCTTACATAGAAAACAAAGGAACGGCTCTAGTATTCCAGTTAAAGTATTGTGAGCCATATTTTGGAGCTTGGCAAGCTAAGGAATTATCCAATTATCTTTCTGAACTTTTAATTAATTTTCCTGTTAATGTAATTTCTGGGAACGACTATGTAGAAGTTCGCCTTCAAGGGATCAATAAGGGAGTGGCTGTTCAGGCAATTCTCAATCAAATTAACTCACTTACAAGTAATTTTGAGTATATGAGTGAAGATAGTGAAATTAAAAAGCTTAAAAATCCTTCTCTTGAAATGATTCTTTGTATTGGAGATGACAGATCTGATGAGGATATGTTTTCTGTTGTTAATCACTTTTCAAAAACCAATAAATCAAATCATAATTTAGAACAGACATTAGACAACCAATTAGAATTGGAAGAAAATACCTCCTCCAAACCTTTAAAATGTGAAGTCTTCAATGTAATAATTGGAAAGCATACATCTATTGCCAATTACTTCCTTCATTCTACTGAAGAGGTATCGGATATTCTTCAAACACTTACTTTATTTACTTAGATCTTGAGAAACTTTAAATCTTCATTAAACCAAAATGGATCATAATTCTATTTTTTCATCTAATTTATAGACTAACCCTTATTAAAATTATTCACTTTACAACTGTTCTTGCTTTAGATACTTAGTTTGTTCTTTATAATCTCCTTAAAGCTTTCCTGGCAAATATCCAAAACGACAGAATATGGTATACTTTTAAATTTACCCCATAACTTGGATGAAACAACATCGTTACTATGTAAACAATCTTTCTTTAGGCCACCTTTAGCTTTATAACAATATCTAAAAGACGTAACTCCAACCAAAATCCTAGCAATATCCGCTGGAAAAATTACGTCAAATTCCTCAAACCCTAAATAGTGTGAAAAATCCAATCTTGAACCTTCATTTTGTTGGGTTTCTTCTCTTCTTCTTCTCTTGGATTCTTTTTGTGCCTTAGAAAAAAAGTGAGATATTATTCTTTCTGTTGAGACTCGATAAGTTTCCCATTGAACTGGGCTCAATTCGGCTAGGTAATTGCTTAATAAACAATTTACACCAGACTTTATACAGGAACTGATCTTTTGATAAACTTCTTTCATTTCCTTCTTCTTACTTTTCTCATCTTCTTCATTCTTTGAATCATCCAAATTATTAAATTGATAAAACTCTGATTTTTCTGGTTCCTCCTTTATCTTTTCTTTGTATGCTCTATTCAAATTTGCCTCCTGATCCCTATCTTGAGTACTTATAAAGGAATTTAACTTTACTAATTCTTTCCCTCCTAATGCAAGGTCATGCAATAGCTCCTGGTTCCATTTGGTTATCCAAATTTCCTGTATCATATTTTCAAAAGTATTGTCTCCTGAAGAATTTTCTATTAAACTCTGACTTTGATCTTGAGAATTATTGGCTTTTCCTAGAACCAAATCTCTGATAAAACTCCTGGAAACTCCTTCAAGGCCTTCCCTAGGATTTGATTCAGGATTTTGAGATGTACAAATTTCCTGATTGAAAAGTTTAAGATAAAGATCTGACTTTCTGTTACTAAAATAAGACTCAATTATCGAATCTTTACAAGATTTGTCCATTCCAAACTTTTGGAATGAAAAATATGCAATATCCAACTTCCAAAGTTCATTTGAATTACGATGAATCAATTCCTTGTGCAAATCCTCAACCAAAAGATCCACCCAGTTTTCCTTTACTAGTTGCCTCTTACTATTACCAGTATCAACACCAGTACCAACATGACAATTTTCTGAATTAAAGTCCAAAAACAAGGCTCCAAAATCCTTCTTGGATACAAAACCTTCCGTCTGAATGCATTGAGAGTTATCTTTAACAAGACTCTGGCCCAAAATAATGCATTGTTTATTCGTTAAAGTCTCCACAGAAATTTTCCAAACACTCCTCTCATTCTCAATCTCGTCCTCCAACTCCTCCAAATTCTTCCCTAAATGCATAGAAGCCTCCAAGAGGTTAATTGTAACTACGCCAGAATTCTCAGTTGAAAATCTTGAGACTAAGCTAAAAATCTGACTCTTTTCCTTAATTTTGGAGAAATCTTCGTCAAAGCATCTTACCTTTATATAAGGACTTCCTCTTATATAGCTAACCCAACTAGCCTTTACATTTTTTCCTTTATATTTGATTCCCAATAAGTAATCCAAATAAGGTTTTATATGATGCAATAAATTCTCAATTTCTTCTGTTTGTCTAACATTCAAAACAATCTTGAAAAGCTCGATAGGAAAAATTTCGAATTCTATTTTTGTCTGTTCAAAATCTTGGATAACATCTAAATCGGTACCGAAGTTATATTTACTCAATATTACATGTAACAAACATCTTAAAGCCGTTTTGTCCATCAAAGAAGCAGAAATGATTTGTCTTTTGTTCTTATAATCATCATCTGATAATAACATTAAACATATCCCTAATTTATCCAATTGCCTTGCACATCTTCCTGTTTCTTGTATATATTGTTCCAAAGAATTTGGCATATTCCAATGTATTACTGCATCAATATCCTTTTTATCAATTCCCATTCCGAAGGATGTTGTTGCCACAAATATGTTTGCCTTATTCTCAATAAATGATTTTTGAACCATCTCCCTCTCATTGTTGCTCATCATTCCATGATAATACAAAGCATTAGCTCCTTTAGTCCTTAAATAGTTTGTGACGGCTTCCACTTCTGATCTTTGCCAGACGTAAATCAAAATATTTTTACATTTAGACCAAACTTCTTTCCTTGTTTTCTTTTTCTCACGAAGCTGATGCTCTTCCATTGTATCTTTATCTTGGCTATTATTATTACTATTGTTACCATTTAAAGAGTACTTAATATGGTCCCATATCAAAGAGTAGTTATTGTAAACTTTTGGTACTTTTGTAAAGTTAAAACCATTTTTATTAAAGCCTTGAATTGCTTTCTTCTTCATTAAATCCAAATGCAAAACTTTGCAATAGAGATTTTCTCTTTGTATTCTTTGGTTTGAGTATGGCTGTATCACCTTTTCCACCTTAAGAAGAGATTTGAGCTCATCTAACATACAAAAAGGAGCTGTTGCTGTTATTCCCAATACTCTTTCTACTTTAAAGTTATTAATTAAATGCCCTATACAAGAGTAATAATTTGGTCTGAATGAATGTCCCCATTCGCAAACACAATGTGCCTCATCCACACAAAGCAATGCAATTCTGTTCTCAGATAGGTCTAATCTAGCTATTTTACTCTGATCACGACTTTGATTTATTACTATTCCTTTTGTTAAAAAAGTTGAAAACATACTCTCTGGCGTCACAAACAAGATGTCCAACCCACCCTGTCCAATTAGTTCTACTATTGATTTCTTCTCCTCTACTGATACGCTAGAGTTCCAAACTGCCCCTCTTATCTTTTTGCTTAAACTTCTTAGTTGATCCTGCATTAAAGATATTAAAGGTGTTATCACTAATGTAATTTTTCCAAACCACATGTTCATTAGCAATGACAAATATTGAAAACACAGGCTCTTTCCATATCCTGTAGGGAGAATTAATACGCTTCCTTTTCTGTAATTTTCGTATTGATTGCCTCCCAATAATACTGAATATATTGCTTCCAGCTGACCTTCCCTGAAATCTTTATAACCAAAATTTTCTGTCAAAAAATGTCTACATAACTCTCCCAAAACTTCTAAACTCTTTCTACGTTCATTATCATTCTCGGTACCATTCCCAATTACATGAATTAATGAATTAACTTCTTCTTTTATTTTTATAGATAACTCCAAAGATCTATTCAATTGAGAAGAATCCTCCAACATGCTTTTATTTGCCAAACTAATCTTACATCCTTGAGAAAAGTTATTCGACCATTTTCTAGGATCCCTCAATATATCTTCCTTTTCTATCTGAATACTTTCTTGAATCCTCTTCTTAACACCTTTATTCTTTAATAAATACCTATTGAATTTAATCTCGTTTCTCTTTTCTTCTTGTCTTTCCCATCTCCTTAAATTTCGAACCTGCTCCTCATTGTTGACCATTAAATTCTCTTTCCCATCTTCTGCTGTATTTTCAGGCCCAAGTTCCTTTTCTCTACTCATTCTTATTCTGCCATTATTGCTATAAGTCCTCTTTCTAATAGCTCTAACAGCTGATATTCCACTTATATACCTATTCTTACTCTTAGGAAGTGTCTTTGGACCCCAAAACTCTGAAGACCCCTTCTCACTTTGCTTTCTCTTTCGTCTTTTTCTCCCATTATCATCTAACTTGTCAGCATTCTCTGTTAATGCTTTCTGGTTCTCATTTTCTTCACCCTGAACCTTTTCTGCTCCTTTATTTAAGCCTGCCTGTCCGGCAATACTAATATCGCCAGCCTTCTCAAATTGGTCTTTTTGTTTACTTTCATCAGAACTTGACTCTTTTTCCATATTCTTCAAAACATGATCCAACACAGAATCTTCTTTTTGAGGCTTATTTTCTGAAACGACCAACCTTGGCAAAGGTCTTGAACTTATCTTTTTGCTATCCAATATTATCTTAGAAATCTTATCCTTGAATCTCAACCAATGATCTTTCATATCTTGTGGAGGTTGACTCAATTCCTCCCATCTGGTATAATAATGGTCATTCTTCCACTTTATAAAACATTCCAGTATATCGGACCTGCTTTCTTCTAATTGTATTATTTCCAAATACACACTATAGTACTTATCCTGCTTAATTTGGTCATTGATATTCTTTTGCTCACATGAATCATCTCTGTTTGACATTGACTCCCTAACTCGTTCTAAAACTTTACAAAGATCTAAATTCTCCTCCTCCTTGTTTATCTGTTCCTGAACTAACAACTTTAAATCAGATAATGCTTTATCCAACTTCTGCTTATATGACAAGAACTCTTCACTGTATGGTGTAAGTGGTAAATTTAGTACTAAATCTGAAAGGTCCGCACCATCATATATTTGTCTTATTGTACGCTTATTTCCAGTACTCATTTCATTTTATTCCACGTAATTTAGTACTAATGCTAAGAGCTAATGCGCTTTATATTAATTTAGGAACTTTAATTATACTTTCTATATTTCAGAAATAAGAGAAGATGTTTGTTTTTAAGTTATTCAAAATACATATAACTCAATAATAAATCCTTCTTATTTATTTAATCCACTTAATTTTCTTTTCCCTTTATTTGCCTTATTTAATTGTATTGTTTCTTGTACAAAACTACTAATATCCCTAATTCCAACTCTTCTAACCTCTTTAAACATTTAATTCTCAATAATATTAGTATTCAATCGGGAAATACATTTTTGTGATTTTCTCCTTTCTTGTTTCTTTTCTTTTGCTTTTTTTTTTCCTTGCTACCTTTTTGTTACATTTAACTGTAGGGAAAAATGTGGGGAAGACTACCCGCTTAAAACATGCATGTAATCAGTTCTAGCAAAATGTGCATGTAATTTTGCAATACCGGTATGACTACATTTTTGTGTACAAACCACCTGAAATTAAAAAATCGAAAAGTCTCTTCAATAAATCTGGCCTCAAAAATTAAACGAAGTTGGAACCTTTTCACAAAATTACCTTTGTTATTTTATCTACACAAATGCCTGGAGAATTGTAAACTCTACTCCAATACAATGAGACAAATATCTCTTCTGAGTTAACAACTCGTTTCTTCCTCCAATTACTTGCTATAAAAGAAGCTATATCAATTTAGAAAAAAAAGAAAAACACCTAAATTAGTTAAAATAATTAAAAATATTTTAGCTAGTCTAAATTACCTATTTAATAAATATCCAAGATATTGAAAACAGTGCTTTCAAACATCAGTTAACCATAAAGTAATTCTTGCTTGGAAATTAAATGACAAATTAATTGATTTGAATAAAACTTTCAATGATTTATCAAAGAATTAAAAACTTTATTCAAGTTAAATTTTCGAATAAGTGTTTTTTTTTCATGTAAGTACATTTAATGATACAAATTATATACCTTTATTTACTGGAATAATTCTCGCAGTTAAATATAATTGTCTTGACTTATCATGAATTATTCTTTAAAATAAATTAGCATCAATTAGGTGCAATCAACAAATATAATATAGCAAATATATATTTACTTGTCAATTTATATCTTCATAATAACAATAATTTCTTACCACATCTATATTTAAAATACCAGTATATTGAATCTTCACTTAGATAATAAAATGATCAAGTAAATGAACTTTATACACATGCTTTATTAAAATCAAAAATGGAGATTAAAATTAAAGAGATTAAAAACTAATGATTTTTAGTTAAACCACCCAATCAAAATTCTGGATTAAATTTAATTGTACCATATCCCTCTAAAATCATTATATTCTTAATACTTAAACATCTGAAATTAACAATACCATAATTTAAAGTTGAATAAATCATTATTGTTAATTGCTTACATACTATTAATAAAATAGTTTGCATGCTCACTTAATCATTGAAATGTTGAAGCAAATGTATATTTAGATGTATAATATACAAAATATACACAGCCAAATACTGATTCGTATAAAATTCTGGACTATCCTTATAAAAGCTATTATTCCACCTAAAACCCAACAAATAAAGTCCATATTGTGTCATTCATATTATAACCTTTATAAATTATTAAAATGTTCTTCTACGTCTGCGATATCTCTTTCTTCTAGAGCGACGAGTAGAAGTTACACCTCTACCTGCTTGAGAAGTGCGAGTGTGGGTGCGGGCAGTTGCATGTGTTGATTGTGTTGTACCAAACTGTCCTTGTGAAGATGAAGTAGATGGAGTTTGAGATGGTTGTTGAGGAATGTGGGTTGAAGTACCAGGTTGACGGTTATTACCAAGTCTCGCACTTCTTCTAACTTTGCTGTGTTTTTCCTTGATGTTTAAGAAGTGATTGTAACTAGAAGCTAGAGATGCTTCTATTTGAGAAACTAATTCCTGTTTTTGAAGTATTTCAAAGTGAGCCTCCGAGTAAGACCTCGCCTCATCATCATCAGCAACAGGACAACACCTCTGTCTTTCCTCTAAATCATTAAGGGATGCTTCTAAACATTTAAGGCTTTGCTTAACTTGCTTCCATTTCTTAAAACAATTTTTGGCTTGAGCAGAAGCGGAGGCACATATTTGTTCTTCGGTTATCTCTTCCCTTTGTATACCTCTATTTTCATATTCACTAAGAATCAAATCTAATAACTGTTCTTCAGAAACCTGTTCTGGCTTTTGAACTGATGTAATATCATCTAAAGATTCGCTCAAGAACTCTAGTGTGTTGAGAGTGGAGGTTGATTCACCTTCCTCAACACGAAGCCTTCGTGAAGAACGGCGTCCAGAAGACCCTGAGTCACAGTCATCACCACTAAGCTTTCTCTTTCGTTCATTTGGCGACGATGGGCCTGATCCTGATGCAGATCCTGTTGCGGATTTAATTTGGACGTAACTAAAGATGGAATGGTTTAAACTCGAAGCATCTGTATTCGGTATAGGGTAAATAGAAATATTAGCAAGGATAGCGGCAAATAGTATAAGTAATGAAACGTTTGAGTACATTAACTCAAAGCAACCTGATACCTTTGCCTTTAACAAAAGATCATATTTCTCAAAAAGGATAGAAGTATAATATCAAAGATTCCTTTCTGTTTCTAGTTCCAAAGGTAGGTGTTTTGGTTGTTTCTCTTAAAAAGGTCTTCCAGGTTGAATCGAATTAACTATATTTTTGTATTAACTTTAAATATTTTTCTTTGTGACAATTTATTTTTTAAAGTATCGTCTCTCTTTTGGCTCCAAAAAAAAAGAGCCAAAAGTTTTCTATTTAAATAGCTAATATATAGTACTAATAGGCTATTTAACGTGTAAATATGTATACATAAAATTAAATTTTTTTCCTAAGTTAAAATATAAATATTAATGTATTTAAGCTATTTATTATGTTAGATTGAATATACAAAATTTATTATCTTGAAATTATTTTTTACCATGAAGCCAAAACAAATTATATTAATAATATTTTGTAATGTTTAATAATTATTAATTAATTAATTAATAAAGCGATAATAATAATAGTAGAGATAGCAATAATGTAATTATATATGTTTGATTCAAGAAATTACATTAATTCAAGGACAATCTCATTATAGCTAGCACAGATTGCTATCATGAGAATGGTTAAGTCTTTTCATTCTCTCCATGCTAATCACTTATTTTGCCATTCTAATTATATGCTTGTCACTGCCACTAACTGTAGAAACTGATGGTTTCGTCTATTGTCTTGTTCTTTCTTTCTCTAAACCTATATACACTGCATTCTTGGCAGGTTTTATATATTCTTTTTTGGACCGGTTTGTGTGTATCTTCAAACTACAAAGAAAATTTTTTATATAATCATTTATTTGATAAAAAAACAATTCACTCTGCCAAATTCGGATAATAATGAAGACAGCATTAGATAATAACAGATAAATACAAATATATAAATAAGAACCGCAGTAAACGACAATTTGAAGCTAACTAATAACGAAAATCTGATGGCATTACAAAAAAAAACAAGGTTGAATCAACCTCTAATTTTTACTCTTGTACAAAAAAAAATGTATGTATGGCGCCCAACATTGCCACATAACTGGCGCCATGTCAAAATGAATATTGCATGCAATTATAAACAAATTTTGCTACATCAAAAACTGAATTAGTAATTGCATGTAAATAAGTGAAATTGGTGACAACAAAATAATTGAGAATAAATTAAGGGGGAGGGAAGGAAGGTTTTTACCATATTGTTATAGACTTTTAAAAACTTGTTGTTGAGGTCAATAACAAATGTCGTCAGCAAAAGTTCCTATTGTAGAAATTCCAAATGAATTTCTAGAAAATTCATTTGAGAGACCAGAACAACAGATAACAACAGAAGACTACAAAGACAGTTTAAAAAATAGGAAACATGTATTGAAAGTTAATCCAGATTTGTGGTTTGAGGAGATACTCGATAAGAACAACAGTACAATTTTTGAAAGAGAAATAACATGCAGAAACCTGAACCTCCTAAAAACAGCCTCAATATTTATTGGAAAGCAAAAGTTGAAACTAAAACGTACACGGTCTGTAGAAACTAGGGCTAAATCACAGGATTTGTTTGATATTCCAGATGGTGCAAATGAATTAGAAACCCCTCCAGTAAGTTGGGATGTGGATGAGGGTCATCCTTTAAAGTCTATTCTGATTCCCGGACCACCAAGTAGATCTTGTTTAAGTAATAATTGGTATCAAAGATTGAATTGGGTTTGGAGAGATGGATATTCAACAAATTCAACAAGTGCTACTGCAATGGAAGACCCAAAATATATTGAACATGATTTATCTTTTATTCAAGAGATGGGTAAATTTTATGCAGCAGCTAGAATTGCTGCTGCTGCTTTAATACATTGTCAACCAACTTTCAACTACGGAGTTGCTAAGGCCTATTATGAAGTCACAAAAACTTCAAATGAAAATTTATGGAGCATTTACAATCCTTTATTTTCGGATGATCGTGTTTTTATTTTCGACAGTATTGTTTTTACTGTAGTGCTTGGAAGCAAGAAAAATGGAATTTCTAGAGAAATTGCAAAAAGAATTTATAACAATGAGTTTAAGTCCAAAAAAGCTCTTTGTGATATTCTTATTCAAATGGGTGCAAAAACATTATTTGCACTTCCGATTTGTGCAATTGTTAAGTATATGGGATATAGTGTATTTTGTGAACCATTGGTTCCTTTTAATCCAAAACCTAAAGATTTATTAAAAGATTTATTACATTCTGCATTAATACCAAGAGATATGATACCAACTCTTGAAGATAAATATGATCATAAAGATGAGCTATATATGGTCAATTCTAAGAGTAAAAATGATGTTAATATTATGTTTGATTCACTATTAACATATAACCCAGAATTAGCACAACAATTAGATTTCATTGCAAAACAATTAAATATTCAAGGTTGGCCATTTCCTATGGAAACTACAGATTTATATGAACATTACGGGATTAAATATACATTTAAAATTTGGCAGCATAGATCAGATGGTTTATATGTTACAAGACATTGTGGGGAATTACTTCCTGTATATATTGATGAAAACCAAGAGTTGCAGCCATTAAGAAGATTACGTGAAGAGTTTGTAATTACATATACAGATTCTTCACTGCCTTCAACAGTTTCTATTCCTTTATTTTTGAATTCAAACACAGGAGATCCAACAAATGATTATCATACTGAAAGATTGGATTCACAATTTGGAACAAGAAGAATTAAAGAAGGTTCGACCTCAAGGCTAAATGTACTTTATAATGCAAGTCAAGCTATGAGAGTTAGGTTATTAAAAGATCTTTTACCTACAATCAATGAATTGTATGTTGGATTTCATGATCCATGGGAAATTACTGAGCTTCTCCATAATTATGGTATCAATTTAAATTATGGATTAAGTAAACTTGCTCAAGGTAAAGTCATTGAGCCAATACGTAATACAGCTATTAGAGAAATCATCGCAAGAACTATTAAAAGATTATGGGAAGAAGAAATGCATATAACATTTAGAGATCAAGCATTAATCAATGAAGAGACTATTCAAATTATACTGATTGATTATTTTAATAAGGTATTTTGTAATACAGATGAATCAAATATTTACTGGAATTCAAAAATTTTACCATCAGCAATGAAAAGATTTCAATTAAATACATATAAGAATATATTAAGTAAATCAAATATAAAATTGACTACATTATTCTATTCATTACAATATCATATTGGAGTACAATTTAATACTAAAGTAATAAGTTTTGATGGTACTTTAAGATTACCACTCAAAATAGATGATTTATGTGATTTTACTGAGATTAATATTGGAATTGATTATTTATTCCCACAAGTTAAATATTTAAAATATACATTAGCAAGAACACAAAAACTTAAAAGAGATTCATTTATGGAATCAATACAAAACTCTGATTCAAAAAAAATCCCAATTTTAACTTTATTTAGTAATCAAACTAATGCATATTTAACTAATCAATCTAAAGATGATAATTATTCTAATGGTGCAAATGGTCAAGTATGGGCATGGAATGAAACAGGAATAATACGTGGTTATTTTCCAAAAGTTAAGATAATAACTCCAAGAACATTAAGGAGTATAAACATATGTAAAACAATATTGTGTAAATATATATGGAAGCTTCGTATTCCAACTTGGAATCGTATACTTGTTGCATCTTCTAAAAAATCTGAAAATAATATACTTGAAGAAAATATATTCTCATTATCAAATACTTTATGCAATCCAATATATATCAATACAGTAACAATGGGAAACATAAGTTCATTAAGAGCAAGCTTAGAAGGATTTGCTACGCCATGTCATCCAACATGTAAACCAATTTATGAAAAAGATGAAAAAGCTGTGAATAAAATGGAGAATAATATTACGTGTCAATATCATTATGATTGTTATAAAGCAATATATTACTTAACTATAGCTAGGCGTTTAGTTGGTGATAATATTGAGAGAATTTTATTCTTACTATTAAATAATGGATTCTTAGCTTTACAACATAATAAATTGGATGATTGTTTAAGTATATGTCAGGTAGCATTTTCATGTACTCCAGAAATTCCAAAATTTCAAGTATTAATTATTTCATTAAAAATTCAGTGTTTAATCAAATACAATAAATTAGAAGAAGCAACAACAGAATTTAATTTTATGAAGAAATTAATATATCAATTATATGGTAATCATAGAAATTGCTTAATATTAGTAAAATTACAATTATGTTTTTCAATGTTATATTTTGTTAATGGTAATTATCAAGAATGTTATAGAAATTCAAATACTATTGAAAAAATTTTAACACCATTATTAAATGAAGTATCTGAAGATGATTCAATACATTGGATGATTATTATTGCTTTAAGATTTATTGCATTGTCATCATTACAATTAGGAAATTATGCACAATGTATTGTTGTTGGTGAGAAAATGTTAAGATCAACAATTAAAAGAGATACAAAACAAATATATTTGGAATCTATATGTAGATATATTATTGGTGAAGCAACAATAAGATGTGGTAGATATGATAATGCATTAAAAATATTAATAAATTCAATACCAGAATTGGATAGTTTTATAGGCCCAAGTCATAAATTTACAATTAAATTATTAATGATGTCAACAAGATGTAAGATTATTTTAGGATGTAGAGATATAATGTTTCCTCCATTAAATTTACAAGACAGAGAAACAGAAATTGATCATAATTATCAATTTCAAATGGTATATGATTTATTTTGTATTGAACAAAATGATTTAAATATGACAGAAGGTGATATATTTTTTACTGGTAATAATAATGATAATAATTACAAGAAATTTATGTTAAAATCAAAAAATTGGACAAAATTTCCAGTAATATTAAAATATGATGATTTATTAGTAATGGAGAAATCTATTTTTGATACAAGAACACTGAAACATAGAGAAGATGCGTTGTTAATGTGCAGATCATTAATTAATCGGATTGTGGCAAATATAAGAGGTACAGGAAGTATATTATATTTTAATCATGAAATATTTGAAGATGATCAACAAATATGGTATAATCGTTTAATGTGGGTTATAAAACATGAAATAGTTATATCAATACTTTCATTATCACAAACAGATTATATACGTTTATTATCATCAATAAGATCTATAGCAGTAAGTTCAAGTGCATCACCATTTGTTAAAGACTTAACATTTGGAAAAAAAGTTATACATAAAAATAATTATAATATAAATCGAAATCTTGAGAATGAATTTAATCATGATAATAATTTATCACAAAGAATAATTAATAAAAGAATTACAGATTTTACTGATTATGGTTATATTGATTATTGTAATATTAATACAAATGTATATAATAATATTATTAGTAAAAATAATATAGAAGATGGAATAGGAAGATCAACTAATCATTTAGGTGCATCAGTAGTAATGAGCCCAAGACAAATGGGCCATATATCACAAGAAAAAGAAAATTATTGGGAATTATTAACATGCGAACCAACTATGACTATTATTGATATATGTAGTCATGTATATAAATTATTAGTAAAAAAAAAAATTTCAAGTGCTTATGAATGGTGTATTACAACAATAAGAAATGTATCTGGAGGAAAATCTAGTACTTATGAGATTAATCTTGTATTAAATTTAATACGTATATTATTATCAAAATTTCACAAAAAATATTTAATAGCTTTATTGTACCCTGATTTAGTTACTCCATCAGAAAATAATTTCGAAAAGAGTAAGAATAAATATGGATTGAAAGTATTTCAAGATTATAATAATAATAATAATTTTGATCCAAATAGTTATAATGAAGAAAATTATGCCACTTCTATGCAAAATAATGAACAAAATATTAATTATAGAAATAATTATGTTTCAGGCAATAATGTATTTAGAAGAAATCATAAAGGAGATAAGAATGTAGGAAGATATGGAAATGATAATATGGGTAATTCATCTTATGGTAATAATAATAACATAAATGGATCATCTCAAGATTTTAATAACCAAAATAATTTTGATGAAAATAATATGTCAAGCATTGATTATTCAATATTACCACAATTTAGCACAGAAGTTGCTGCAAATATAATGTTACCAATGGATCAAGGAAGTAAGGTCATTGATATTAACAATGATATACGTTGGAAGGACCCATATAGAAACTATAAATATTATGATTCACAATCACAAAAAAGTGCGTTATTATATATACCAAAAGATGTATATGAAAAGTAATCATATAGTAACAAAGAGTCATTGGCATTAGTTGGCCCTGTAGTGTAATGGTTATCACCCAGGATTCTGATTCCTGTGATCTGGGTTCGATTCCCAGCAGGGCCTCTTTTTTCCAGTGGTTTTTATAAAATGATCATAATTTCCCGCACAAAAAAAAATGTTTAAGAATTAAAGGACTATGTAGTTAAAGGTTAGCGTTTATTTATTAATAAAAAAAAAAGTGGGATAAAGAATATAAAATAAACAAGTAAAAATACAATAAAGCTAAAAAGAATGTATATATAATGATAACATAAAATTAGATAATACAAGAAAAAAGTTTTATAGTAACAAATTATAAGTTGTGGATAATTCTGAGAAGAGTGTTGAAACTTGTAATAATTATCATTATCTATGTAATATGATAATAATATATAATAATTAGAATATATAGTAATTAGAATATATAGTAATTAATATGAATGTATGTGTATACATGCATATGAAGAAATATATAAATATATATATATATATATATTTATATATTATATATTATTTATAAGTGATTATAAGTAGATCCTGTGTTTATTGAGAAATGTAAAAGTGGTGAAAAGGAATAATTTAGTAGTTACAAGAAATTATTTGCTGTATTGTTTGGTCGATTTCTCTCTTTTAAGTTGCTTTATAATTTCATCTTTTTCTTGGATTAATTTGTCTTTTCTTTGTATTTCTTCTTTAGCAGTTTTGAAAAGAGAATAAATGTTATTAGTAAGTATTTGCAGTTCATTCTCGAGTCCATTCATTCTTCTAAAGTAGATTTCGCAGGAGGAACATTTTGGCTCGAACTTGGGCTCCGAAGAGTCGCAAATTGTAGTGGGTGGATTTAATGAATATGTAGAGGCTGGTGAATTTGGTGAACTGGGAGAGGCTGGAGAAATGGAGGCTTGGTTAAGCTCCCAGATGTCAAATTGGTTCGTAACAAAAGCCGAAGTATCCTTTAAAGCCTCTAGATTAGACTGCATATGCAGAACCTTGAAATATATAAATGAAATAATTTGTTTATTTCGATTATATGTATATATATAAATTAATTACTATAGTAAAAGCAACTATGAAGTTTTGGCGGGAAATTATTAAAGCTCTGTAAGAAATTACAGGGCATGTTAGTAAATTTATAGGTCAAGTGGAAATGACTTTTTGGATTAAAGTTTTTTTGAGTATATCAATATTTATATTGACAAGCGATGCATTTTTAACATGTTCATTTCTAATAACACATGCAAGGACAATATTATGATCAATTGATTTGACATGAAGAAGATGCCCAGAGTCAAGGTTAATAGAACATGAAATACCAGAGGAATTTTTTGACAAAGAACAATTTGGCGCATATATTTCACTGATTTCAGAGATAACATTGAGGATATCGGCACAAAGTTCAAAACCAATAGGGTCAAAAAGAGAGGAGTCGCTGGCAATAAAAGTTCTGGAGTAGATATCCATAAGAAAAGCCTTTTCCAGAGAAGAGGAAATAACCAGAACATCTAGGAGTCTCTCAAGTATTTGAGTAAATGGTGAAATCTTTTGTGTGACTTTGCTAAAAGCTTCTAAAAGAGAATCATTATAGATGGAGGTAAAGTGGTATCTAATATCAATTTCAAACCCATGTTGAAAGATAAAGCTTGAGATTTTTTCGTGGATATCCCTTTGAGATTCTAAATGAGCTCCATCAAGTGAAAAAGTCTCGTTATCAGTTTTGTGAAGAAAGACCTCAAAGACTATTTCAGGTTTGACTTGAATAGCATTTTGAAAAAGCCTCTTAGCCCTTAAAATTTCTGTGTTGTAAGGATAATTCTGAGAATCTATAACAAAAACCAGAGATGAAACTTTGCTGAGAATATCTTCCCCTAATAGGGAATCTTGGATTTGACCAGTCCCAGGTAAATCAATGATTCCAAAGCAAGGAAGAAGTTTTGATTCATTCTTAATCATCGTAATACTTCCAGATCGTGTTGGAATTGAAGAAACCGTCTCATGAGGAGATACTCTATCATACAATACTTTAATTATTGAAGTCTTTCCACTACTTCCTAGTCCACAGAGCATTATCAAAGGCATATCACTTTCTAATATAATCTTTCTATCAGCTTCATCAGAAAAAATTTTGCAAATAGAAGACTCTGCTAAATTGGAATTACTTTTTTCTAAAATTTGGCTTCCCAAAAGCAGATGGTTGGAATTTTCTGAAGTTAGAATAGTCTTATCATCTTCTACCTTTATATTCAAACCATCATTGTTTGAAGTATCTGAAACCATTTTTTGTTAAAAACTTCAGATCAAAATCTCAGTATTAAAAAAAGTAACAATTCCGTTTTCTCAGTCCCCAAGCCTAATTTTATTCAGTTGCTTTCAAAGGCCTCTCCCCACACCAGTTTAAAAAAAGCTTAATTTATATTCTTTAGGAAAACCTATATATTTAAAGAGACCAAAAAACTCATTCATCCGGTTCGAAGTTCATTCACTTTCCGAGTTTTTTCTTTAGAATTCTTGTAGCTTAACTCTTTAACTTCTCTTGTTATACATACTACTCATGCAAATTATTTCTTAGTAATTAATTTTTTACCATTTATCTATTATAGTCCACTAATTTATATCAAATTTGGGCGGGGATTTTGGGCGGGAACCTGAATTTTTTTAAATAGAAAAAATACCCAATAAAAAGAGAAAAGTCATAAATTGACCAAGTGGTTGTAAGGAGAAGAGGAAGAAGAGAACTCAAATAAGATTGGTTTTCTTTTTATTTTGCGTATCTAATTTAGTTTACTGGTTTAAATACTCATTTATTGTTATCATACATTTGTTCATTTTTAATTCATAGTTGAAAACAGCTTTTATTTTTATTAAGGAATTAGGCTAAGGAGGAATTAAGACAAGATGGAGGAGCATTCGGAACAATATAGCCTACATTCTCCAAAAAAAGTGAGGAAGACAGATGTTAAAGAAGTCGGGGAGATGTCTGGAAGGATACCTAAAGAGAATAATGAATTTTCTGGAGCAAGTAACCAAAGTGTGACAATCGTGAGTATATTGAGGCAGGGAATACAAAGTAAGGATAAGAATATGCTAGAGAATGCGCTTTCTCACAATGATAGTAAGATTATTAGAAGTTCTGTAAATCAGATTTCCGATGTAAATTCTTTGGAGCTTTTTGAGGAGGTAATGAATAGAATAGAAGATAATCCAATGAAGCTTTTGGAGCTTTCAAACTGGGTCACAGTTTTGCTTGAAAGAATAGGGAAGCAAGTAGTAGCATTTAAAGGCGATACTAATCGAATTTCACTTATTTTAAATCAGATGGAAAGGCTGAATGAAATCATTTCCATGAGGTTAAGCTACAACCAGGATCTGATTACTTTACAATCTACCTTGGACATATTTCAACATATTATTGAGGAAAATAAACTTATTACGGAAATGTGTAACAAACTCTCCTCTGAGTCTGATAACGCTTTAATTACTTATCAATTTGAGGCCGAACAGGAAAACGATGAAAATGATCATTTTGACAATAATGAAGAGGATGAGGAGGACGGAAATGATGATGATGATGATGATGATGATGATGAAGATGAAGATGAAGATGAAGATGACGATGAAGATGACGATGATAACAAGGATGGTGGCAATGAAGAGGACATCGACAGTGATGATGAGAAAAATAATGAGAGCCATAATATTCGTCAGATTAAAAACACAAAGAACGAGGATGAAGAGGATGATGATGAGGATGATGAAGAGGATGAAGAGGATGATGACGAAGATGAAGAGGATGATGACGAAGATGATGGGGTGAGTTCTGAATAGGAGAAGAAGTAATAGAAAGAGTAAGGGTAGTGTCAGGAATGAGAACAAGACCAGGTTTCATTCTCTGAATCCAAGCTAGAATCCCCTTACATATTATTGTTTTTTTAGTATTATCATTATGTAGCTACTCTTCTATAGGAAAGAAGTAACGAATAAGTATATATATTAATCTACAAACCCTAATTCATTTCTTTAATATTTTTTTTTAGGTTAGTTTTCAATACTTGAAATTTATACTGGATTTGCCTAAAAATTCCGTATTAGTACAGGACAGGCTTGAGAGAAAGGAAGAAGGAAGAAGGAAGAAGGAAGAAGGAAGAAGGAAGAAAAGAATGGTCCCAAACCAAAATCATGGTAGAGGAAAAAAAGAGGAGGAAAGAGGAGAAAAGGAAAGGAAAGGAAAGGGTCTTTCCTCTAAATTATTGTGGTTTTGTCATGCAAATAAATATATCTGTTAAATTAGGTTTTAGGTATTTAGCCCATGCTCGGATTTTAGTTTGAAAAACCGGTAAAATATAATTGGAACTTTGAAAATCTAAAAATTAAGGAATCGGTTAAGAGAGAAAAGAGAGAGAACTATTCGAAGCTGAAAATAAACGGATTTAATTGGAACTAACTATATTTAATTAATCTTAGCTGAGTTTAACTAAACAAAAATTCGAGAAGAGTAGAAGAAAAGAAGGTATATAAAAGAGAAAAAAAGATGTGTTATCTCGGTTCTTCAACACATGGAAGATGTTGTTGCTGCATTCCTCTGGGAATTTCTGGAACAATTACATCTCTGTTATTATTGGCATCGGGGATCTTCACGACATGCCAATTTTCACAGACTCCTAACCAAGAAATAGGTGGTTTAACATCATCAGCATTGTTTACAGGTGTTACGCTTCTATCATTCCTATGCTTTTATTGTGGTCCAGGAGGAGCAGGATTTGCATACTTTGCAACCCAATTTACAGCAATTGTAGTGACTTTTCAGATAATATACCAGTGGTGTCTTTGGAGCTATAGTTTCTTGCAGGTTGGACATTTCTTGATAGGGTTTAAAATGGCTTTTATTATTACCATTATTTGGATTGCAACCCTAATCGTTAATATTATCTCCATTACAATTTTCAGATCTACTTGGGAGATTAAAATTCAGGGAGGAAGCACATGGAAGTTAAAGAATGCCCAGGAAGTGAGGCTTAAAAACCTAGAAAACGCTGTAGGATTATAATTAGATTAGATAATATCATTTATAACTATGAGATAACTAATTACTTAGTGTACCAAAAGTTATATATTGCAAATTTGCTGTGGTTATTTACTTAAACTACTTTTAAATGGGTTTTTATTACTATTTAATTTTCTATAATATGTATTTTTGTAATAATTAATACAAACCACCACCTCCCCAGGCATCTGTAAGTTGTAGTTCCCTAATTGTATCACTACTTATCTGAACAGAGTGATTTTTTCCTGGTTCCCAAATATGAGCATTAGAGGAGCTGTTTGTTAACACATATTTGTATTCGATATTCTCAATTTTACTATTTGGAACAATTCTAATGTTTGCAGTCCAAAAACTACCTTCCGTCCACTTCATTGTTAATCCATTGTTTACATCCCAATTCCCTAGTTCTGCAATATTGCCAACTACTTTAAGTTCTTGTCCAAATTTAGTCTCGAATTTCACTCCAAATTTAACGACAATACTAACATTCATCTTCTCACGTCGTATTGCTTCCTCTAAGGCCTCCTCATATATCCTCAATTTACGATCATGTAACTTCTTCTCATATAGCTTTCTTATCCTTAATCTGTTTTCATCCAGAGTCTCCTCTGTATTTTCCTTCCTACTTGGTTCCATATCTAAGTCTTTTTTTTGCCTATATTCTTTCAAACTAAGTAATATTTTATCCGAGCTACCTAGCTAATGAAATTAACTGCGTTAAACTTAACCCTAAGTGACTTCGCTATCTCAGGGCCACCCCCCAATTCCTTTTTAGGCTATCCTCTATAGTGTAATGATTTGCTTGAACCAATTATAGCCACGTCAAATGTTGTTCAATTTTACTTTATTCGGCCTTCTTAGATTTATTTTTCAAGTAAAACGAAATTATAACGTTTCTGTAATTATCTGGCTATTAATATTATTCCTTTTTTTTTATTTCTGCCCTTTAATCCCCATATTAATTCCTCTTGTGCAGTTTCCCGCCCAAAGTAAATAGTGATCTACATTATTTAGTTATTTAATATATTAAAATAATGCTAAGTCTCGATTCCACCATTTTTTTGGCAACTAAAAAAGAAAGTGACGGAAAACTAGAAAATTTGGTTTTATCTATAGATATCTCCTTTTAGTTGCTGAGTTTCAGAACTTGATATTTTTTGGATGAGCCTCTGAGAAAGGCTTATCCTTCATTTTATATATAATATTTAAGGCCAAATTACATGCAGAGAACATAGAAAACTTTTTTTTAATTTCTACAATTTTAAAAAGTTTATTTGCCATCAATACTATTTAGGCGCATGCAATACAATATATGCAAAACTCTTCTATTTCAGCATATATAGCTACTTCACTATTATAATGTATATAATTTAACCATCATACAATGTATACTTGAATACACATACAATAACACATAAATTCTAGCTCATACTAATTAAAGTATTTTATTTTACTAGTATTCAAACTAAAAACATAAGATCAAATTTCATAAATCTAATTTGATTTCCCAGCATTTTTTATTATTCCCTCATTTTTTTTATTTAATTACCCATATATTAATCTTTATAAATCTAATATTTACCATGTGCCGCCAATTTACATAACGTCTCGTCTCCGGATTGTGTGTATTAGAGAGAAAAAAAAAGGGCAAAAATAGAGAATACATGTAAAAAGCAAAGGAGTATATATAATATATATAAAACAAGGGAGATAGTGGTGTAATATATATATAGATAGATATATATTTATATATATTAACAAATAATTTTTGACGTAAAATACAAAGATAAAAAGTGCATGGCAGGGTAGGAATAAGAAAGTGAGAAGAGCCTGAAGTCAATAAGGGCCAGATACTTTAAGAATTGGAGTTTTAAAAGTACAAGATCATAGGCAAATAAATAGAATAGTGTAGTCATTTAATACGGATTAGCTGGAGAGTTTGACGGATCTTGCAAGAAAACTAGTAAAAGAAATTACTACAATTGCCATTATTGTTATTTTAGCTGATCTGATTAAAAAAAGGTAAAGATGCAGCAGCCACAGCAGCCAAATGATATGTTCCATACAACAGTAGGAGATGGAGTAACAGCAACCTGGGTAGATCCCACACAAATGGGGCAATTTGACAATAACTGCTTCCCGAATCAAGCACAACAATCATCAGGATATTATCGATTAGAAGTAGATCAAGCTCCACTAATTACAGTTCCTGTAGTTCAGGAGATTCAGAGAAGAGATAAAATTATTGAAGTACCTCAAACAATTATTAAGGATAAGATCTTGCCAAAGATTTATCACCAGGAAGTTATTCACGAGGTCCCAAAACTTGAGGTTGAAGTACAAGAGAAGGAAGTTGAGGTTCCAAATGTTACTTTAGTAGAAAAGGTGGTTGACTTGGAACACATTGTTGGATTTAATCCAAAATACGTCCCGACATGGGAAGTTAGAGAAGTACCAAAACTAGTTCCAAAATTTGTTGGTGAGCAAAAAGTTCTTTATATTGAAATTTCTCAGATTCAATATGTTGACAAAGTAACTGAAAAAGAGGTTGTTGTGGACGTTGTGGATAAAGTAGTTCCCAGAGTTGTCGAAATTGAAGAGCCAATTGAAGTTATCCGATATAAGTGGAAGGAGGTTTATGATGATATACCAGTTGTAAAATATGTTCCCAAGTTTGATGTTGAGGTTGTATGCCCTGCTCCTGTTATTGTACCCTATGTACAGCCAGAAATTAAAGATCTACCACCAGTTAAAGTTACGGTTGGCCCTGATGGTAGAGAAACTAATGTGGCTCAGGATTACAATATACCAAATAACAATTCTGTTTCCTCACCAAATTCCATCCCAAATATGAACAACCATCTTGCCCAAATTAATGATATCAATAGTTCTCCCTTCCCATTACCTGAAGGAAGTCACCCAGTCGAGCCAAGAATGCCACAATTCATGAAAGGAAATATTCCAGTAAATGTTAGAGTCATGCCTCCACATCCAAATAATCAATAGTGCAGAGATATTTAAAAATGCTTTTTGTAGATAAATGATATGGTATTGCAACTACGCAGCAATATCTATATTTTGTTTATTTCTTGCATTTTTTTTGGAAAATATATCGTTATTAACTATTGAACTTATTACATCATTTTGTTATCCAATAAAGTAAAGGTATAACAGTAATAATAATATTAATAATAATAATAATAATAATAATAATAATGAAATGCATACCCATAATGATATAGTATCAACGTTAAGATTATTTTTTTCAATACGGTTAAATTTATTTCCTTAAATAACCAAAATTATTATTCATAATCCATCATTATTAAGTGGTTTTATTCTTGCAGTTTTTCCACTATTTTTGTCTCGAAATATCTAATCCATGTTTCTGGAACCTCTGAATGCAAAAATCCCTCAATAGTTTCGTAGAAATTTGAACACTCTCTTTCCAAAACTCGAAAACCGTTTTGGTTTATCTCCAGATTTACCACTTTCTTTTCATAGAACTCTGTGGAACCATCTTTACTTTGCTGAAATCCTATTGTAGCTTTTGCTATTACCTTGTCTTTATAACTATTATCAATTTCTGACAAGGTTAATATTTCCCCATAGTTGCTTTCAATATGCCTGATAACCTCTTCTAAAGCTATAATCATTTATCATAAGAAAGTTTCTTTTTGTTGAAAATAACTGTCGAGCTTTGAATTAACCTCTGAATTATTTATCTTTAAATATTTACTTTATTTGACTTCCTCCCCACAATAGATGTATTGTTATTACATAAATATTTGGCCCGCTTAATGATGACTATTAATCTCAAAAGTATTTTTTGAAAAAACAAGATTAAATTTGAAACTGAAAACTTGCCAAATTAAAATATTTGGCTCAAACCTTCTATTTTATTAACTTTTATGTTCACACTTTATATTTTGACCAATTACTATTAGATTAAAATTTAAGATTAACACGTATTTTTTTTTTCTTGCAATTTAATTTGTTACAACTGGAATTTTTCTAATCTTTTTTTCCTTATATAATTCAAATTTTGCTTCAACCAGTGTGAAATCAAAATCTGTGTTTTATGACTTAATTGTTTATCTATTTAGTCTGTTATTTTACTTGCAATTTAAAATAATTCTTGCATGCATGCACAACTTTCAACCGCCCAAAAATTACTTATCTATTAATTTTTTTATTTGCATGCAAATTTATGCCGGTACTAGTCAGAATGGACAGTGACGTGTCAACAAAATTGCATGCAAGAAAAAAATTAGGAGGGGGGGTGGCTAATAAAAAGCAGTGTTGAAAATAATAATAATAGTAACAAAAATTGGTAATTTTAAGGTGAAAGTAAAAAATAGAGTGTTATTGAGTAAAGTGTAATAATACAGTATTAATTGATTGAAATCGGTCAATTGCAATATTTTGGAAGGAACAATATAGAAAAATTCCTGTTGAATTAATTAATTTGAATTTATAATGAAAGTTTGAACATGGAAGAAAAAATCTCAATAACAAAATATTTACCATTTATTGTAAGTTTTGATAATTGAAGTATACCATTTGAAATTATAATATGAAAAATTAATTCAATTTTAAAAAGTTTGTCTTATTTTTAACAGCAGTACTTTACTTTATCTATTTTGCAGTAAGTTTTTTAAACAAATCAATTTAATCATTTAAAAAAATTATTATTAACATACAATTTAGTTTCATTTACTGCCATTGCTACAAATTGGAATTTCAAAAGCATTTAGAGTTGAATCAAAATTTCAAGAAGGTAAGTTCATTATTAAAATATTAATTGTAACAATTAGGAGTAATACCTCCCAAATAATTAATTTTGTTAAAAAATTGTACATTTTATATAAATTTTTATTATAGGTATTAGAGATTTTATCATCATACACTCTTTGTTTATTTTATACAAGATCTCATTATTCAAGTCTTTTTTCACAGATGCAGGAAGAGTTCCTGTAACTGAAGAATGGAGAAATACTCCGGATCCAAAATTAATATTTGAGAGAAAAGATGATGGGAGATTAAGATTCTGCAAGTACGAGCTAGTATATAAACCAGACAGAGCTCATTATTGTCGTCAGCTAAATAGAAATGTACTAAGAATGGATCACTATTGTCCATGGTTTGGAAATTGTATTGGATATTTTAATTATAAATTCTTCTTCCTTGCACTTCTTTATGGGTGTGCTTCACTCATTTACATGATGCTCAGCCAAATTAACACATTGAGCAATATTTGGAATGATACAAATGTAACCTTTGGTCATTTATATCTTATTTCATTGGGAATCTGCTTCAGTGCTGTACTAATTATTATAGTAGTTCCATTCTTCTTATTTCATGCATATATTACTTCTAGAAACGAAACTACTATCGAATTTTGCGAAAAGAGAAGTAAAGAAAAGGTAAGTATAAAACTAAGTTCTATCAAAATCCAACCCTTACCAACATTTTATTCTACTTATTTTCAGGGGTTTACATATGATCAAGGAATATATAAAAATATCCAGAGTGTATTTGGTGAAAACCCACTATTATGGCTTGTCCCAGTCGGTCTACCACCTTCTGATGGGCTTTTCTTCCCAGTTAAAAAAATTGATAAAGAAGTCTAATTCTTAAATCAATCCCATTTACTTAGTAGTCAAATACCTACTGTTTGTAATATTTATTTTAACTCAAAGCTAATTGCTCAATTCTTTGATCTACTACCTCATTCGTTATTAAAACTTCTCCTTTTTTCAATATAAGTTAATCATTCAAAAAAAGAGTTAATACCATGTATTCTTTGTTATTTTAACAAGATACAAGAAAACATGTATTTTATACATCTACTCTCTCAATCAACTATGAATTTTTTCTACATGCAATATTTTCAACCCCACAGACTCGAATCTACCGCTTTTTGTTTTCCCGCCTAAACAAAGCAATGGGGTGTAAAATTACTTGAATCCCTCATCCACACATTAGTTTTGTAAGAAAGAAATAATTGATATATAGAGAATTTGCTTGAAAGAGTTGATTTTAGAGGATTTCTTTTTATCGAAATATATCAATACAGCCGTAAGCTTAGAAAAGTAATTAAAAGCCATAAATCATAGAAAAAAGTAAAGTACCAGTATAAACTGTTTAGATTAAGAGCCAATTAAAAAAATGAGTGAACAATCTAACGTACAAGCAGTACAACCAGAACAAGCTCAACAGATCGCAGCAGCGCAGGCACAAGTCCAGGCGGGGATGAATGCAGGTGTAACATCTGCTGGTGTGCCTTACAGCTCTGGTATGGGCCAAAACATGGTATTTCAATCCATGGCAGGAGGAAGTGGTTATTTCTTCCCTCCAAATGGTTCTGCCCCAATGAGCATGGGAAGTGGAGCTTTTGCAAGTGTTGGAATGCCAGGAATGTATGAAGTAGATCCAAATATGCTTTCAGGTGGCTATTCTGCACCCTATGGTTCCGCAATGGGAAGTAGTTTCTATCTTCCAAATCAATACGGAGGCTCAGGAATTATGGCAATGCCATATACTTACGATCCTTATGGTTTGATTAACCCAGGAATTATCCCTCCAGTTGCAACAAAGATAGCTAAGAAAAAGAGATCAGGATGTTGTTGAACAGTTTTTATTGAATCATAATCGACCTATAAGATATAGTATAGTCAATCTACTGTATTACGTAATTATTCTGTTTCGTAGATTCTTTTGTTTCAAGTTATATTGTAAATAATTATTGTAAAAGCAACCTTCTTGCTGCTTGTCTAACTCTCACATCGAAGGAAGGTGTTAGAATTGGCTGATTCGCCTCCTGGAAGGGATTCATTAAAATTTTTACATACAAATCCCTAACTTCATTAAAGAACTGTCTTATATTCTCACTGCTCTTACCGTGATGTAAGAGTAAAAACTTTGCGTGTCCTGGTGTTACAAATGCAGAAATTTGAGTATCGCCTAGCTTATAAATTGTTCTCATATACCTAAAATATAAGGTGATTTAATAAAATTCCTTTAATCCACAAAATTTGCTCAACTTACAATGCTGAATTCCTCCAAGTATTTTCGTCCAATGCGTCCAATGAAGCATGGAGTAATAACTCATCAGCACAGCCGTTGGACCCTATTTTCCCAGTATTGTTCGACAAATCTACCTCATACAGAGGGGAATCATTTCTTCCCACTATTGTGAATATCAAACAATCTTGATTTGTTTGTATCATAACCACAAATTTATTGCCTAACCAGTTAGCTTGGTAATGCTATGCATGACCCGCCAAAACTGGTATAGAAAAGTAATTGTTTGAAAAAAGTCAAAAAAAAATAAGTGACAAATAAAATGTTTTAAAAAATAATTACCTTTATTATTCAAAAATCTTACCAATTAACTTTGAAAGTATTCCTCGCTGAAAATATCCATTTCAACTGAATGTTTGGATCTTTCAGGATGCCAAACAATAAAACCATTTCTGTGGGGTCCTTTCTTTAAATTATCAAAATACTCTCCTGAAATTGATTTTTAATAATTTCTTAGTTTCTTCTAGATTTAAGATTATATAGACTTACCTTCTCTAATACAAATTCTTCTTCTAGTTATTGGGTCTTTATATGTAGCAACACATTCTTGGTCTTTTCCATACTCCTGTGGTAGTCTTTGATAAGAAGAACTATCAAATGCAACGTTCAATGTAGGGTCCACCCTAGTTTTTGAGTATATTTCCTCTATAATTACATACAAAATATTTTTTATTGTTGAAATCAAGTGAATTATTTTTTTTTTTTTTATATTTAAAGCTTACCATAAGTGAGGCATTCTGGATCTATACTGGACCTAAACCAATAACAATTAGCATTCACATCATAAAAGTATGCCAAGTGGTTTGCATCTGAAGTTTTGTAATGAATTCTTTTGCCATTATTGTTTCTTAGGTGGTATTTATAAACTTTTCTATCAACATCTGAAAGAGTTTAAATAGTCTTTAACTATGAATAACAACTCACAGTCTAATTCATCTATAACTGGGTATATTCCCATTTTTTCTGCTTCAATGGGTGACTCAATTTTTCTAATCACTAAATTTTCATTTTTAATAATATTTTGAACAATAAAATAACTTATAATAAACATACATTCGTGATTAATGTCAACTCTTGTACTATTAGAATACATCCTTTCGTCCTCAAGCATCTTCTTGACAATCATTTTGTTTACATTATCTTTCCTGGATTTGTGGTTTTGTTTTGGTGGTTTAATAAATCCTTTATAAGCTTCTTGATTTCTGATTGGAAACAATAAAGTTAAATATTTAGGCTTATCAGCAACTAACTCAGAACTAGTTTCCGAGCTGTAGTTTATTTACCTTCTTCTTTTCTTTTCTATTTCGCTAAACTCTTCTTTCTGCCTTTGGAACTCTTTATAATAACTAGCATCTATGTCTCTCTTATTATACTCCTCCACTTTGTATATATTTTCCTTTAAAGATGGAGAGTCATAGCCAATAACTGCCTTTTCTGGCAAATAATAGGGGTAGTTTGTAAGATCCGAGAAATTTGGATATTCCCTCGAGTTTATTTGTCCAAGCACATCCTTAGCTGAACCATAAATTTGAGATTCAACATTATATAAATAACCTAGTAAAAGTATAGATATCAAGCTCAAACATTTGGCTAAAAACTTTTTCAACTTTGTCATTTTTTTTGTTTGACTTATTTCTTTGATCACAGCTTATTTTTCTCTTACCTATGGCTTAAGTGCCCCAATATTACCGTAATCCGAGCATTCTGCATTGTTTGGCAGTGACAATCAAATGCATGCAAATTACAAAGTTAATAATTTTTGTATATCAAACTTTCTAGGCAATTAAAGTCTTTAAAAGAAAGAAAACTCAAAGTTATCTAAATAATAAATGAAAGAGATAGATGAAAATTCAAGAACGTGGTCTGGAACACGTAATATGAAAGACTTTGAAATATCTTCAGAAATTAGGGAAGAGAAAAAAAATAGGAGCCAACAAAAACACTCAAAAAGAATAAAGAGTTGCCTGAATTACTTGCTAGTCGCAGCAGCTACTGCAATTGCTTTGATTTTAATCTTTATAATTTTAGATAGAAATGGAAGGAACCCTGTACTAGTTTATTTCCAAGGGATATTTCCTTCAAAAACTGGAGAAGAAGGGGAATTTTTCAGATCAAATTTACAAGAAGTAGCAGATACTCACAGCTTTATGGAAAAAGGTGTGAATTCCAGATACCATAATAGTTCTGGAAGCAGTGATCAACTTGGTTTGAAATCAGATTCTGGTCATTATCAATCAGTATTAGAGTTATATATGAATAGGCTCTTTGTTACTCCTTTAAATAAGATGAGTTTGACTATCCCAGTTAATGATCAGATACTCAGAAGTTATCAAGTTGAAGCAATAGATTACTCAATAGATGACGAAATGGTTTTGTATCTCTCTCTAGAGCACCAACTTAAAATTAACAACGAGACTATGGTTTTATATGATAAGTCCATGAATGTAATTAGTCATTTCCCAACCTACGGAGATGAAAGAGATACCGAAAAGGATGTTAATCAAAATGCAAACATTACAAACAACCAAAATAATAGTACGGAAAATAAGCTTAGAAACAATGAAAATAAAAGACGTTTACAGCAGCTAAAACAGCATGAATATTATAATTATACATCTACATCAGAGTGGAACCATAAGCCAGAAATTGTTAATAACATTATTCCAACATACTATCCTAGGAATCCGTACGTTCCACCATATGGAAATCCCTATTACTTTGCCCCAAATATATTAGTTCCATATGTATATATTTATTAAGAGAATTATAAATCCAGCCAAACAAGAATTAATTAAATGATTTTTCGAATAGATATGATTTATTTAAATAATCTTAATAGCTTCTAATAGTTCTATTAACCATAAGCTCAATCTTGGACAAAATATCATCATTAAGTAACTGGAGCTGCCCAGCTGGAGCCAAAATATGCAAAACTATAAGAATATCATTAGCTACTAACTCCTTCCCAGATTGAGTAAATTTCTCACTCCATTCTACAACAAAATCCAATATTGATTTCCCCCTTAGAGAGAAAGATCCCTTATCAATTACCATAACAAAAATAACGCCAAGCTGCTCAGAAATCCTCCAGAGGCAACTAAACCCTCTATATGAGGCGTCCTGAATATGGCAAATCCCTTCATATCTCATCGGATCAAACATTGAGATCTGGCGAATTATGGTATTTAACACATTTTGCCTAAAGTTTTCAGAGTCAAGATCAGCCTCATAAATGTTACTCAGTGAAATTTGTTTCGGTTCCCAACATCTACTTTCATAAATACTTTCCAAGATCCGGATACCCAAATCAGAAAATACTTCATTGTTGTTCAAAGGTAGCACATAAAAACACTTCATTTATTTTTTTTAGTATATCGCAATTTGGCGCCAGTAATTGAGCTAAGATGATTAATGAATCACTAAATTGGAATATTAAAAATTTGGGGAATATCACTTCGATATTTTATCAGGATATATTAAGAAGTTTTGGAAGTAACTTGAGGAGGTGATGGTCGTTTATATATGTTTTAACTATTACTTATTTCTTAAAGTGGATTAGTTTGGTTTAATTCCAAGTATGAAGATAAAAAATTTTAAAACATGCTAGAAACATAACTTCAAGGTATTACAAACTAGACCAAGTATTATGAATCTCCTTAAATTGTTGTTTTCTTTTTGTCATAGTCTTCCTTGTACTGATTAATCTTTTCAACAAGATCTTTGACATTTGATAAGAAATCCTTTAAATTTTCTTTCAGAATGTCATTTTCCTTTTTTTCGTTGTTTTTGTTTTCGAGTTCTACGTCTTTACTGAGTTTATTCCGTCTTAAATCGTCTGCTTCTTTCAAAAGCTGGGCATAAGCTTCAATCTTTATTGAAATAATTCTTAGTAAATTGGCTCTAATCTTCTCTAGAACTCGGATCCTTTCTCTCAAAGATTCGTCATCCAAGCTTTTAGGATCTACCTTGAACTCACCTTTTATTGCTCTTCTTTTACAAATGTGTTCGTTAATTGAATTTTTTAACTCAATTCTGTCTTGAACAATTTTTTCCCTGATCCTTTTCTCCAAAACTGGAGAAACATCAGTATCCAAAACGCATTTCTTGCCAGATTTCCTCCTATTATTAGAGTACATTATGCCAAAGCAATGCTTAAGGCAATAAACAGTATTTTTACAAATCTACTTCAGTTGACTTTCTTCAATTCATATGTTTGGCTTTAAGTTTGTCCTAGATTTGCCTTTAATTTTAACTCTGTTCGAGAAACTTTCCGACAGTCCAAATTGTTAAAATATAATAGAGAAAACTCTGAAAAGCTTTTGAATTTTCCTCTTAATTATCCCTTCTTTATTCTTTATTAAATTAACTTCAATATTAATACCAGACTATAAATGGCGCCAGCACATTAAATTAGGCAAAATAAATAATGGCATGAAAATAAAGTGAATATGAATTTATGGCAGGCTTAATATTTTCAATATTGAATTCAAAGATCAGAATCTACTATCCGGCCAGCTTAACTTCATATTTTGAATCATATGTTTTTTGGCTTTTAATTTATGAAATTTCGTATTCTATATTATAACTTACAGTCCCACAATAAGCATGAGTGCATTAAGGCTTGACAGTTTTGAGTTTGAGGAAGATGAGGAGCAAAGGAAGGGAAGTTTTGACAGCTCTAATTCTTTACATACTGACTGGTCTCTTTCATCTGATGGTGTATCTTTGTTACATAAAAGTACAGGTGTTCATATCACTCATGAAGGTACAAAAGGTCTTGAATCAGACTACGGTCTTGGAGATATTTATGTATCGTTTGAGGATTTTGAGGTCAATCCAACTCCACTAGGTCATGGAAGAAGCTCAATAGTGTTCAGTGCAATCCACAAATTATCAGGTAAAGCCGTGGCCATTAAAGATATTTATGTAGGAGATATTTTGCATCAAACTCAACTCTCTGCAGAAATACACTCATGGAGACTAACCAGTTATTGTCCTTTACTAGTACAATTTCTTGGTGCTTTTATTAAACCAAACAAAAATGTGGTTTGTCTCGTGATGGAGTACATGGAATTTGGTACTTTAAGTGACATTCTTTATAAGAATCTGAATAGAAATATTCAAAGTGATGGAATCCCAGAAGGAGTCAAGGAAAGCTTCCTGAAGTTTATTTCAATACAAATAGTGGATGGACTTGCATATCTTCATCAGAATAACAGAATACATAGAGATGTCAAATTAAATAATATTCTAATTAACCAAGATGGAGCAGTAAAAATAAGTGATTTCGGTATTTCAAAGCTTATTGACCAAAATTCCACTAAAGACCAAAATAAAAACGTCTCCACTTTTGTCGGAACCCAAATATATATGAGTCCAGAAAGATTACAAGGTAAATCGTACTCTTTCTCTAGTGATATTTGGAGCCTCGGAATTTGTATTTATGAATTAGCTGTGGGAACTCATCCATTCAAAAATCTTAGTCTTTTTGATATGGTTTATATTTTATGTGAAGATAATTCAGAAAATGGTGAGCCATTGCCATTTCTAGAAAAAATAATAAAAAGATGTCCTTTACCTGAACACTTATACAAAAATAACGACTTTTATGCTTTTCTCCAAGGATGCTTAGAACTAGATCCTTTAAAACGTCTCACTGCATTCCAACTCCAAGATTTCAAATGGTTAAATTCTGGTACTTGTAATCGCTACGAATTCTTAACCTGGTTACAACAAATTCGGAAACCAGATAGCAATTAAGAAAACCCTGGACCTTGCAGGGGGCTCGTGGTGCAGTGGTAGCTACGTGTGCTTTGCATGCACAAGGTCCCGGGTTCAATTCCCGGCGGGTCCACGTTTTTATGTTACCTGGTATGTACCCGACCCCTTTGTGGCGCCCAAGTTAATATATTTAAATATAGAAATAGAAATGAATAACTGTTAATGTTTTTGACACTAAGTTTTAAAGATCAACAATACCAATTATATAATATGACATTTTACTGAAATAATAATCATTTGATTTTATCGATTTTCCTATCTTCCATTCTCCCACAATTCAATCTTTAATATTAGTTTTCTTTTAAATGTATTTGTGATTTGCTGTAAAGACATTCATTTGGAAAGAAGATAATTGCATGTTGTAATTCAATCATATTTAACATAGAATTTGTTTAATGCTATGGAATCGAGTGGAATGAATAAAACGAAAAAACTAGGCAAGAAAAAAACAAAAGACAATCTGGTGAACACCTCTATATATGTAACAGGACTTCCGAAGGATATAAGTCCTGAAGAGATGAAGGACTTTTTTGGTAGGGGAGGTGTTATTAAGATAGACCCAACAACTTTGACTCCAAAGATTAAACTTTATAAAGATGAAGTGACAAGGGAATTTTCTGGAAACGCTCTAGTTGTTTATAAGTTCGAGCAAAGTATTGAATTAGCTCTCAAGTACCTAAATGAAACTGAGATTAGGCCAGGCTTTAAAGTAAAAATTGAAAAAGCTGTGTTCACCAAGTCATCCAAACCAAATATTGCCCCATTATCTCAGGCCGAAATTGATAAGAAAAGAAAACAACTGAAAGCAGCAGAAATGGAAGAAGAAAGGCTTTTATCCTGGAGTAACGAGCAACACTCACTAAATAGTAACATTGCCTCTAGAATAGTTGTACTTAGGCCAATGTACTCCAGAAAAGAAGCCGAAACGTACCCTGAGGGTGATAAGTTTTACAATGAACTAGAAATGGAAGTTCAGGATGAAGTAACTAAACATTGTGATGTAGTCAGTGTTACTTGTATCCCCAGACATCCACAAGGAATTGTTTGTGTCAAGCTCAAATCTCAGCATGATGCTGAAATTGTTATCGATATCTTTAACAAAAGATATTTTGATGGTAGACAAATTGAGGCTTTTATGTATGACGGAAGTACCGACTTTAAGGCATCCTGTATTTAGTCTATACTTGCATTTTATAGTACTCTAAATAGTTATTTCCCATGTGTTGTAGTAACTCTTCTTAATGTTAGAATGTTTCTACCTTGCTTTCTTACATAAGATACTATACGAAACAGTCACTTTTAACTTTCAATGCCCAAGTAATCAACAGAAATATCTCAGATGAAATACAAATGTCGAAACCAAAAGCCCGCCAACTTCTGCCAGGGGGAGGAGATGAAGGGGCAGATTAAGTTTGAAAAAGAAAATTAATAATAAAGAAATACCAATGAAGGGACTCTGGAAAGTGTGTGTTTGCCTTGCACTTTCTCTAGAACTTATGGGAAAGATATGCCTGACTTTTGCAGGAGACATACTAAAAACAGGTCATGAAGAACCAGTTATTAAAAGTACAAAAATTCACTCAAATGAAGGCAACGAATTGGAAAAGCCCACAACTTCAGATCAAAGTATTGAGGCAACTGATTTGAACCACATCTTTGATATTGAGGAATCTGATAGTTCCCTTGAAGAAAATAAAAAAGGTCACTTCTTACTTGAATGGCTTAGAGAAATGAAAACCTTTATACCATCAAACCACTTTGTGTTTGATCTCAATTCTAAAGCTGACGAATACTTTTACTTTGATCTTGATGAGGAAAATCCCTATATTTTACTTGGTTATTATTGCACTGATGATACCCAAGGCAGAATCCATGTCACAATTAACAATCCAGAATCAAAAAGAATATACAGCAAGCATGGCTGTGAAGGTGTATATAATAATAAACCTCCAGAAGATGGCTCAAATGATGAGAAAAAGGACCACCGCATTAAAGGAACCTATACCCTTATTCTCTCTAATCACCGATGGCATGATACAATTCGGATATCTCTACTTGTAGGAAACGACTCAAAAAAAAACAAAGCTGTTGACAAAAAAAATGTAGACAAACTAACTTCCAAGTTAGAAAATGTTGATAATATTCTAAGTATAATAAATACAGAAAACCAATATAATTGGGCTACCACAAAGACCAATTTGAGCATGATTTATAATGCAGACAGTCAACTATTTTTTTATACAGCTATTCAAATCATTTCTATAATTCTTGCTTCAGCTGTTCAAATTTATTATCTCAAGACCATCTTGACCGGTAAATAACCAATTATATTAGTAGGGTATTTTGTTTTTATCCACCTCAAAAGTAGATGCTCTAAATATATCAAAATATTACCTTTTTTGTATATTTTAACTCTTAATTCAATCTCAACGAACTAATACATAATTTAAATATTCCAACATTTTTTTCTTTTTATCATTTTAAGTTTCTAGATCTCTTTTGCATTTTATTCGATACCTACTCATTTTTTGGCGCCTGACTAATGTTTTTTTTTGTGAGTTATGCTCACTAAACGCGGTAAATTCCCAAATACTAATAAAATAATGAATTAAATTCATTTCCTTATATAAAAGAGCTTTGAGGGCCAAATTCTTTATAATGCCCAATTCAAATAGCTCTTTAACTAATTCCTTGAGGAATAATGTCAAATCAGCTGTTTATAAAGGAGTTATTCGAGTTGCTAATCCCTTAGAACGTTTTGTTACAGTAGATGATCGAGTAAATGGTCCTTTTGACATTTACATATTTGGATATAGAGGTTTAAATGGTGTAATTCATGGAGATACTGTTCTAGTAAAGGTTACTGGAGTCTTCCAAGGAAGGCTTATTAAAAGATTTAAGAACAAGGATAGTAAAATATTACAACAAAGTAAACAAAATGAGCAAAGATCTTCATTTACTGTTTCCGATTCCACTGAAGTAAAAAATCATCTCAAATATCCTAATTATGTCGAAGAAACTAATTCTGAAAATAATTCTGATGAGGAGAATCAAGATTTACACGAAGATAACTTAACATATGTAACCAGTCAAGATGAAGAAGATCTTGATAGTTTCCAAGAAGATAAAAGTACTCCAACAAGTCAAAATATAGGCTCAAATAAGGAAAACGTGAATAATTCTAATCAGTCCGAGTTATTAACCAATTCTAATTCTCACTTGAAGCATCCAATTCCAAAGTATGTTGGAATTATCATTAAAGTCGTTGAATCAGTTACAAAAAAGGCTCCAATTGTAGGTTTTATCCTCCCTATTTCATATTTTTTAAAGCTTAATAAGGAAGCCAAAATGAAGAAGAAGTTCAAAATGTCTGGAAAAAAACCTAAAATTGGTGAGGAATTCAAAATTCAAAACTGTTTCAAAACAATAGGTATTGACGATAATGATTCAAAGATGAGGACTTTATTAACTTCGGAAAATATTGACATTAAAAAAAATGAATTTTGTTTTGTTCCTATTCAAAGAGTCTATCCAATAATGAAATTATTTATTAATGATCAAACAAGGAATACTTTTTTAAAAAATAATGCAAATGAAAAGAATATGATGAGTTGTAACTTGCTTTTTGGTGCAGTAATTGAAATAAATCGGGTAAGAAAAAATAGAAGATTACAGCTCACTAAGTTTTATGGATCTTTTAATAAATTTGAAACAATTTTTTCGAGCTTATTAGACTGTTTTGAGCTGAGTTCCCACAGTAAGATATATAATCAACATCATAATAGTAGAATTAATGTTTCAAGCTCTTCTAAAGAGTGGCTGAAGCAAAGTAACCGAAAAACATTTGAACCGAGTGAATACCGAGTCATTACTATTGATCCACCAACAGCTAAAGATTTAGATGATGCAATACACATCAAATTTGATGAGAAATTGAAGATTTATGAGGTTGGGATCCACATTGCTGACGTATACTATTATATGTTGAGACACAAAGGATTACTTAAAACGGTAACCAAGGAGCTCTGCACTAGTGTTTACCTACCACATACCAATTTCCCAATGCTTCCACGTATTTTTTCCAGTGACTTATGCTCGCTTCTTCCAAACCAAAAAAGACCAACTTTATCTTTAATCATCAAAATAAACGAAGAAGGGGAAGTTTTAGGAGAACCTGAATTTTTTCATGGAATAATAACTTCAGTTGGAAAGTTTTCGTATGATGATGTGGATGAATTATTTGAGATTTTTGACCAAATTGATATTAGCAAAGAGTCTACTTCCAAAAAGTTGTTGAATTGTTGTCAAAGCAGCAAAGTTATTGAAATCATGAAAAGATCTACAGTATACAAAAAAAACAGAAAAAATGTTTTACGTGATTTATTACTTTTAAGGATATTAACTAAGACAATTCGAAATTCTAAAGCAAGAATAAACTCAATTAAACTATTCAATGTTGACCCTTGTTTTAACTTTAATAGTAAATTTCAAAGAATTATCGAACCATTTAATATAGTCAAAAGCAACAATTCGTTTGGTTCAAATAAAGATGATATAATTATTCCTAATATTGAATTGAAATTTGATATATTCAGTAACACTCCAAACTCCTTGAAAAATATTGCTCCAAAGAGAGTTACAATTTATTACAAACACTCCACTTCCCATTCTTTAATTGAAGAATTAATGTTACTAGCTAATAGAGTAACTGCTGAATTCACTGTTAAGAATAGACCAGAATCTAGCTGTATTATAAGAATACATGATGAAATTTCCAATACAAAATTATATAACTTAATCACTTATTTGAGAAAGCATGGATTTAGCAATATATTCGAAGACAATATTAAAAGGGAAAATATCGTTAATGGCTTGTATAGGCTTTATAAGGATTATGGGTTATTATATTACTGTGCTGTAAGTGAAATGCTTAGAGATATCTTTAGCAGAGCCAAATATATGGTTTATAATAAAGATGCACGTGACTCAAATATCTCAACGAACCACTTTGCTTTAAATATGAATATGTATACCCACTTTACTTCTCCAATACGCAGAGCTGCAGATATTTTAGTACATCAAATGATATATGACATATTGGATAATATATCAGGGTCTAAGAATAAAGGAAAAGGTAAATCTTATGATAAATATAATCAACTAATATTTTCTGAAGATGATCACATCACCATCTGCGAGAACTCAAACACAAAATCAAATGCCAGCAAGAATATGCAAAGAGATTCAAACAATATTTTTTTTTCTCAATTAATTAAGAAGATTGATACCTTTATTCCTAGTATTGCATGTATACACAAAATAAATGCTCAGAAATTCAAAGTTAATTCAGTTTTGCTTTATCCTACGGACTTCTACCAAGTATTCCTTATTGATTCAAAGTCTTTTATCAAAAATAGTTCACTTTTCTCTATGTTTAAGTTGCATCCTTCTTTACCTATTCATATTACACCTAAAGATAATAAAATCGAGCTTCATTGGAAATTGCACAAGGGTAACCTGAGAACTTTGTCAAAGAAACTAAATATTTCAGGAAAATTGGAAATCCGAACCTACTTGAATGTAATTAACGATCTGATGAAAAACAAATTCCAACATAAACTAATTTTTGATCAAACAAATCAACTCATTATCCAAACTATCGGAATCTGGTCGTATCTCCCAGTTAATATCGTCCCCACCACAACTTTACCTCCTAAATTCGTTGTAATCCCAATGAACCCGCTAAATCATCATTTCTATGACCAAATCTCAAACTTTAATTAACTCTAAACTTGCAGGAATCTTGAAAACATCACTTTTGTCAAGATTTACACTTTGCGAGTACCCGCCAAAATTAAGGCGGGTTTGCCGATATTTGTGCGCCAAACATGTAAAATATGTTCATATGTAGAAAAGTAAAATTAGAAAGGATTTCATAAGAGACATTAAGAATATAATTATATTGATATTGATTATAAATTGTATATAACACTTTATAATATATAGGGTAGCTAATCTTTATAAATTTTGCAAGACTTATGAAATGGCAGTGAATCCTGCGTTTATTCCAAAGGAATTGACAGACGTGTATGCACCAGAAAACTATGACCCAAACTGTAGCATTTTAGCATGTAACTTTCCTACTGGAACAAGCGTCGAGGAATGCTCAAATTTCATGTCATGGATTGGCCCAGTAGTTTATGTAGAGGAAGGCCCTTCACTTCAAAGAGAAGCAAATTTTTTGGTAGTTTACTCTAAACCAGACTTTGCTGTTAAGGCTACACAGGAAGAGCTTGTATTTAATGAAGGGTGTAGAGTTTATTGCAGGTTCGTGGATGCAAGACCTACTATATGGGGAAATATTACAAACTTTTTCCAAGGAATAGACCAACAATACAGAGGCTCTGACCAAGTTTCTAACTTCATTAATGATACTGCAGGTATGTTTCATTTGTTTGTGAATGCTTATTCAGGAATAGGACTAGAATTAGAGTTAAAATCGGTATTGATATCTAAATAAAAAAGGTACACTGTACTAACTTGGCATCTTTTTAGTTAGTACAATCTTCTTGCTATTCCAAGACCAAACCATTCTCTATAATTCCTAAGGAATTATTGGATCAGTGAATGTGATTTGTTCCATCCATAGCAAATAATAAAATTTTTAAAATTCCAATATTTGGAATCGATTTTCTTTAGATGCATCTAATTGAAGAAAGCTCCAATATTGGCCAAAGACCTACCATTAACCAATTTTCAGGCTAACAGATATGATATACTCCCAATATCAATATCTTCTTTTAACTCTAATTTTTGAACCAAATCCCTTTTAAATCCTGAAATAAAGCATTCTGATATTTTTTGGTATACTTATTCAACCTGTTCTATTTCCTTCTATTGTTTTATTTTAGCACCTACAATTTACTCTGCCACTGACCAAGTCAACGAAGGTATACAGAACATCTTTTATTCCGACATTTCCAACCAAATGATTCAGGGATTTACCAACTTTTCTAACCAAGTCAGAGATTCTGTAATGTATGCAACAAATTCTTTATACTCTCCAATGTAAAGAATCATACTTTTATTTCGCGGAATTCGCTCTATCTGTGTATCCTAAGGATAACTTTTGCTCTTATAGAAATCAAAGATTAATAATATTAAAGCCGCTATAATATTGAAGTATGTCAAATAACATTGATAACTGAGGAAAGATAAACAAGAGTGTGGATATTAATATTAATTCAAACTTACCTTTTTGTTTTGTAAGTTTCTTCCAACTTTTCCAGGTAAATTTTGGATTCATCCAGATAATCTACAGCATCATTTGCATCTGCTAATATGGTTGAACAGATCTCTGATTGTTCTTGTATCTTCGTTGAGAAGAAGCTCATTAGGGATGAAATCTCGTGTAGTTGATTTTGAGACTCTTTTAAAGCATCAATGTCAGAAGTAAAATGGTTAAGTAGTTCTTGAGCAACTTTCTCCATTTCAGGAGTTAATTCTTCCATCTCTGGGTCTAGATCCCCATCATATGAGTTATTATTGTTATTATTGTTATTATCCAACTTAGAATAACCTAAATCTGTTGAACTTGAACTAGGCTTACTTTTTTTCTCTTTAGTTTTGAACTTTTGGCTTCTTAAATACTGAGCTTCGAGCCTTTTAGCCATTCTAGATTGTGCCTGAGATGCAAGTTCTCCCAATAAAGTATAAACATTAGAAATGATCATCCTCCTATAAAGATACTTATTTTTATTTTCAATATTGCTTTCTTCCTCAATATTCAATTCTTTTTCCAAGTTTAACATTTTGTTCTGGCAAAGCTGAACTTTCTCCGAAAGGGAAGAACATTTTTTTTCCTCATTCATCTCATTATTCTTATATATTATAGAATCCAAGTTCATTATACTTCCTTCATCAAGTTCTTTTTTCAAAATCATTATATCACTACACTAACTAACTTTAGATAAATCTGTAAAAACTCAATTCTCAACTTACTATTTCATTTACATCTTTCATAAACTGGGAAATTTTAACTTCAATAACTTCAAACTCTAAAGAGTTTCCCCCACTTAATTCTCGGAATCTCTGGGTTTTATCATACATTATTCCTTTCTTTGCTTTGTAAAATAACTGCTTCAAGTATTATTCCTATATAAAAAAAAAAAAAATCTTACTAAGTTCAATTAAGAATCTTTATTAGCTTGATTTATCCTTCCTAATATACATTATTTTTATTAAAATTATTCACTCACTTTTTTCTCAAAAAAAAAAAATTTTTTTTTTTTTTCGGTACTAGTATGCCGGTATACAAAAAAAAATCGATACCCATGGTTTTTCTATTAATTTAAAAATATATAGAGATTTTTAAATTAATAAAATAATTTGGGCATATGTGAATAAAATGAAATGAATGAACCGAATAATGAGGTTTATTTGGAATTAATTCCTTATCATATTAATTAGAAACAAAGATTGATCAAAAAAATAAAAGATGAGAAGAAGCTCATTTAGTAGATCTCCTTCTCCAGAAGTGAGGAATACATTAGAACCATTGAAAAAAGAGTACAATACTGAAATTAACTCCTTGGTTGAAAAGGATCATGAAAATAAGAATTTGAAGATTGAGATAAAAAAATGCAAAGCTCTATCAGTTGAAAATCCTGAATCAGCTCCCAGCCGAGATAAACCAAAGTTTGAAGATGAAATAAAGCAAGAAATACAGAAAGAAGACAATATAGCAGGGTCAAATGTTGATTTTGAGGAAATTGACGACATCTTTGCATCAGATACTGAGCAAGTTATATCTAAAGATGGCAAACTATTGGGAAACCCAAGTTATAATAAAAGACTAGAATGCGATGATGATGATGGATACTATTTAAGTTATATTGGAGAAATTATTGGAAACAGGTACAAAGTCTCGAGTAATAGCACTGGTAAAGGAATGTTTAGCACTGTTGTTAAATGTGTTGATATGGAAACTCAAAACGAGGTAGCAATCAAGATAATTAGAATTAATGACATGATGAGGAGTACAGGAGAAAAAGAGTATTCTTTTTTTAAAAAGTTTAGAGGTGCTCCAAATATTGTCCAGGTTCAAGGATCATTTATACATCAGAACCACCTTTGTATAGTTTTTGAATGGTTACATGGATCCTTGAAGAACTGCATCCACAATATTTCCAAACATAATATTAGAAAGACACAAGATTTGGCCTTCCAAATATTACAGGGACTAAAACTAGTTCATGAGAAAGGACTGGTTCACGCAGATCTTAAGCCAGAGAATATTTTAATAGATTCTGGAAGGAAAACCATACGAATTAGTGATTTTGGAAGTATGCACTACACTTCAGATGCCTCCCCTGCATGTTACTTGGTGAGTAGATTCTATAGAGCTCCAGAAATTATTCTGGGTTGTATTTCTTATGGTCAACCTATAGACGTTTGGAGTATTGGTTGTGTTCTTTATGAGTGCTTCACTGGGGATATATTGTTCAAAGGAAGAACAAACAACGATATGATAAAGCTAATTATGGAATACAGAGGGAACTTTCCAAAAAGGCTCCTTAACCAGGGAGTGTTTACAAAGAACCATTTCTCTGAATGCTTTACACAATTTAAGTGGATTAACTTACAGGGAATGTTACAAATTATTAAGAATCATACTCAAAGCAAAAATATCTACAACGATATGATAGATTCTGTAAATTCGTCAGAAATAGTTTACTCTGAAACCGAGCAAACTTTGATTCGGAGACTTTCCAATTTAATAGAAAGATGTCTTATTATTGACCCTAAAAAGAGGATATCTGCAAAGGAAGCTCTGGAACATCCTTTTTTTCAACTTAAGTAATTAGTTGCATAAATTAATATTCTCATTTGAGATATTCCCCCTTTTACTTTTGTTTCTATCCTCATTTACTTCAATAATCTTAGAATTTTTTTGATCATCTCTAATACTTTTTTCCAAAGCCAAACACATTTTCTTGATCTCCTCATCCTTCAGACCCAAAATTAAGTCTAAATTGAGTTTGAGATCAGTTGCATCTTCAAAAAATTTATTATTATCAAAGTGGCTATTCAGTGCCAAAAATTCGGGTTTTTTCAGGATTAGCCTGAAGATGGTCCACTCTAAGCTTTGCATATCCTGATCTTTAAGATCAACACACAAGTAAGAGTAAATATGAGACATAATTTTATTCAAGTTAAGCTTTTTGATATGTTTTGGAAACTTTAAATTGAGCAAATAAAGTGACAGAATCCCATATATATTTGAATATGATACTATATCAGAGTTTGTACTCTTTCCTAAATACTCACCTGCCTGTCTCAAAAGTAAAATACCAAAAAGAAGAAGTTTGCTTGCGTTTTTAGAATACAAAGAACTCCAAGTTGTTGTCCCAACTTTTTCGCAAATTCTATCTAAAAGCCTATATAGTGAGATTGTGAAGTTTCTTAGATGCTGAAAGCTCAGAGTTATGTAAGTTGAAAATAAATATATCAACATTTGCTTGTCCCCAGATGATTTTGACAAGTCTTTTAAGTTAATTAACAAGTCAACAGAAAATATGTCTGAAATAGAATCTTGGTTCTCTGGGGAAGTTTTTCTTGATCTTAAAGATACAATATTTTGTGGTTCTACTAATACATTGAATTCGTCTAAAGTACCTGTCATATAAGTTAAATAAAGCAAAGAAATCAAAATTTCAATAGAAATTTGAGTATCTTGGTTACTTTCCCTTAAGCAAAGTAGAATCCTGGCTACCCCTCTTAGAGAAATGGAAGAAAGCCTATAAGTAGAGAGGCTTGAACCACATGCAAGCTCCCAAATAATCTGTAAACCCTTAAGGGTTTCTGGACCCAAATCTAAAGTTCCTCTCTTTTTCATTTGTCTAATCATAAAAATATCTACTATTGATGATACGTAAACTTCACATAGAACTGAAACATAGAGAATAACTGACTGATTCGGACTTTTTGATGTATTAGATACCTCTTGAGAGAGTTCCTGTAAAGCGTTTTCCAGGCCTTTAATGAAAAAAAGTAAATTATCATTTTCATTGTCATTTAAGTTTACAGAAGGTGAGGACTTCTCTTGAACAATTGTAATTAATGCAGTAGACCTTGCAAGCAAAATCTGTGGAATTCCTTGTTCTTGAGAGTGTCTGACGAAAAATCTAGTTGATTGCTTTAAAATATCCTCTGTCAAATATTTTGAATCTTTAATTTCTATATGAGTCAGAACGGACATTGAAGCTTCCAAAATAAATAGAATTCTCATCCATCTGTTTTCAACCATCTCTTTAAGAAGCTGATATGCAGAAAAGGACTCGTCAGACTCCTTAATTTCTGTTTGAGAATCCAAAAAATCAACCAAATCTTTCATTTTATACATACTTAGCTCAGCCTCTGAACCTTGTCCATTTTCCTCTATAGGGTTCAAAATCTCTTCTATAATCGCCTTGATTGCATCTAAGAACTCATCATTTTCCAGGCAATTTTCCAAAAGCTTTACGGAGGCCCAAATGACAGATCTATGCAAAAAGAAAGCTACCCATTCACCTCCTTGCGATGATCTTATCATTGACTCCAAGGGAATTAGCTCTGACTCCAAAAGTTCCACAGAATCATCAAAAGGAGTGAATTTAAGGCAATTTAAAGCGAGAGACTTCATTGTTTTTCTCACCTCAGGATCACTCTTATCTATGCAGTTCATTATCAAAAGTATTTGACGAATTAGGAATGAATTATTTGAAGACCTTGAAATAGAAAAGATTAGATTCTCAATGCTAAATCTGTCATCGTTTTCTAAATCCAGCTCTTTCTTATAATTTTCAACCATTACCCTGATTGACAGTATCTTACTGGGGCTTAATTCAGAAATTAAAATAGGCTTTTGATCGGGATTTGAGTTTTCTTTGTTTTCTTCTTGTAATAATTCTCGGAAAAAGTCTCGAATATTATGATTATGCATTAATATCCTTGGAATCAATAATTCTGTAACTGCTTCCAAATTAGCAACAGTTATATCCAAAAGGTTATCTGTAGAAATAGAATCTATCATTTTGTCCAAAAATGAGATAAATGCACTACAACTGAAAGTACCATCCCCAAAGATTTTTCCAATAAACTCCAAGATAAAATTCAAGCAAAAATTCCTAACGGAAAGTTCTCTGTCATTTAGTCCAAACTGGCAAATAATCACTATTTGAGACCATGAAACAATTCCAGATATCATCTTTGCAAAATCCTCTAAGTTCTTAAGTAAACTCTTATAAAATGCTTTCCTTACTTTGCTATTTTCGTCCAGCATTCTGGAAAAAAGATCATTAACATCATTTTCATCCAAAAATCTTAATTGAAGATTGTTCAAAGATTTTAATCTCTCAATTTGGCTTTGGGAGCTCATAATCATTTTCATTAAATAATCTTTACCATTAGAAATTAATCCTAAATTAGAAATTGCTATCCCTTTAGCTACAACTGATTTGTCTTTCGAGACTATTTGGAATAAAATTTGAGAAATAAGGTTTAGATCCAACCCAAGGTTTTCTATATTTTCATTTTGTATCATTTTTAATACTATGTTTATACCCTGGAGTGAATTCACTCGGACTCCAAGCTCCTTTGCCAAAACCCCTTTTAACAGCAATTCCTCCAATATTATCTTGGAAAATCCTCTAAAAAGTTGTGAGCTTTTCTTCTCTTCTTTAAATCCCAATTCAAACAATAAATTAAAGGTGCAATTGACATTTTGGTCTCTCAAATTAAAATTTTTGAGGGCAAAAGCTAAAGTATTTATCAAAATTTCTTTCAATTCTTCTCCATTTATATTCTTTCTAAGTTCAGAAATCGCCTCAGAGCTATCTAAAATTCCACTCTGGAATTCTTTTAATATTCTGTCCATTTCACAAAAACCGGTCATTCTGGTTATTCAGTGTTTCTTTATTTCCCAAGTGTAATTGAGAATTCGAGTTAATGGCAGTGAATGAGAATGCAGTTCGACCCAATTAAAAGAACTTATCCCAAAAACTGTCAAATAATCGGATCCTTATTTTACAATTCTGCCTATTATTTGATCTTTTGCATTCATTCTTTATTAATTTTTGTTTAATTTGTTAACATGTTTTATACCGGCATTATTGGCACCAACATATAGACAATACGCATGCAAACAATAATAGTGGTAAAAAAAATTAAATAAAAAAGAAATAGATAAGTAAATTAAGAGATACAAACAATTATAGTAAGGTTTCTATTGTAACATTATTAATTCACCGTTTATGCATTTGCATTCAGAAAGCTTGTTTTCACAGCTAGTACAAATGGGCTGGTGAGGAGAATTCTCTAAAATATGATTATCAAATAATTTAGGAATATTGCACTTAGTATAAAAACTTAGATCCTTTATCTCTTTTGAGAGCATTCTTCTAGTATTAATGTCGGAAAAATGCTTCTCTCCCAAACTATATGGGGTTATGAATATTGAATAAGGTATTTTTGCATTGAAATAATATAGATTCGTAGATCTTTCGAATGAATGAAATTCTGTGTTTTCAATAAGAATAATAAAATCCTTATAATTAATCTCTCCAGAATGTATGAATATTCTCTTTAGTTTATTATTTATTCTTTCACACATTCTCAAATCTGAGTCATGACATCCCAAAGAATGTACTCTAACGAACACCTTTGATCCCATAGACGTGAGTAAAAGTAGTTTGAATTCAAAACAGTGTTCAAACCCTCTTTTTCTCTCTTCAATTGGATATACCTGGAGAATTAACCCCAAAATACACATTGGCCACCCTCCCTTACACTTAATGATATTTTCTGGTTCATTTTCAAAGGTTAAAACAGGTTTTTTTACTAATTCAAGCACTCTGGTAAGAATGATATCATCTTTGAGTCTTTTCTTTGCGCTTAGAGAGGTTTTGGTAGATGGAACCAATTTAGTGAATGAACAACCCAAGTTTTTGGTTGTATTATTTTTCATGACCTTCATCCAAGAAAGTCGAAGTACAGTCCCTGGCTTAATATTAGTAATTTCGTCTATATCAATTCCTGAAGGAAGAGTTAATATAGAGCAGTTATTAATTAGATCTGAAATTTCAATTTTTTGTTGGTTATTTTCCCTGAGTTTCATAAATTTCCAGTAATCCAACACTAGTAGTTTTGACTCTAAAGATATCCTCCTTCTTGTATTTTCAACAGGGGAATCTTCTGAATCAGACTTTGGCTGTTGGAAACTCTTTTCATACATTTCGTAAATTTCATTATTGATTGAAATATCCATCTCATTTTGATCCCTTGTAATGAAAATTCGTCTACTGTCTTCTTGTACAGTTTCTATCATCTCTTTATAACAAATGGGAAATATATGAATTACTACAACCTGAATTAAAAAAGCGAATCCTCCTCCTTTATCGATATTGCTAGGTTTTTTCTCATTATCATTTGTTTCTCTTGATAATATTGAAACTTCCGAGCTATTTACAAGTTTCGAAATCCTGAAAAGCAATGGTTTGAGATGAAACCCAAGTTTAAGTCCGGATAATACTCTAATTGGTCTAATCAAATTGATTCCGTAAACCATGAGTGGAAAGTCTTGCGTTGAAGCTTCTATTTCCAATGGGTGCCCATGTTCCATAGTAGAGTTTAGCCAATTTCCACCACATACAAAAATGTTTCTAGGCATAGTTTGAATCACAGATTTTGTTAATGTAAAGTTTGTGAATATTTTTACTATATACCACCCATCTGTACAAATCATTATTCTATTTGTATTGATATCGTTCAATCCATCTATTACATCCTTATCAGTATAGCTTAATATTCTTAAATTTAAAGGTACAGATATCGTGAAATCACCCTCACATATTTTAATTAAAGATGATCTCTTGGCATCAAAAAACTCAATTATTGCTCTTTTGCAGATTCTTCCAAGAATTTTTTGTACTGAAGGATATTTAATTTGAGTTAAGCTCAAAAAAAGCAACTTTTTTGCTTTTTCATTAGAATTCAATTCATTAAAATCAATATTAAATGATTTGATTACATTTTTGATTTTTCTGGACCACTTTAAACATTCTTCGTATAGAATTAACATATATTGAATTTCGAACCACCTTTGTTTGTATGGAGCCATATTACCTGGAAAAATTGGGAACTGATTAAAGAAATTCTCAATTTCATCACAGATCATCTTAAAGTCTATTTCAATATACTTAAATTTAGAATCTTCTGCTTCTTTATTATTACTTAGCAGAAAGGTATACTTTTTTAATGTTTCTAATGAGTGATCAATCAAAATTAATGTGGGAGAAATTACCCTTTTCGACTTTAAGCACGCAAGTGAGTATTTAATGTTATCATAACTTTTGAAAAACTCAGGTATTATTAATTCTTCTCTTGAGAATTTTCTAACTTTTTTATTAGAAGTATTTTTTTCTTGATTTCTATTTAATAGATTAGGATACACATTATTTTTCGTCTTTTCGAAAAAATTAGATCTAATTCCATATTTAATATCTTTTAATGATTGTTCTTTTGTATCTTTGTTTGAGGCTGTTTCAGTCTTTTCTATTTCGTTTTCAAGATCTACCAACTTTTTTGCTCTGTTTAGACATTCTTCATTAATGGTCACTTTTTTACCACTCCCTGTAGAAAATGAGATTGGTATGTTATTTCCAATTGGAGATTTCCCAATTGGGGATTCTCCCACTATTCCCTTTGCTATGCTTAGACTTTCCTCATTAATGGATACCTTTTTACCACTCCCTGTAGAAAATGAGATTGGCATGTTATTTCCAATTGGGGATTTTTCAATTGGAGATTCTTCCACTATTTTCCTTGCTCTGCTCAAACTTTCTTCATTAATGGTCACTTTTTTACCACTCCCTGTGGAAAATGAAATGGGTATGTTACTTGCAATTGAGGATCTACCAATTGGGGATTCTCCAACTATTTCTTTTGCTCTGCTCAAGCTTTCCTCATTAATTGACACCTTTTTACCACTCCCCGTGGAAAACGAGATGGGTATGTTATTTCTAATTGGAGATTTCCCAATAGGGGATTCACCCACTATTTTCCTTGCTCTGCTCAAACTTTCTTCATTAATAGATACCTTTTTACCACTCCCTGTGGAAAATGAGATTGGTATGTTATTTCCAATTGGAGATTTCCCAATTGGGGATTCTCCCACTATTTTCCTTGCTCTGCTCAAACTTTCTTCATTAATGGTCACTTTTTTACCACTCCCTGTAGAAAATGAGATTGGTATGTTATTTCCAATTGGGGATTTTCCAATTGGAGATTCTTCCACTATTTTCCTTGCTCTGCTCAAACTTTCTTCATTAATGGATACCTTTTTACCACTCCCTGTAGAAAATGAGGTGGGTATGTTATTTCCAATTGGAGATTTCCCAATAGGGGATTCACCCACTATTTTCCTTGCTCTGCTCAAACTTTCTTCATTAATGGATACCTTTTTCCCATTTCCTGTAGAAAATGAGATGGGTATGTTATTTCCCACAAAAGATTTTCCTATAAGAGATCCTCTCAACTTTTCTGACATATTCAGGCTTTCCCATTGAATTGAGGCTTTCTCAACAGTTCTTGAGGAGTTTGAAAGACCAATATAACTTTTTAATTTAAACTTATTTTCCTGTTCTTGCTGAAAATCATCAAATATTTTGATCTTTCCATTACTTTTCTTATCAATTGGAATATCATTTTTTGGACCAAAATTGTAAGAAAAATGTAAATCCTCACTCTCCGTAAAGTATTGACCTCTATCCAAGTAGTTTCCAGGATCTAAACAGTTTTCTATTTCTTCAATAGATTCATTATTTGTAATAGCCCTACCAATATTTAATGAAAACGAATCTTTAATATTAAGCTCATTAAATTGCTTATTATTCATTTCTTGATTAAATACCAACTTATCAGCAGAACGATTTGATTTAACAGAAGCTTCTATATCAAAAGCTATACCCTCCCTACTTTTCATAAAACAATGAAGTTGACCATTACTAGTACTTAATTCACTTTCATCTCTATTTTCTTTGATTGATCTTTTTTCAAATTCAAATGACTTTTCGTTTTCCTCTTGAATAAAATTTGTACTACTATTCATTAAATTATCATATTCAGTGGAAATTCTTCTCTTTAAATTCATTTTATTATTAGTTTTGAAATATTTATTTCCAATAAAACTCAATACATTATCAATAAACTCTTTATTAGATTTTTGGATTTTATTTAAAATATTTGCACCATTATTATTAAAACGGTTTTCAACCAATTCAGATGAAACCTGAGCTTTTTTTTTATCATCAATTTCTTTACTTAGAATAGATTTTAATTCATCTTCAGATAAAATGTGATTTTTGGGTACATCCCGATCATAGATTTCTACAGTTTTTGAGCAATTAAATATTTCCGACTCAAAGAATTTCTTAATTTCATCGTCTTCATTAAAAAAAACTTCCTGGTCAATATTATTTGTATTCAAATCAATATTTTCTCCAGACAGCTCATCTAATAGGCACTGTCTAAGTTCATCCTCATCCTTAGACATCACACAAAATCTATTCACAAAGTATACAACTTTAATTTAAATTTTTGTATGAGATTATATATTTTTGCTATTTGATTGCATGTGAACATGTATTAATTAAAACTCAATGTCCCCCTAAAAAACAATTAGAAATATTCCCCCGGTAAATTATATAAATTGAGTAAATTCAAACTAAAAAAAGCAAATTAAAACATTAAAGAAAATTCATTCGATCATTTCAATTGGAATGTATCATATTAATTTAATTACTAAATCTTAAATTCAGTTTGTTTTTATACTGGAAAAAGTGGACTGAACGGGAATCGAACCCGTGATCTTTTCGATGCGAACGAAACGTAGTACCACTATACTATCAGCCCCTAGCACCGGGAGCGGTACCCCAGATGGAGTAATTAGACTCAAATAATATGATAACAAGAAAGGAACAGAGTAGATGAGTAATCTCGTAAGAAAACATGAAAATATCTAATATCTGATTATTATAAAACTAAAACACCAAATTAGAGTAGAAAAACCGTATCCGCATGATAAATGCAAAAATACCGATAAATATACCGACTATGCAACCCCATATACATTGTGGAATAGTGTGGTCTTCAACATACCATCGAGCCCATGGTACAGGCGCAGTAATTAATATAATAGAAAGTTTAAATAGGAAGCCAGAAACAAAACCTAGAGCATTAATATTTTCCAGTAAGAGCCACATTAATATAGAATATGAAGTCACACAGTGGCTTGAAGGCATTCCATATGATGCACAAGCAGAATTTGGTGGTCTAGGGCTTTTGAAAATGTTCTTAAGAAAAAACTCACTTGAAGCTGATGATGCAAACATCATAATTAGAGCATATGCAGGTATAAAACTATCGCCAATAAGAAGCCATACGAATAATACAAGGCCAATAATATAGGGAATAAAACTATAAAAAATCGCGAGAGCATTTTTTCTCGTTAATACTGGGTGTATTGAAACAGAAAACAATCCAAAAGGGTGGGTATATTGTCCAGATGAAACCTGAGAAGAAGTATAAGAGTTCCTTCCTAAATTAGATGAGGAATAATCAGGATACACAATGCCACATTCTAGATCATTCCAAAAATCAGTTGAAGAACGCCAATATTTATCTGATATTCTCCCTGAGCCTGATGGAATATATAAATCATCTTCTTTTGTCCTCGAAGTTTGGGCTAAAGTATTAGATAAACAATTTCCATTATTAGACCCATTTAGACCGTTAATGATACCATTTGAACAACCGTTGTCTACATTACTTCCACTATTACTGCTACTGCTACTAATTAATATACTTTCTGAATGCAACGATTTGCTTTGACGTAAATTTCTTAAACCAGTAAATTGAGGATTATCAGTTAATGATTGCAGACCTGACGAAGCATTGCTTCCAAGCATGTTAATAGCAATTCACATAGACTTCAGTACCTCCTGTAGTCGGTATAAAATATTATTGTATCACTTTAACTAAAAATTAACTGTTCAAATAAAGTGAACTTATCAACTTTACTCTAAAAAACTTCCTAAATAATTTCGCTCCAGATATTATTCATGAAACAAAAATGTGTCCAAATTCAAGCAAACACCGAAACTTATTATTGTAATATCTTCAATAAGAAATTATTACTTTAAACAGTTTTTCTTGGATGCTTTATATTACATTTAATGAATCTACCAGAATTAATTTTTAGTGGCCCGCCAAAAGGCGGGTTTTGTTTAGTTTTATTTTGACTTGTAAATAAGAACTGTGAGTATTAGTACACGCCTTCTTATGTGAAATGTCTAAAAAATACAATTTGGGGAGAATTAAATAGAAGTTTTATATATAAGCTTATTATCTAATAAATTAAATCTAAGAATGAAATGTGTTTAATTTGTACTTTTTTGTATATAACTTCTTAATTCTTCGAGAGTTGTAATTAGGTTCTCACCAAGGTTTGAGAGGTTAAATCTAGAGTCTGAACTAACTAAATTAACAATTGGATCGTATTTAATCCAATATTCTTTAAGTAAAAAAAACTCCTTTTCTGAAAATGTCAACAGTAGTTTTTGTAGCACAGGATGTTGGAAAACTTTTATAGCTAAAACAATAATGGCGAGATTAGGAAGGATTTCAATTGTTAAAGAATTCTTTCTTTTATTTGCAAGGTCAATTATTTGATCGTGTGTTTTGCAATCTCTTACTTCTGAATAATCGGAAAAAAATTGAGCCAATAGAAAATGAAGAGAAGTTGGCCAAATTAATTGTCTTGAGGGGAAGAAAACTGGAATAGCTGAATCAAAGAAGAATTCTACAAATTTCGGTCGTTTTACATTGATAAAATAAAGACTTGGGAACATTTCCATTTGACAATATTGGCAGGTCTTCCAATTGTCTATTTCTGTGTTTGTAAACTCGCATTTAGAATACTCTATCCTACCATTATTTTTATTTTCACAAAGTGAATTACTACAAACTCCTGATTCATTCAAAATAGTCCCACAATTTATTGAAAATAGGCCCCACTGACCCTTCAAAAATTCTTCTATTTCCTTTTCTTCACTCTCAGCTATGGCTTTCTCTGAATTTTTCTTTATTATATTACTTGAGTTCCTAATAACTTTATTATCTTCTGTAAAAAGTTTTGAATGACTTATTGAATTTATATTTAGTTTAGGAACTCTTGTTATAAAATCTTTTGATATTTCAGCATTATAATGAGATATATCTCTTTTAATCTTTACCAAATTATCATGAATATCAGCTTCTTCTTGTATATTCGGATTTCTACTTGGTGTTTTCAACGCCTCTAAAGCTACGTGTGGAACTTGAACTTGTGTTTGAGTTTGAACCAAATTATTCTCCTTATTAATATTAGAAACAGAAGGATAACATAATACATAATTTTGTGGAACATTGTTTGTATATATTTGTGGAGAAAATGGTAGATTATTAACTAGTAAAGGTATTTGAACAGGGGAATATATATTTTGTTCTTTTAAATTGTGTTCTATTGAATTCTCATTTTTCTTTTGTTTTTCCTTTGTTTTTTTATTCTTTTTTTTATGTTTACAACAATGTTTTAAATTTTCCTTTTGATTACTTTCTTTATTTATTATTAGTTTCGGTGTCACATTATTTTTTTTCAAAGCTAGTGGAAGGATCTTATTTTTCTTTTGTCTAGCTAGTTGAATCCTATTATACATTTCTTTTGACTTATCTTTAACTCTAAAATAATTTAATTTTTTGTCATAGTTTAAATTACTAGGTTGAAAAGGTGATTTATTTGTTTCTTCCTTAACTTGCACTTCATCACGATTTTTTACATTATCAAATTCCACTTTTTGTCCCAAGCTTTGTACATTTAAACTTTTCATTTGAAGCTCTAATTCCTTTTCCTTTATTTGAATTTCTCTCTCTCGCAACTGTAATTCTTTCTCTTTAATACTGTTTCCTTGTTCTAAACAATCATTGGAAAATATACTTTGGATAACTTCACCAGTAACAATACTTTTTTTTATATTTAGGTTCTGATAATTCTCCATATTGATCTTATTTTCAATCAAATTCATACTTAATAGACATGATAATATTTCGTTTCTAATTTCTTTTGTCGCTTTGTTTTCTTTAGAAAGAGAATGTTGATTTAGATCTTGTATTTCTTCACTTTGTTCTTCTGTCTCACTTATAGGCTCTTTCCTAGATAACTTAAAGTTGACTTTGCCCAACTTTTTAAATACATTTGTGAAAATATTTGAAATTAACTGTGAGTTTTTCGAATCCAGAAATGTCCCATCAGGAAAACAAGAGTAAATTGGGATTGAGATATTCCAATTTTCATTTTGTTTGGGTAATGGGCAAAATGCAGTACCTAAAATAGTATTAGTTTTTATTAAGGTAGAATTTGGATTGTTTATATCTTTTAAATTCACTCCTTCAATTGTTAGAGAAAGATAACTGCAATTATCCTCAACCTGATATATTGGTATGGAAAAATTTATTTCTTTGAAATCTTTTTGAACTTTGCCATTCAAATCATTACTACCCCATTCAAGTTTATAGCCTTGAGATAAAAAAGCCTCTTTTGAAAGTTGTGTTATTTTGTTAGATTCAGATCCACTCTTAATATTTAACGTGACTCTTGGAACTAAACTTTTTAATTCAATATTATCGCTAATTATAATTTCTTTTGTAGTTATATCAATATAACGTAAGCTAAGTGAATAAAAAGCTTCTCCATCTACTGAATGTGCTTGCTTATTTGAAAACATTTTCTCTATATTTTCCCACCCTTCGAATTTTCTGATTTCTTCCATAATTTTATTTTTCTGATCCTTATTCCTTTCACTCAATTCCAAGTTTTTCTTCCATTTATCAAGGAAATATGGATTTAATGGAATATCATTTACTTGTGGTAATTTTTGGATACCTAACATTTCTTTTTTTAAAGAACTTATTGTTTTCATTACATTTGCTACTGATTTTTGTTCACTCTCTTCCTTTAATTTCTTTTCATCCTTGTTCCTTATTTTCAAACTTTTTTTTGGCGTAAGACTAGATGACGAATTTGACAATATCGATGATTCTATGTAGGAAGTAGAAGTATATGATGAACATGAGGTAATACAGGATGAGTAGGTCGAAGATGAGGATGAAGATGAGGATGAAGTTGAAGATGAAGATGAAGACGAAGATGAAGACGAAGATGAAGACAAAGATGAAGATGAAGAATAAAGTGATGATGAATAAACATTACTAGCTGGGATTGTAGCAGATGAAAATGTAGGTGGTAATGATGAAAAATTTGAGTATTCTGGTGAAGAAGATGAACCTAAATTGTAAGAGAGTGATGATAAGGATGATGATATGTTATTAAAAGAAGTGCAAATTGTTTCTGTCCCATGATCTTTGGAATAATTGTAGTTATCTGGAATTACAAACGATAGTCTAGAAGAGCAAATTGATGATGCTGATTTATTTCCAGACGAAGTTTTGCTTAGATAAGCTTTTTCTGGTTTTTTATTTAATTTTTCCTTATGAGACTTTTTGATATAACTACATTCATTTTTACTTTTTTTGTGATGATTATATGAAGTATCAACCTTAGTTTCAGGAAACCACTTTTTTAAAGTTTTGGATTTAAAAGAATGATCTGATTCATCAATAACATCTTTAGAGTGGTTTTTTTTATTTTCAGAATTTTTCTTTTTTGATGAGGAATCAGAACGCCACCAAATTGGAATTTCCTCTCTAGACTTTTTCAAATTCATACATTAGAATATATATATATATATATATATATATATATATATATATATGAATAATATTTGTTATTTAGAATATTTTTTTTTTTCCACTAACATCTTATTTATTAATTTCACACTTTTGCGTTACGTCTAAACTACACATTTTACTCATTTAATTAAAAAACAATTAGATATCTAAAATATCAAAGATAGATTTAACGTAAAAAGTTAATGAAAAATTTTTTTGATTTTTATTAATTTTTTTTCGTCTTTTTTCCTTATAATAATTTACATGCAAATAATCACTAAATAATCATTTTACATGTTGGCGCCTAAACATTCGATACCAGATAAATAAATCATTGCAAGTAATAATTTCATAATATGTAAAAAAATTGAACGTAGATCGTAATTTTCTGTTTAAAAGTTTTAAAACTAAATTAATTGATCTTTTCAGGTCAAATGATTTTTTTTTAGTGAACCTTTGAATTTAATGTTTGTGAAAGTATTTGAAGAAAATGTGTAGGTGAATTAGCTATAAAAAAATAAATTAAATTGCTAATACTAGACCAAAAAAGCTCGGGGTTCTTAGTTTTGCAGAAAAAACATTAGGGAGTTTCTTTGATTCTTGAATTATTTGCTAAAGTAATATTCAATGTAATGCATGAAAATGACCGCCATTAATGACTTGTGTCTCCTGATCAAGTGAAAAATAACCAAATAGTGGTAAAGTAATAAAAATAAGTTATTGGATTCAACTTGGAATCAAGATAACTAGAACCAGAGAGAGATTTTATGATGGTGCATTTACTTCGAACTGTACTGCTGTTTCCCATATTTTTGTTATTAATTTTTAATTCTCTTTCTTTTACTGAATGTGAGAGAATACATGAGCTCACAAAATTCAAACAAGAGAGTCCAAATGGTTTGATATTTTTCAATTTCACAGGATATCAACATTTCGTCTTGATGGATGGAAGGGACTATGATTTAGTTATCCTTTATACAGGAACAAAAAAGTCGTGTCCATCATGTGAGACTTCAAGTAATAATTTTGAGGTAATGGCTAATAACTATTACAAACAATTGAAACCAAATCAAAAGATATTTTTTGGATATTTATATGTAGATAAGGTAGAAAATGTGGTTGGAATTCACAAACTCAGGTTCCTTCCGGCGATTATTTATATTGAATCTTCAAAACAATTTTTAACTTCTTCTCTTTCGTTTAGTAGAGAAAACCAGTGGAGAATTCCAGAACAAAAAGATGTTTCTAGTGCCGCTATGATCAGATTCTTAAATTCTAGAACTGGAAATAACTATGAGATAATCTTAAGCTTTGAAGAAAAAGTTAAGAGAATTTCAATGCTCATATCTTTACTTGTTGTATCTATTTTATGCATATACAATATTATTATGCTTGCGAGAAACAAACCATTCATCATAATGATACTTGCAGTAATCGCATGCTCAATATCAATGTCAGGACTAGTTTACAGTATTCAACATGGGAAATATCAGTCAAGAGACTTCTTTGCTCCAAACCCTAGAGTTCAGAATCTGCATGAAGGTATGCTGATGTCAATACTTATGACTTCATCTTCATTATTTCTATTTTTGACTCCTTTTTTTATTCACGAAAAAATCTCAATTTTTAAGCGGAAGATCTCGGGTTGGTCAGCTTTCATATTATTCATTTTATTTACTTGTTCAGTACTTTTTATTTATTTCGGCTACAAAACAAAAGTCGCCTGGTACGCACCCACTTTTTACCCTCCACCAGGTTATCTCAAGGGACCCCTGTTAGTAGATAGAGGAAACTCCTTCTGAAAAATATAGCTTTGTAGGAAGTAGTAAATTTAAATAACAATTCTTCTTGACGCTCAAAAAAAAATAAACTATAATATAATTAAGCAGTAACTAATGCTACCGGGCCAAAGACCACTATAACTACTTGTGGCGTCTAGTAACGCCTGTCCAAAAACATAAGGCCTGATGATCACCCTGTTAAAAAGCAACCTCCAGTCCAAATTCCCTAACGGTTGAAATTATTAACGCGAACGCCTCAGCCTCTCCTGCGATGGTAAACTCAATCAGTAATTTAACCACCAAAACCGTATAGAGTCTTTCCTTGTCTCTTAAGAGCATGAACTACATCCATAGCAGTAACGGTCTTACGTCTGGCATACTCAGTGTAGGTAACTGCATCCTTGATAACGGTTTCCAAGAATGCTTTCAATACACCTCTGACTTCTTCGTAGATCAAGGCGGAAATACGCTTAACACCACCTCTGCGTGCAAGACGACGGATGGCTGGTTTTGTGATACCTTGGATATTATCACGGAGAACCTTACGATGACGCTTGGCACCTCCCTTTCCTAAACCCTTACCTCCTTTACCACGACCAGACATGTTTTCTTCTTGCGTTAATATTAAATTAAAGTTGTTGAATGGAGTTCGAAGTAGACTGCGCTCAACTGAAACCTGCCCAGGCTCTTGCCTGCTTATCCTAAGGGAGATTTTCGGCACCTTTCCACACTTTCATGTGGACTACAATTCAAATATGGACGTCACTCCCGTGTCTATAGAAATGAACTATTGTGGACAACCACTTTTGGATTTTACTGGAAGAGGGGTTACCGCTTACAGGCGGGAAATGTTGGAATGGTAATAAATTAGTAATAAAGTTTCAAGTGTGGGCCAATTATTTAAAATTTATTTCAAATGAACAGAGGATCGACTTGTTCTTGTGGGTTTCTATTACCTTTTCTATAAATGGTTTGTATTTCTCAGTAATTAGTTACCTATTTACTCTTAAGCTTCTCAATTTGTGTTTAAGACTTGCTTTCAATATGAATTCATTGTTAGAGAAAATTTATTTTGAGATATCTTATTTTGTCAATTTGTTCCTATAGTTTTTATTCACCGTATTTTTGAGTTCTTTATTTCTAACAGAATTGTGATATACAGTTATTGCCAACGTAAAACAGGTACCCGCCATACAAACAACTAATAATAGAATTTTCTGATGTGCAAATCAGAATGGACAAATGGCAGAACATTTAGCTCGGATCTTAGGTACTGAGGAGGATCGTGTTAACTGTCCATTCTACTGGAAAATTGGAGCGTGCCGTCATGGTGATCAATGTAGCAGGAACCATTATAAGCCTACTAATAGTCCAACGGTGATTATGAGGCATATTTATGAGAATAGCCCAGTTGCGCTTGCGATTGCTGAAGGCCAGGAAGTTAACGATAAGCTTGCAGACGAAGAATCAGATAAGGTGGAGGTTTTTTACGAGGAGATTTTCAAGGAACTGTCCAAATATGGAGAAATTTCGGAGTTATTGATTTGCGATAATATAGGTGATCATATGATTGGGAATGTATACGTTCGTTTTTCTACGGAGGAATATGCAAAAGCTGCATTGGTGAATCTTAGAGGAAAGATGTATGCCGGGAAACCTATAGATATTGAGCTTTCACCTGTTAGTGATTTTAAGGAAGCTCGATGTAGGCAATATATAGATGGTTGTTGCAATAGGGGAGGGTACTGTAACTTTATGCATATAAAGCATGTACCAAGATGTGTAAAGGATAAGATATTTGATCAAATGTATTCTGAACATCCAGAATATCTTTATAGGAAAACAAATTCATGTGGGAAGTCCAGCACTAGAGATGATGGAAAAAACTTAGAATCATCAAGACCTCGCAAGTTCCAAAGACAATCATCGGAAGAAAGAAGACTAATGATAGAATCATGGAATAAACGCAGAGAAAACAATTCTTAGTATTAATTACATTTAATTTAATTATATTTCTAATTTATTTTTTTCCTCACTACTGATTACATAGATTACATATTTGAGCATTAAGACAATTATTGTGTACAAACATTCTGCATAAGGAACATATTCTATTTCCATGTTTGCTCAAGACATTATTGCAGACTCCACATATTAAATCTTTCTTTTTATCTTTGCACTCGTAACATATTCTTGTTCCATATTTTGGATCTAAGTAGTCAAAGCCTTCTGGAAGGGATTCAGTACAAATTTTTCCATTTTCCATTGGGAAATCGACTAATTTGTGACATTTAGAACATACTTTACAGTCATCACATAACCAAAAGTTTTTTGGGACCTTTTGAAGTTTTGGATTTAAACATGATGTATGGAAGCAACGGCTACAAATATCACAGAAAACTTGTATATTTGGTCGGTCACTCTTCTTACATACTGTACAGTATATGCATTCAGAGCAAGTCCAAAGAAAGCTATTTTTGATATAATCTGACATTTTTGGTGAACAACAGAAATTGTGAAAACATTTGCGACAAACATTGCATTTGAGAACATTTTCAGCGTTTTCTTTATCTGGGCATTCTTCAGCAGAACAATGAGTGCTTGAAGGTTCATCAAAATCCATTCCAGATGATTGCCTTTCAATTTCTTCAAGTAATGTAGTTTTTTCAGTATCTTCAGAACATTCCGAACTCTTTGAAACACCAATATCCGAACCTCTTTCAGAAGTTGCCTCTCGAATTCTCTTTCTTTCCTTTTCGTATTGTCTGTTGAATTCTTCCCTCTCTTTGGTCACTATTCTTTCTATGTGTCTGTATTTCTGAGTACTGGATCTTAAACCAATTCTTGCCTCATTACTATCTGCAAGAAGCTTCAATAGCTCATGGATTTGAGACGAAGGTAGGATATTCTCAAACATAGATTTGAACTCTCTATCTCCTGTATAGTAAAAATTCTTGTTTCCTTTTGCACATGTACAATAAGTTAATCTCGTTAACCTACATCTCATGTGGTATTTATTTCGGAATATTTCCAAGTTATCCTGCATTTCTTCAAAAATAATAATTACTCAAGATGCACTATGAAAATCAAAATATTCCATAGCATTTAAGAAGCATAGCTATTGAGGATTTTTTTTTATTTTGATTTAGAACCTTCAGATTATTTGGTGGGGTTTCAGCGCCACATATTTTGTTTATTCTAAGAGTTGAGGAAGGAAAAAACTAACGGAGAAAAGAAGAGTGGACCTATAAAGATATAGTTTCAGATGATAGACGCATTTTTTGTGTTTAACAAAACTGGGCTAATTCTCTGGTCATATCGAAGTGAAGATGCTGAACCATTGGAAATATTGGAACAGGTCCTTCGAGGTTTAGTGGAAAATATTTTTTTAGAGGAAAGGCTAACACAAAAGTATTATGATCACGGTGCTTATAGAGTGAATTGGAGTACAATTAATGAATACCAGATTGTTCTTGCTATTGTATACCAGAATGCATACTCAACAGTCTCAACAGGTTCATATTTTGAGACACTACTTTCTATGGCTAGAAAGAAAGTAGTTAAGATTATTTTGGAAAATCCTGATTCTGTAGAAGATGATACCTACTTCGAAGATTTCAGAAGCCAGTTTGTTCAGATGATAGATTTTTGTGATTCTAGGTTGATGAACAAAGGAGGAAATAAGTCCGACCTAAGTCCTCTAAACAGCTCAGATGAAAAGAGTTTCGGTTCCAAGAATAGAAGTTATGAAGGAAAACCAACCGATTCGGAAGACAACATTTCTCAAACTTCTAAATTTAAAAAAACAAGTAGGCAGTGGAACAGTCAAAAAGTTACAAAGAAAAATATGGAACAGCTTGACTATTCAAAAAAATGTGGTAATTCAGAAGACAGTCAATCCAAGCTCAGTTTCTACGAAAGAAGTGAAGATGAGGTTAGTGAAGATGAGTTAGAGGAAATAAATCAAGAAAAAAAGGCTGTATCATACTGGAGCAGTTTCCTCTCAAGTCAATTTGGTATTCTAAATAGTAATACAACTTTGACAGCAGAAATGGTTGAGAAACCTCTACAAAAGCTAAAGAGTCAACTGGTTGAAAAGAATGTGGCGTCCGAAATAGCTCAAGACATTATTGACTCAGTTTCAAATGCCATGGTTGGAGTAAAAACTCAAGGCAGCTTTTCTAAGTTAGATACTATTCTACTAAATAGTTTAAGAGATGCAATTACCAAGATCCTTTCACCTAAGAAACCTATAGATGTTCTATCTGATGCTTTGAAGGCTAAACAACACAGCAAAGTATACTCTATTGCTTTCCTTGGAGTAAATGGTGTTGGAAAATCTACCAATTTAGCCAAAGTTTGTTACTTACTTAAAAACAAAGGGAACCTAAATGTCCTAATTGTCGCCTGTGATACGTTTAGAGCAGGAGCCATAGAGCAGCTTAAAACTCATGCAAACTGTTTGGGAGTTCAACTTTATGAAAAGGGATATGGTAAAGATGCGGCCATGGTCGCCAAAGATGCGATTTCCTATGCTAGAGATAATGGATTTGACGTTGTTCTTATTGATACTGCTGGGAGAATGCAAGATAATGTTCCTTTAATGAAATCACTTGCTAAATTAGTACAGGTCAATAATCCTGACCTCGTTCTATTTGTTGGTGAAGCTCTTGTTGGGAATGACGCTGTCCATCAACTTCAGGTATTCAACAAATACCTTGTTGAATTTGGGGATAGACCCATAGACGGAATCATTCTCACTAAATTTGACACTGTGGACGATAAAGTTGGAGCTGCTTTATCAATGGTTTATTCAACTGGGCAACCAGTAGTTTTTATTGGAACTGGCCAGAAATACTACAATCTTAAGACATTATCCGTCCCTTCTGTTGTAAATGCTCTTCTTAAATCATAAATTCCACAGTATCTTATAGTTAACTCTTGCCTATAAGGTTAATCGACATATTAATTCGTTGATTCATTAACCTTTCCTATCCCACAATTCTTTTTACAAGACTATATTTTGGGTGTTTCTTGAAAAATTTTAAAGCTTTAATCTTGCTCTTATCTTGACTATAATTTCCCCATTACCTCCTATTTTTATGTTTGACACCAAAATCTAGATGGGCGCCACATGGTTTTTGCATTCATTTTGTGTGTTTTAAGGTAATTTATGTGATTGAAAAGCACTGAGCTATCAAATAAATTAGGAGATATGAGAGACTATAGATTTGTGTGGCCATTTTAAAACAGAGAAAAGTACTTAAATTTCTTACTTTAAAATGGAATCAAATGGATTAAATTTAAATCAAAAAAAATTAAACAAAAAAAAATGGATGCCCTGGATTACGATGATTTTCACGTCGTTTTTCACGGTAAGTGGAGGATCTTATGGCTCTGAAGTAGTTCTTCCAGTAATTGGATTGAGGTATTTCACTTTCATTCAGATATGTATTTGTTTTTTTTACGCAATCCCCTTGATTTTGATCTATGAACTGCTAAACAAATCATTCCCTCCAAATTCAGGTCCGAAGAGCTGGTGCGAAAGTATTTTTGATCCTTTTTTTGCTTCCTTTCTGGATTTAATTTACATTTTTATGGAAATAGGTATGCTCTCCTCATACGTTGGCGTAGCATCAGCATATGTACATTCTTTTTCAAGGTCTTTAAGATACGGTGCTTTTTCCGCTAACAGTCAGCTAACTATCTCGGTAATAGTTTTCCTGCTAATAATTGCAATATCACTGCTTTTGACGTACTTTGACGATTACATTATATGGATGTTTACTATTGTTGTTGCGCCTTTAATAATTATGGTCATTTTCACTTTTTGGTCAATTCCAATTAAATCGTGGGGAACAATTCCAGACTTACCTGAGAAAAACCAGTTAAATTGGATTGTTGGACTTCAGTATGTGATGTGGCTAAATTGTGGTTATGAAAGATCTTTTTCGCCTAATTTAAAAACTTCTAAGGCTCAATTAACAAATGATAGGGACTTTAAGTTTTGCTTAATTGCAAATGTAGTTCTTGTTTCTATTTTGTATATCCTTCCTCTTTGGTGTGGATGCTGTATTCTGAACCATTTTAACAAGGATAGCCGATCATTTCAGCTTGGTAATTTTTTTACACTATCAGGATTCTTGGTAGGGGGAAATATTTTGTCGAGCTTGATTACCATTTCTGCTTGTTTCTCATCGATTGGGTGCATTACTTCAGATGTAGGATTGGTTTTACAGTTTCTTATTGCACAGTGGTGTAGAATTAAAAATATTCAAAATTATAGACTATCATTTCTCCAAGAAACTCTCATTTCTTTGGGAATTGTTATGTTTTGTTCATTTTTAACAATGTTAATTAACCAAGAACATTTTGCTGCTGGTGCTTCAACTTTATATGGATTCATTACCTTGATTACAGTTATTGCATATCTCAAATTTCTTTGGACAATTGACACAAAAGAGACTTTTCCAGACTCAGAATTCCTTCTTAATAATAAAAATATTACCAAGCCTTCACATTTTTTATTATTAAACTCATTATACTACAGTAAACTACCTCTCAGAGTTAAGCAAGTTTTACATTCTACACTTGCAATCCCAACCATATTTTTCACCCTCATTATATTCTTTACAACCTCTTCTATCCTATACCTAGCTATTATTTTAGTAGCACTCCTAGTTACTCCTATATTTGTTCCTAAAAATTGCAAAAGTCAAAACTCCAAGAACCATAAAATTGAAACGTCAAGAAAGTTCCCGGCAGTTTTGAACATATTATAGACGGAATGAATATTTAATTATAGATATTTTAATTTTCACTTCGTTTTTTTTTTTTGATAATCATGCATAGAAATCATTGGTGTTCCCGCAAAAAGTTTAACTGAATGTTGATTAATAATTGTAGAAAAAACAGATAATGGAAATAAGTGGTAATAAAAGGAAGAGGGAATTCGGAATTGATTGGTCATTAATCGAGATTTCAAGGTTCTTACTTAGGATTTCGTACATAGGAACTAATTATTATGTAAGTTGAATAATGAATCACGGAAATGGTGATTCTAAACTACTAAAATTATTTTAAAAAAAAAAACTAGGAATTTTTATAGACAGATTTTAATTCATTTTTTAGGGAATTGCATTCCAGAAAGACGATCAGGTACCTACAATAGAAGGGGAGATTTACAAAGCCCTGCTTCAGTTAAAGCTCATTAAAGATATTGATTCATGTAATTTGGTTCGATGTGGAAGGACAGATAGGGGTGTTCATTCTGTTGGGAATTATATTTCGGTTGACTTGAGAATTCGCGCAAAGAACTTGGAGCCCTATAATTATATGGAGATGTTAAATGGCGTACTACCATGGGATATTAGAGTCCTCGGTTTTTGCAAAGTTAGACCAGACTTTAATGCTCGTTTTGATTGTGAATATAGACTTTATAAATATTTTTTCCCCCTGAATCATGTGAGAACAAAGACATCTAAGTTTCCAATGATTCCGCCGGAACAAGTTCCACTAATGGATAAAGCTGCAAAGCAGTTCCTAGGAACTCATGATTATAGAAGATTCTGTAAGATGGACTTAAAAAATCGAAAAAACCAAACTTATATTCGAACTATTTACGAATTTGATATTTCCTTAGTTGATGATAATAAAACATTCGCCGTTGCTACAATTAAAGGATCCGCTTTTCTTTGGCATCAAGTCAGACTAATGATGGGTATTCTTTTTGAGATTGGACAACGGAGATTTGAACCAGAAATCATTACTAAAATGCTAACAGATGCGGAACAGAAGAATGGTGCAGATTTTTCATTCCAAATGGCCACTGAGCTTGGCTTGGTATTGTGGGATTGTGTGTTTAAAGAATATAATATTCAATGTAATAGAAGCTCAATGAAGACTTTTCTAGATGAGTCCGAATCATTAAAACTCAAGGCATCACTATATAGTTTTATTGGATCATAATTTTAAGTAGTCTTTTCATTAATTTTTTTTAAGTATTTTGACTAGTTTTTGTGGGCATCATGGATAATGCGTGCATGCAAAAAAAAAAAAACTACAAGTAGAAAATAAGCAGTAAGAACGAAGCATTAACAAAAGGAACTATTTAGTAGCTGTCTGAGGGAATTGAGGGTTAATTCCAAAGTAGTAAATCTCTAACTCAGGATTTATATTTTAATAGATATTGTGTGCATGTGTATATATTATTTATTTAGACACACGAAAATAAAGATACTTAAAAGAACAAAATTGGAATGAAAGACAATATAAACAGAGATTTTATGAAAAATTTAAGAAAGAATAACTTATAGGTACCCATAAAACAAAACCTTCGTTTCTATGTGGTGTATAATATGTTTAAAAAAACACTAGCCTCAATAATTCTTATTTTAATATTTATAATAAGCCAGGCCCAAGGAAAAAATAATGATATAAGCTCATTAATATCAAATTTAGTTTCAAAATATATGACGAAGGAGGAGTTCTTGAATGAATGTAGGAAAGATTTACCGAAATATAGATCAAATCTGACAGAAATCCAAGTCTATTTTTTGTGTCTAAGGGCACTGAGATCTTCATTAGATAGCATATACAAAAGTCCGGTAGGGAAACTCTTAAATTCGGATTCAGTACCCAAAGAGGTTGTTGAACATAAAAATGAGAATATCGAGGGTTATCGGAAACTCTTAGATGACGTTTCGAATATTTTTTCTAGTGATGTGTTTTTTGACGAGGATCTATTGGAAGCAGATAATGGTCTATTTTCAAATTCAATTCAAGCAATAATAGAAGCCGATAAAAGAGAAATAAGGAGGAAAGAACTTATAGAAAAGAAAGCAAAAGAAATTCAAACTGCTGATGAAAAACTTAGAGAAGAATATAGAAGGAAGTTAGAGAAAAAATATCCAGAAGCATATCATCCTTTGGCTCTGGAAATACTTTCAACAATATCAGAGGAAGATATCAAATTTTGGATGAATCTTCCCGTAAAACTGAAACTACCAGTACTCAACTATTACTTCTTGTTGGTTGCCACACGAAATCAAATTTCTGAAAAAAGAGACAGACATAAAATATTTACTGAAGCAATTTTATCCACAATAATTAGTAAAAATACAATAGTAATTCCCAAATACATGACTTTACAAGATATAAGGTATGAGATTTGCAAACTTGGGGTACTCTATAAATTCGGATGTAAAATTGCTCCATTTTCCATCCTTCTTTCTTTGCCTAGGCATTCTTTTAAAATTTGGAAATCTTTCGGTTTAGTCCTTCAGTTCGAGCTCTTGATTGCTATGACTTACAGTATAGATCACAAAATGAATTTTGATGATTGTAGTGAAGAAATATTTAAAATTACGAAAAAGAACAAACTAGGAAAAGAGGATGAGACCAAAATTCGAGTTTATCTTTTACATTCTTTTCCAGAGGAAGATTCCATTCCAATGAAACACTTTAAATCTGCTTTAGGTTACCTTCTAGATACAGCAATTGATAATAAACCGTCCAAATCAGATAATAAAAAACATCCTTATTCTATAACTTATTCAAATTATGAAAAAGTGAAGAGTGAGGAAACTTTTTCAATTACAAGTAATAAAACTGAAAGCGAAAAAGAGGATAACAAAAAGAGTAAAATTGAAAGTGAAATCAATGATAGAAGCGAAAATAAAGAGGAAAAGGTTTTTCCCCCTTTTGAGAAAAAAGAAACAAACTTAACTACAGAAAGTGATACCATTGAGACTCAAAATAATGAATATCCACCCACAGATGTCTATTCCGGTTCAAAGAATAACACAGATAATATCCTGGACATTATAAAAAGCACAGAAGTAAAAGAAATCAAAGAAAATAATGGTGGCAAGGATACCGAAAACAACCAAATTGATGAAGAATTTAATTTGATGTCGCTAGTGAATTCTCAAACAAAAACAAGAGATGCAAAAATAACCATAAGATCAGAACAAAGTAATGGATTAAAGAAGATTAATGTCGAGGGCCTTAGTAACCTTCCTCATAAGGAATACAATCCATACTCAAATGTTGGTATTGGGCCTACCTTAATGCACATTGAAGAAGAGGATGAGCCTTCTCCAGATGAAAAAGAAGCTTTTGCTTTAGATGATGAATCTAATAATGGTTCAGAAGAAAATGGAGGTGCTGAAGATCAAGAGGCTCAAAATATAGAAAATGTAGATAATGATGAAACCCTGAATGCTGAAGAATTAGAAAACAAAACAGGTGAGGATGATTTAAATACTAAAGAAAATAATACTGATGAAGGAGATTCTAGAGATAGAGAGGAAAAAGATATGGATGTGGATGAGGGAGAGAAAAAAGATGAAAACGTTGACAAAGATTATCCTGATATTAATGGCCAGGATGGAAACAATAAAGAACACACTTTGGACGATCTAGATAAGGGAGATAATGATGAAGAAAATTTGGATATACGAGGGACTTTAGAGGGTGAAGATGAAGGTGACAATAAAGGAGAAAGAGATTCTGATTTGGGAAATGGTTTGGAAATTGGGGGAAATAAATATGATGATAAAGATTCTGATTCTGGTGGAGATAGAGGTGATCATGAAGAAGAATCAGATTCTGGAGGTAACCAACATTTTGGTGAAGAAGGTGGAGAAGATCTTGATCATGAAAAAGATTCTGACATAGGGGGAGGCATTGGAGGTTTTGGAATGGGGGGTGGTGACGATAAAGATGATGAAGAGGGGGATTCTGATTCTGGAGATAACCGAAATTTTGGTGCAGAGGGTGAAGAAGATCTTGATCATGAAAAAGATTCGGATTTAGGGGGAGGCGTTGGAGATTTGGGAATTGGAGGTGGTGGCGATAAAGATGATGAAGAGGGGGACTCTGATTCTGCAGGAAACGGGAACTTTGGTGCAGAGGGTGAAGAAGATCTTGATCATGAAAAAGATTCTGACATAGGGGGAGGCATTGGAGGTTTTGGAATTGGAGGTGGTGGCGATAAAGATGATGAAGAGGGGGATTCTGATTCTGCAGGAAACAGAAGCTTTGGTGAAGAAGGTAAGGAAGATCTTGATCATGAAAAAGATTCTGACATAGGGGGAGGCATTGGAGGTTTTGGAATGAGAGTTGGTGGAGATAGGGATGACGAAGAGGAGGATTCTGATTCTGGAGATAACAGAAATTTTGGTGCAGAGGGTGGAGAAGATCTTGATCATGAAAAAGATTCTGACATAGGGGGAGGCATTGGAGGTTTTGGAATGGGAGATGGGGAAAATAAAGATGACGAGGAGGAATCGGACTCTGCAGGAAACAGGAACTTTGGTGCAGAGGGTGAAGAAGATCTTGATCATGAAAAAGATTCCGATTCTGGTGGAGATAGAGGTGATCATGAAGAAGAATCAGATTTTGGAGGTAATAAGCATTTTGGAACATATGGTGGAGAAGATCTTGATCAAGAAAAAGATTCTGACTTAGGAGGAGGCAAAGAAGATAGTGAAAAAGAAGAGGGAGGTTTTGATTTTGAAGATGACAAACATCTTGGCACACATGGTGGAGAAGGTCTTGATCATGAAAAAGATTCGGATTTAGGGGGTGGCATTGGTGATTTTGGAATGAGAGGTGGCGAAAATAAAGATGATGAAGAGGGGGATTCTGATTCTGGAGATAACAGAAATTTTGGTGCAGAGGGTAGAGGAGATTTTGATCATGAAAAGGATTCTGATTTGGGTGGTTTTGGAGTAGAAAATGAAAGTGACAATGATAACAAGGGCCCCACTTTAGAAGTAGATTTAGGAATGGAAGATTTGGGAGATGATAAATTTAAAGGTGGATCTTCGTTGAAAGACGCTGCTGATTTTGAGATAGGAGATGACAACAATTCTAATTTTGGTAAAGGCACAGGTTTTGAAATCGGAGGTAAAAGTAAAAGTGAATATAATGACTCTTCTTTCGTGCATGATACTGATATGAGAGGACAATTTGAAAAAGAAAATTTCAGTTTTGAAACGGAAAAAGACGATTTGAATTCTCAAGATTCGGCTCCAGTCGGTAATATTGGCCTTAAAGATGCAGAAACTGTAGATACTGATGAATCTGATATAGGTTTAGAAAAAGGAATTAATTCAATGCTTGGAGACAGAGCTGAGAATTACAAAGATGATAATGATTTAGATTCAAACTTCAAAAACCTAGATATGCCTATTGGTAACTCTGGTAATTCTGAAATAGTGTCAAAAGATAATTTTGAAGGAGGGGAGGAAAATGAAATATTAGCAAGGAGCTCAGGTTTTAACGGTGTTGACATGACTGGGGAAATACCTTCAAAAGAACTAGGCTTAGGAGAACAATATTTTGATGGAAGTGGAGGACTTAGAACAGATGGTGAGCTAGATTTTGGGAACGAAAAAGATATGGAGAATCTAGATCAAACTCTTCGAGACTTAAACAATGAGTTAGAAGGTTTCAATAGTGATAGAACTGGAATTAATGATGCATTCGAAAGTGAAAGAGATAGAAAGAACAATATTGGCATGAACGAAATTCTTCGGGGTGAAGATTTAAAAAACGGAGATGGATTTGAACAAAGGAATGTAAATAATGAAATTAATAACCTATTGAATGAGTTCGAAAAAGGAAATGATTTAAGCGATGGAGATAGCTACAATGAACTAGGTAATATCATAGGAGAAGAAGCAACAGATCTTAAACCAAAAGAAACAACCAGATTCCTTGATTCTTTGATAAAACCTGATGAAACAGGCATAGAAGATATTGAAACTAATCCTCTTAATAATAATGACAGCGGGATTACAATTTCTGGGTTAGAATTTGGTGGTGATATAGGAAGCCAAAGTTTTGATAATAAAAGTAACCCTAATCTTGTTGAGATTGATAGTAATATACCTAGAGGGATGGCTGAAAATGAAATTGATGCAGAACTTGATACTTTAGGTGATTTCCGGGCTTCCAACGTTGATATTGATATAAACCCAAATGATGGATTTGGAATTCAAGATAATAAGATGGAAGAAGATTTAGCGGAATTAGAAAAATTGGGAGAACAGGGCACTGGAACCACAGGAATTCATGCTGAGTTTCCGGATAATTCGATTGATCAAAAACCTGAACATTTAAATGATGAATTTAGAATTTTGGAAGAGCTGGGTGGAGATGATTCAATTGAAGAAGATGAATTTGCGTTTTTAGAAAGATTAGTAAATGAAAAAAATAATAATAAAAATTATGATTTTGCAAGTACAGTGGATTCAGAAGAATTCATGGATGATGATAATGAATATAATGATTTCGATTTACCAGATGGCCATATTAATGATAAAAAGGAGTTTAACTCACAGATCGATTTAAATACACAAGACCAAGTTTTGGAAGAAATATACAAGCCTATGATTTCAAATGATCATTCAAATCTTAAAATTGATAGTATCCCTGTGATTAAAGATAATTCTATAATGGGAATAAGTGGTGATTTTATAAGAGACCAGGATGATCCAAACTCACCATATGAAGAAATTGATGATATTATTGATGATTTGGAGCAGAAAGGCTTCTTTCCTATCGAAGCCCAAGAAATTAACACAATTGATACAGCCAAATCCGATTCTGGTCAATTAACTGATGCCTATATAAATAAAATTTATTCTGATTTAAAAGAAAAAGATGGGAGCCTAACAGATATAAGTATACAGGATAGTGACTCAAACATTTATTTAACCAAAAACAATGGTAAAATCAAAGATCATACTGATGAAATTGGCAACCTTGATGTTTTAACGGAAGACAAAATTTTGGACCAAAATGATGAAGAGGACTTTGGATTGAAAGAAATGTTCATGGAAAATGATTTAGATAAGAACTTTAGAGAGAGTGAATTTATACCCTTTCTAGATGAATTACAAAGAGGAAACGGTATGCTAGAAAATCAAAATGTTTCAATTGATACTGCAGATAAAGAGCTCATTGATTTGGGTATATTCGATATGAACACTGAAAACGAAAGTAATAAGTATAATATAGTAATGGAAACTGACCCAGAAGAATCAATAAATATTTTGTTTGAAAATGAAGATCAGCACCAACCAATGATAAAAAATGAAGTAAGTTTGGGCACGTTGGATATTCTACCAGAAATTAGTGTAAAAGCGGAAGAAGTTGATAGTGTTCTTAGTAGCATGATCATTGATAAAGGATTGAATGTAGATTTATCTTCCGATGAATTGGGCTTAGGCTTTGATGCACAAGTTAAAAACAATCAAGAGAAAGATTTACAAGATGATTATACGGGAATATCTGACTTTTTTAATGAACCAGGTGCTAACTTGGAGAATAACAATATCGAAGGCCCCTTTCAATTTGGAATGCTTGAAGATGGTGGTGGACAAAACAATGTGAAATCACAGGAAGATGAAGAGGACCTATACCTTGACATGCTATTCAGAACTGGAGAAGAGAAAAGTACAGGTATTGATAAAAATGTTAGTGTTATTTCATTCGATCATCCTATTAATAACGAGGAAATTGGAAGGAGTGATGAAGATATAGACTTGAGCGAAATTGGTTGGCTTAATGAGGGTAGTGCTAAAAATGACGAAAAAATGGAGGAAACTAATTCTGTTATTAATGATTTAAATAAATTAGTTGGCATAAATGAAGTTGAATTTGTTGATAATGAAGAAGAGCAAATGTTTTTGGATGAATTAATTAAAAAAAATACTAATGAAAATAAAGATTTGAACTATTATGATGACTTTGATGATTTAAGGCTTGATGAATTCTTCGAAAAAGAAGTAAATCTAAACCAATTTAATACAGAAAGTGAAAACCGAGGTGAAATTGATATATCTGGTATTACTCCTGTTAAAAAAAAAGATAAATCTATACAAGAATACACAATTTCATCTGAAGATCTTGATTTTCTGTATAAACAATCCGAAGAATATTTGAGTCGAAGTTTTAATAAACAGAAAATTGACTCTATCTCAGATGATAGTGAATTTCTTGACTCTGACATGTTCATTAACGAAGGAAACCAATTTAAAAAGTCAACTTTAATCAAACTCAATAATTCGGACCCAAACGATGTGGAGCTTGAAAAAAACTCTAAGTTAATACCTGGCACTGGGAGAAGAAAGGAAGAAGAAAAAGCCCAGGAGCATTTAAAAAAAAAAAAGATGCTAAGAGGAGCATCTTCTGAAGAAGATAAAGAAATTAAGTCAACAAACAGATCACTTGGAACAATACTAGAAAAGAAGAAACAAGACTCTGAGAAGGAATGGATCATGTCATTTGCCCCAAAACTCAGACCAGGACGAATGAAACGCCGTAGAGATCTCTTCACCCAAGAAGAAATTGATCAAGCTATAAAAGATGCTCAAAAAGCATAGTAATGTATTAATTCATAATAATTTTAATCCCAATTTAGGTTTCATTATATATACAATTATTTTTAGTTTTAATAATTTTTATTTATATTTGTTCGTGTTACATATGTTAAATTGGCATTTTTGGCGGGCCAATGGATCTATAAATACAATACATCAGAGCTGGCTAAAACTTGAGAGAAGCCAACTTAAAAACAGGATATATTTTATTTGAACAATAATGAAACTCTATATATTGTTTTTTGTTTTTGCACTCAGCATTTTATTAATTGGAAGGCCAAAAATAGTTGAATCTAGCTCTTTTGTAAGTATTCAGGGTTCACCAAATAAAAAAAGCAGAAGTGGAATTTTTGGTAAACTCCGCGATCTTTTTAAGAGAAATAAGAATAAATCAAAAAAAGTAGAAAATGAAACTACAACTGATTCAAATTATGCAAAAAACGACTATGGTAACTTCCTTGATCAATCTGAAGCTGAGGATTCTGAAGATTCTAAAACTCAATACTTAGATACTAATAAAGATGAGGCTTCATCTGGTTTCTCAGAGGGATCTTTATATCCACCAGAAGAACCCGAAATCTTCCCTCAAGACAAAGATTTAGGTTCAGAAGAATCAAAATCCGCTCCACCACCAGCACTTAACCAATTTTCTGAGGAAAGTGCATCTTTTGCAGATTCTGAGCAGCTGAAACCTCAAGAACTTATTTCAATTTATGAAGATGACTACGAAAATAACAGAATAGGTGAACCAGGATTACACAAGGATATTAAAGAAGAATCTGAAAAGAGCAAGATTTCAGAAATTGAGGAAGAACAAAAGCCATCTGTCTATGAAAAATCAGTGGAGCAGGAAGAGTCAACCAAAGCCGATGTTTTGGGATCTTTGGATTCTCAAATACCAGAAGAAATTTCTTTACAGGAGGGTTCGGCCAAGAGTCTCCATTCTTTGGAAAAGTCTAAATCTGATATTATTGAAGATAATGAAAAAGAAAATGAAGAGTCTAAAAAACCGAAGTTAGATACGACTTCTGGTGAAGAAAACCACTATGATGCATCTTATGACTCCAACTTGGAAGAAATTGAAAAGTCAATTTCGGAATATAGAGATAAATTTAGCGAAAACTTTTCTGATGAACTTCCACACGAAACCTATGATAGGTTGTTAAACGAGGCTTTGAACCATGAATCTCAATCAACTTTATCTTCTGAAAAAGAAAAGAGCTTGAGAGACGAGGAGAATTTTGGTTCTGAAAGGTCCGAAAGCAGTTCAACCATACCAAAGAAAGAAACTTCAGAGATCGAGAAATATTTGGAGGAAACAGCTAATGCTAGAATGGAAGAAAGTGAAGCAAGTACTGCTGATCCGGAGGAAAGGGAAACTATAGATTTGAATGAGAGCTCGTCAAAATATGCCTCTCAAGGTGTCACTGAAGAGGAACCTGAGGACTTAGAAGACTACTTAGTTGGAGTTGACATCAAGGTTCCAATGAGTTCCGAACATTCAGTAAAAAGTGATATTAAAAGTGATCATATTTCAACAGAATACGACAGAGAGAAAACTAAGAGTGCAACTTCACCTCTGCAGGAACAAGAACAAGAGCTAGAATCAGAGAAAGAATCTGAACAGGAATTTGAAGAAGCTTCTAAAAGTGCTGAGGAAAGCACTCAACCTTCGGAAAAATCCACTGGATTTATTTCAAGACTCTCAAATTCTTTAAGAAATTTTATAAGTTCTTTTGGGGATTCTAAAAAGGAACCAAGTGTGAGTGTGAGTAAAAAAGAAGAATCCATACAGGTTCCTTTTGAGGAAACACAGAAACCGATTGTTGAAAGCTCGGAAAAAGAAGAAATTGAAGAGTCTGAAGAATTACCAGATCCCAACAAAAGCAGAGTAAAAATGTTAATTGAACGTTTTGAGAGAGAAAATGCGCGTAATATGCCTGTTCCAATTGGCGTTCCAAGAAATAGGTTAGGACTTAGAGATACAGAAAGAAATACTCCCAAAAAAAATGTGGATAGCCTAATTAATTTTTTCGAAGCTGAAGACATAAAAGCGAAAGAAGAGGCAAAAAGATATCAGGAAAGCAAGCAAAAACGTGAAATGAGTAGAGCTGAAAGTTCCGTTTTACAATTACAGGAAAATCCTGAAGAGGATTTGGGAGAGATTCAAACGGAAAACACGAAAATTGAGGAAAGTCCAGAGTCTGGCGAGGAGAGAGAGGCGGAAATTATGAGGAGTATTAATGGTGAGCCTTCGTCAGAATTATCTAATGTTGGATCTGAAACTTCAGTAGTTTCCCAAAACTTGGATTATGATGAGTCTCAGGAAGAATTAAGCTTGCCACTTATTATTCCCAGTATAGATGGACAACATGAATTAGCGGGTGGCCTCATTTGGGCCCTAGGGGTTGGTAAGTATGTTTGTAATTCCAAAACTTCCCCTGCGAAATTCATCTTTCCACCGCTTTCCAGCAACGTATTGGTTTCCGCTCCAAACCAAGAACAAATAACAAAGTTGCTACAGCTTTCTGGAAGTGAGGTATCAGAAATGATTGCAGATCTGGTATCATCTGTTCTAAATCAAAATTGATTTCAAATTTTTGGTGATTCTAAAATGTTTATTTTTGCCAAATATGGTAATAATATAGCTTTATTTTTGTAATAGCCCTAATTTGTTAGATTATTTTAGCAGTTGGGTAAATTATATATAAAACATGAGTCTTAATGTTGACCAATTAGCTACAATTATTTAATCTTGTATTTATTTAAAGTTATTTAATTTTTTTTAATTTGTTTCTTGTTATTTCTCTATAATTAATCACATTGTTTAGTAATGTTTGCTTCACATGCAATTGGCGGTCTAATAGATCTTTAAAACATTTGAATTTGACGAGTCAAAGAAAAAAAGAAATAATAAGAAAGCAGAAATCTAAAAGAAAACCAGGAAGCTAGTGAACCAAACATACTAAATCTGATTTGTATTGCGTTTAGTAGAGGAATATGTTATGGGTCTAGGTATTTTGTTAAGCTTATTTTTATTGATCAAATTTGGGGTTTTATCTTTATCAGTAAATATAAGCCCAAAATCCAACCCCTTTACACTTGATTTGGATTACATAACTGAAAGTAAGAAACTCGAAACAACTCCAAAAAAAAGCATTATTAAACTTCCAGCTCCAGATGAACTTTCAAGTACAAAAGGACCAGGAATAACCGAAGGTGAATTGAAATTGGCTTTGTTACATTCTAAAAAAATAGCTAATGAATTAGAAAAATATAAATCAAAAAATCCTAGAGATATTGACGAAATATCAATTTCTAGTGCGTCTACATTCAATTATGATTTTGAAAAACCAGATGATTCAGTAAAGAGAAATCTAGAATCACCAAGTAGATCTCTATCAAATGAAGAAAAAAATGTCGACAAACTTCTTGAAAGTGCGATAAACGATCTTGATAAACGAAGACGGTATACATTGGACGAAATTGAAAAGAAAAAAAAAATTCCTCCTAAACCTCCAAATAAAAATAAGTATGATAATTCAGAAGCTAAAGATAATAAATCAGATCAGCTTTCTTTTTTAACTGGAATTAATTTGGTTGACGATGTAATTACCCCATTAGAAAACGAATCTACTGCAGAAAACAAGGAAAAGCAGGAACAAACACTGAAACCAAATGTTCCACCTACTACAAAATACCCCATATATTCAGGTAAACCTGAAAAGAAAGTGAAAAGTCTTCAAGTACCTCAAAAAAATATAGTAAAATTACCCCATAAAAAAGTTTCTCAAGAACAAGAAAAAACTGGAAAAGAAAAAAAGAAAGGTAGATTCAATATTAAGAAAATACTTAATTCTGATTTTTTCAAATTTTTCAAGGAGAAAAAAAAACCAGAATCAAAGGTAACTTTGACTATTAGTAGACCAATAATAGCATCCTCAGTTAGGCAGACTGAAGATGAACAAAGCAAAAGAACAGAAATTACGGAACAAACCAATAATAATACAGACTTTGAAAAAAAAATAAATGTTCCCTTGAATATCCTGGAAGAGGAAGAACAGGATCTTCAAGTTTCTGGTAAAGTATCTCCAATTCCACAAACAAGTAGAACGCCAAGTCCACAACAAAGTAGAACACCAAGTCCAAAACGAAGTAGAACACCAAGTCCACAACAAAGTAGAACTCCAAGTCCAAAACCAAATAAAACACCAATTTCACAAAAAAGTAGAACACCAACTCCAGAACCAAATAAAACACCAAGTTCACAAAAAAGTAGAACACCAACTCCGAAACCAAATAGAACACCAAGCCCACAACCAGATAGAACATCAACTCCAGAATCAAATAGAATGCCAAGTTCACAGTCAAATAAAACATTAATTTCACAAAAAGGTAGAACGCCAAGTCCAGAACCAAACACAAAAGAAACGGCAGAAGAGACAAAAAATATTGAAACTCCTACAAAGAGAGCGAAAATCTCTCAGAAAGTTTTAGATAATGACCAAGAACAAAATTTGGATAAAAAAATTCCAAGACCACAATCTTCAGAAAGTATAGTTCCAAATAGATTGGAGATATCTGAGCCAGAAACAGACTCTTCAATAGAGAATTCAAGATCTAGTAGTAGAATCAGAAAAATTAGAGAAAGATTACCAAGTATGGGATCCGATAACGTGTTTTATGACTCAGATGATTATCGAGATGAAGTTATTAACTCTATTGATTTCGAAGGAAGTAGTTCTTCAAGCTCGGAACCTTCAATTTACAGCGCAGAGTTGTATTCTAATTTTGAATCTTCATTTACCCCTCAAAATTTAAAAGATCCCTTGGAGGAGATAAATATTGGAATCAACAAAATTCATGAAGGCCAACGAGTTTATGAAAAGTTTGTTCCATCAAGAGGTTTTGATAGAATTTTGCAGAATAAACTTATTAATACTTATAACTCTGACGATGAACTCGTAGAAAATTCAATATTTGATAAAATAAAAAACAAAATTAAGAGACATCGAAAAGAAGCAAAAAGAAAAAAAGAGAGATCAAAAGGAATCCCATCCAGAGTAATTACTGAAAAAGATGTTTATAAATTTGCTGATTTGAGAGAAACTGAATTTCAACCTGAAGAACAAATTAAAACATTACCCAAAGTTGATATAACTAAAAGAAAAATTCCTAAATCAGCTTCAAAAAGCAATCTCGCAGACTCTCTTCCAATCAATGAACCAAAAAATGAAGTCGAGAGCAAAGGATCAGACGATGAAAAGAAAAAAGTTGATCAGAGTGAAATACGAAGGAGCATAGAGGAATTTAGAGATATTGAGATGGATAGACATGAATTGGAATCAGATTCAGGATCTCTTGGCAGTTACAGTCTGGAAACGAAACAAGAGTATGAATACGAGCCAATACAAAATCCTCTGGAGGCCCTTACTTATAATGATGAGTTAAAGCAACTGAAATACGCAAGAGATGACTATTTTAGAAACAAATTTCTTCAAGGATTATCTGAAGAAACTAAAAAGGAAGAAAGTGACAAATTATTGTCTCAAATTGCAGAGAAAGAAGCACTTCTTAAAGAATTGGAAAAAATTTCTAATGAATTGGACAAAAAAAGAAATCAATTCACTGCCAAGGAAGAAAGTCCAGCAAATGAAGAAAGTATTTCAGATGATCAAAAATTAGAAAAACAAGATAAATCGGTTGAGGCAAATATTAAAGATGAAGATGGAGATGAGGGTGATGGTGAAATTGAAGCTGAGGCCGAAGGTAAAGTTACGGCTGAGGACAGGGATGAAAAAGATGAACCAATTTATCCAGAGCAAAGTTTAAAACTAGATGAAGATGCAATCATTATGGGAGCAGAAAAAAAAGAAAATAATAAGGGAATTGTTGTTTTAGATCCAGAAAACGCTAATTATGAAGTTTATTATGATGATAAAGCTGATCAAGATGAAGATGGCTTGGCTCCTATTAAAGAATATAATGAAGAAGGATTAATGCCAATTCAACAAACAAATAAGCTATCTGAAAGTGAAGGACTGATTCCAGTTGGAGGCTTCTCCAAACTCAAAGAGCTCCAAGCTTTCGAGGACCCAGATAGGTCTTTACTCCCCGTGCCAGAAGAAAGTCAAATTCCATTTGAGGAAGTTTATTTGACAAAACACCCTGAGTTGCTCAACACAGATACAGTTGGCACTTTAAATAAAGAAAAAGCAATCAAAAAGGCTTTTGGAGAAAAATCAAGAAAGGGTGGGATTCTCAGGAAAAGAGAATTTGAGAACTTCAATCTATCCAATGATGCAATTGATAGACTAAAAAGGTAAGTTTTAAATTTAAGAAATCGTTTATAACTTGATTCTAACTTAAATTAAAACCTTAGAAACCCATTCAAAACACCTGAAGAGAAAGAAAAAATATTCAGAATACTTAGGGCAAAAGAGGAGCTGAATAGTTTGAGGGAAGAAGAGAGAAAGAAAAAACAAACAAAACAAGAGAATACTGAATACAGCGAATCTTCAATTGAAGCTTCAGAGCTGTATCCTGTAGAAAGTACCAGAAGTATACAAAAGCCAACAATTAATAAAATCTCTGATGAGTCCCTTTTGGCCGGAGACTTTGAAGAAGCCTCAGAAACATCTGAGACAACTGGTATATCAAACCCTTTACAAATTATGGTTGGAGAAAAGATTAATTTTTCAGATTCTACTGATACTGTAGCTAGCGAAAACGAAATGAGTGAACTTGCAGTAGAAGTAGGGTTAGCCAGACTCAATGCAATAAAAGCAACAGAAAGAAAGCAAGAGAGAGAAAAAAATAGTGATCATCAACATTACGCTCCTTATGTAAGGAAAAATGTTCAATTCAATCCTAAAAAAATTGTTGAAACAAGGTAAGTTTATATTAGCTTTTTATTCATTATAGTTATTATTTGGATAGTAAAAGAGATGGAAAAAAAGGTAAACTCCGTGAAAATAGTGGGTACATTTCTCAAAAACAGACTTTAAGAAGAAAAAAATAAAAATAATTTATTATTTTGAATTATCGATTATTTTTTGAGTTTTATATATTGATAGAATTTTTAAGTTTATATAACTTTTATTAAAATCTTTCCATTATATATTGTTCAATTTCAAAAATAGAAGGTCTGAGAAGAGGATCGACCTTTAACAAAGATAACAGTAAATTTTTAGCTTCTGGAGGAACTCTTCTATCAAGTACTACATTCCTGTTAACTATGTTAGGGGGTAATCCAACTAGTAAACAGTGTAAAAGAACTCCCAAGTTCCAAATGTCACATTTTCTCAAATCGACCTCTGAATTTAGACTATTAAACATTCTATTAAATAACTCAGGTGGTGACAACCATTTATTTCCTAAGAAAATATCTTTGTTAAAATTTTTGGTCAATTTACTCAACATACCTGAAAAAAGAGTATTTTTGTGTTTTGTAGCCATACCTTTAAATGGAGAGCTCAGCTTTACCATTAGTTTTCCTTTTTCAGAACCCATGTTCTCATTATGTATAGAATCAGCATTATAGAAATTTCTAAGGTCCTCAATAAAAGGCATTGGGTTAAATAAAAACGAATCATCCTGAATATTATTGGGCTGAGATTTTTTCTCTTGAATAATTTGATTTATGTGGTTAATTGTTACAGAGTCAAATTCATTCGAAATATTGATTGATTTAGAGGATTTCCAGAAATCGCATAATTCCAAGTCAACTTCAATTTTGTTTGATTTTTCCGCAAAGTTCTCAATCTTCTTATTAATTTTTGTTATAGTGGCAAATAATAGTTTGGTTAACTTTATTCCGTTACTATCAATATATGTTTCATCCAATGAATGTGATAATTTAATAGACTCTGGCATAAAGTAAATTCCACCTACTCCCTTTGAATGAAGAAATTTGATTGCCTCCAGAACTTGTGAGAAGATTAGTTTTGAGCCGTGAAGTGTGTAAACTTTATTAGCAGTTTCCATATTTGGGTCCATTTTAGGTGCTTGGTATGATTGGGTTGTAAAATTCCACTTCATGCAAGAATGAGGTAAATATTCCATTACAAATACAGAAAATGGGTATGATTGGTCCTGAATAACTTCATTGATACGGACAAAGTTTTTGTGGTACAATAAAAGTGATTGAGAAAACAGTTCTCGAGATATTGATTCGTGAGACATTGGATTTCCATATAATTTACTAAGCATTGAGAAGAAAAAAGAGTCTTTTTTTACAAAAAGAAGCTCATACAAAGCTGGAAAATCCGGATTTGATTGATTGGCTGTATTAAAAAGATCTCTAAACTGCCAAATGTACTCTGCGACTTCTAATTTACTTGAACCTGGGTATGGATTGTAAAGCTCTCTTGAATGGCTAACTAAGCGAAAGTCGTTAATACATTTATGAGGTTTCCAGACTAATGACCCGTTATGAATTTCATTCCAAAGAATTGCTCTAGAAATCTGAATTATATTTTCACCTAAAAATAGAAATTAAACATTTAATAAATTTTCAAATACAAAAATAAGAAAGTTAATCATTTCTTACTTTACCTGCAATCTTATGACCCCAATAGTTGTTATTCAAGAGTTTCCCCCCCCAACCAACATGCATTGAAGTAACTGGACTCTGAATATATTCTTCTTCTCCATCCAAAACAGTTGCAATACTTTCAGTTTTTATGTTGAATCTGCATGTTTTGCTATCTTTATTTAGTTGGTTTATTGTATGTTGTATAACCTTTTCCTGGGTTTTATTCTTTAAGTTCGGACTTGCCTTCTTATTGATAGACTTTATGGGAGACTTTTTGAATTTGTTGGATTTATTGCTTCTATTGGAAGCACTTCTTACCGGAAGTTTTAGTGTACTTTTTTGCTCTTTAGTAGAACCCTTTGCTTTCTTAAGATAGTTTAATGTTCTATTCTTAATTTGAGGACTTTTTGGAGACCCAATTCTTGGATGAGGAGGATACAAGATTGCTTCATCAAACGGCCAATCTTTTCTGGGAGAAGGCGATCTTTTGAATGTCGCTCTTGTGGAAACTCCTCTAAGGCATCTAGTTGGATGAAGGTGATGGGATGGAGAACCAGAATGGTGGGTATTCTTTTTTAAAATGGGTGATTGTGAAACCATTGGCTTAATAGAACTGTTAATCTTAGCGTTCGTTTTTAAAACTGAATTTTTTAAGAACGAATTAGAAGATTGAGCTTTAACTTTTCTAACTGGAGATCCAACTCTTGGGTGAGGAGGGTATAGGATTGCCTCATCAAATGGCCAATCTTTTCTGGGAGAAGGTGATCTTTTGAAAGTTGCTCTCGTAGAAACTCCTCTTAGGCATCTGGTTGGGTGAGGACTTGCACTATGGTGCTTAATTTCAGAATTAGCTCGCGTTTTAGACCTTCCTCTTGAAATTTGCGACTCCTTTTTAGTTGAAGCTGAAGGCTTGACTTTTGTTGGGTTTCTTGAAGAAAGTTTCACATTTTTTCTAGCAACTACAGCCATATTTAATACATAAACTCGATCTGTAAAAAAGATAATGAAATTAAATACTGTTTTTTACGAAAAAAACTAAAATCTAGAGCTATAAACGAAATGTTTTTTGATAAGTATATTTAGTGTGCAATAAATATAAGTCCCTAACTAATAAAAAATTTTGAGAAAATTTAAGGGTCTCACCCCTGCATATTTTTTTAAATCAAATTTATTCAACAGGAGATTAACCTTTTTATTATTAATAGAAAGAACTTGAAGAAATAATTAATATCAAAAGTATGTTAATAAATAAATCAAAAACCAACATTAATAAACAAAAAAAATGTAAATATATTTTAAATATTAATTATTGAGAATTTATATTTTTTAGATTACATATAGTTGCAATTTATTAAATTAAATAGTTAAAATTAACTACTTTCTGTTTAACTCGTACATTTTAATTCAATATATTATAAATTATTACTTTATTATTTAATTATGCTAAAAAGATATAACGTAGGACTAAGACAATACGTTGGGTACCGAGTTCAGTTTTAACTTAAAGTAAAAATCGAAGGAGATGGATTTTAAGTGGTTAACCAGTCTTCAAAAATCACTTTTTTAATTTTCAAAAATGCTTCAGATTAATTTTAGGATTTCACTATTAATTTTATTCTTGGCCATATTAGGAGTGTCATCTGCTCTGAATGGCACTCAGCTCTCAGATATGCTCTCTAATTCTTCGGGTTACTCTTTCCCGTACAAAGAAATGGAAGTAATTATTGGCGGAAAAAGTAGAAGGGTCTTATTTATACCGGATGGGACGAGTGATGAATGCATCAAGGCTGCTGGGGTTAGATGTGAGGCTCTTGAAAAGACGGGCGTTCTTTGTGTTATATATAAATTGATCTCTCTTGACTTTGGATATGGTGTAGAGGGAGTTAAGAACGATTTAAAATTGACTCAAAGTGAATCCAAATACAACTTGATTATGACAATTGATAGAGATTTGGAAAAGGTTGTTTCCGATGAGGAAGAGTACAAGAGAGTGATGCCAGAAATAGAGAGACAAATTAAAAATTTGAAAATTAATTCAAAGTTTGTATTCTTGGTTTCTAAACAAGGGGGAGGAAAGTTTGTATATACGGGGAATGGAGGTATTTCCAAGTTGGAGAGAGGCACTGCTCACTATGCATACCTTTACAATGATAAGGTGGATAATAAGGTAGACATGCTTTCTGGAGCAGATTTAAGAAATATTGAAAGGGCTAGGCAGTTATTTATAGAATATTTAGGTAAAATGGATGGGGGTAGATTTAATGAACGCCAAATAGCCGAGTTAGCAGCTAGACTAAGAGTAATAGACTCTATTTTAAATAGTGATGGCAGCTGCAAGAAATGCCTTGAACTAAATAAGAGCTGCTCTCATTGCTTAGACTTTGTTAGTTCAAAACGAAATAGAGATTATTATGAATTGGCCAAGAAGTTCCGAAAGTATGACGTATCAATCGAAACTAGGATTAGTAAGCACGTTAAAAAAGGGACTTATGCAACTCTATTCGTAATGAGCAATGTAAACGATAGCAGAGTTCCTAACTTTAGTCAATCTATTAGAATTGGTTCTATGGGGAATGTAAAGTCGACTGCCGTGGTTTCTTCCGGCTTAGGGGTGAACTGTCAAGGTCTTTCTGAACAGGATTTGGTTCTAGTTAGAAGAATGATTTCATTATTTAGTGTTTATTTTGAAGATTTAAAGTTAAGAAGTGATTATGACGAACTTTGTGTAGCGGTGAGCCAAATGTCCAAGTCCCCAGAGAGATCAGGGAAATTTGCAAGCCCATACTCTGTGGAAACTTGTGCAGCAGCTACCGCTTTATCCTTGGGAAATTTCTATCCATCATTTATTTCGGAGACAGGTGGGCTTGATCCGGCAACTGAGAACAGTTTGATTGTTTTTTGTTCCGCAGTTTTGCGTCAAGAGCCTCTAGGGCTTGTGGATAATCTTTCTCCAGTATACTCTCCAACTGGAGTTTTGGTTTCTCCAACTGGAGGTAAACTCGATGCGGCCATTTTGTTAATTAAGAGCAGATCAGAGGAGTCTGTTATGACATCTTTGCTGGAAGGAAGCGCTTGTTCATTACAAGATATGTTTAATGCTGGATGGAAATTTGATAAGAAACTCAAGATTTGGGTTAGAGGTAATAATAACAGGATTCCTTTGCCGATAATGGTAAGGTATGGTTTGACAGAAGATGGAAAACTCGCAGCTTTCTCACTAGAAGGTAGAGATGCTTATTTGTATTCCAAAGGAGCAGATGTACTTAAGACAGATCCTGTTTACACACCTACTTACTCTTCCTTGATAGGAGATCGTTGTCTTTCTCCATCAAATGTTGAGAATTTTAAGAGTGTAAGTAAAGTTTACGAGCACGAGACCTTGGCTGAGCTGAATGAAGCCAAGAAGAACGTTGAGTTCGCGGCCTTAAACTCCAAAAAGGCTTCTAAGACCGCAGCAGAAGCAGTTATGAAGTACGAGGAAGCAATTGAAAATGAGAAGAAGGCGATGGAATTAGCCAAAATTGCAACAGAAGTCAAGAATTATCATGATGCAAAGCTAAGAGCTAGTCAAAGGGCAGCTGAATTAGCAAGGCTTGAGGAAAGACTCGTCGAAGCAAGTGAGAAGAGGGCTCAGGCAGCCAATATTAGCGCAAAAGCTCTGATAGAAGCCTCAGAAGCAGAAGCCAGGAGAAGAGAAGCATCTAATAGAGCAAAGATGGCGGCAGAGAAGGCTACTGAACATATAAAAAACGCTCTAGATATTCAGAAGCAGCTCAAGTTACAGTTAAAACAGGACGCCAAGCTTAGTGCCTCTTATGAATCTGCTGTAGTTACAGAAGATAGATTAAGGATTGCACATAATGAGGCCCAGGAGTCACTTGAGAAGATCATCAAAAATGAACGTGAGATCACTAACGACTTTGAAAAGGATATGAACTTGTTGCTTGAAGAGGAGCAAAGATTGAGAAAGTGTATTGAAGAATACTCCAGTAGACGCCTTGCACTCTTAAGCAAGTTGGAGGAGATTAATGCTGTATTAACAGGAAAGGTTGAAGAGTCTAAACGCATTAGAGACCAGCTACGCGAGGAGACGAAACTTAAGCAGCATAAGGTTGAGGCCGAGCGTGCTGAGCTTGGAAAGCTCTCTAACTTAATGGTTTCTCAATCCGCTGAAGTTAATGCTGTTTCGATATCAATCAAAGAATCTGAGATTCTCCTCAAAGAAATGGAGTTGGTCGCTGAACAAAAGGCAAAAGAGGCAGAACAAGCCAGACAAAGCTTTGTTGAGATGAGTGTAAAAATTAAGGAACTCCATGTTATTTATGAAACCTTAACAATTAAGTTGCAGGGCTTATCTACAAACCAGAAGAAACTCGAGGAATCTGTAAAAATTGCAGAGCAGGATCTTAAGTACATGCTGGAAAGGCTTGCCGAAGTGGAGGCCAAAATTTCTGAGTACGAGAAGTCCAGAGCTGCTCTTGACGAGAAATCGAAGGAAGCTAGTGAGCTACTTGCTAGGGAGACGCTTCTTATTTCGAAAATTGAGGAAATCAAAAACAAGCGTTCATTGCGCAAACAGGAGTTGGACAAATTGTTAAAGGAACAGTCTGATGTGAAATCTGAAATTTCAGCTTTATTGGTTGCTAGAAACTCAGCTCTAAACATAATTAGAAAGACATTGAGTGATATAGAAGAAGCCAGAATTGCTAGTCAGGGAAAAACAGCTGAAATGAGATCACAATACAAGAAAACTTCAATGCTTGCAGAACAATCTATGAAATCAGTCGAAGAACTTAAAGAGGAAGTTTGTAATGCATTGTCAGAAGAAGAACTTAAAAGCAAGGACCTTCAGGAGAAGATTAAGTGCGTTAATAGAATGGACTTGGAAGTCAAAAAGGCAGAGGATGAATTGTCAAAATTTTCTCAGATTCCGGCACCAGAAGTTCCTTTGACACCACAAGTTCCTAGAATAAGATGTGAAGTTATCGAATAAAGAGGTTAACATTGGAATACAGTAACTTGGTTTTTCTTTTTCCAGGGGAGATAAATCAGTACTCGGTTTATTATGATCCGGCGATAAATATCTCCTAATTGGTTGAAAAAGTGGAATTGCTCTTTTATTAGAAGATAAGTATAACAATGTCTGTTTCATAATCAAGTATTGATGATTTGTGTATGAAAGGTGATGATAATGTTTCATTAACTTTCTTATTTCTGATTTCCCCAAAACAAGTTGCGTTTGAAAATTTTGGCTTCGGTAAATAGTACCTTCTTTTTGTGCGTATTCACATACATAATTGGTGCGGGATCAGTTCTTTTTATCAATACTTTGTGGTTTTAGCTTAATGAAATCTTCATTGTTTCTGGATACAACTCTTCCCGTTAGTCACTAAAATTAATTCCACTTTTGTACCATTTGAATCTTTTCGCAAGCTCGAGTTATTTCGTAACTATATCTGGGAATTAGGTCTAGAGATACATTAAAGCGAGTTCATAGTTGGCGATCTTTGCTGCTGAAAATAAGGGCGAATGTGTTTCATTATAAGGCTATTTTCAGGCGCCAAAAGTATAGGTTAAAAAGATCATTATAAGAAGTTATTTGAACTGAATAATAGTGGAGTCACATAAAATAATGATAGAAAGTAGGGGTTTAATTGATAATGTATTTGTTTATAAGGCTTTCTCTTAATTTATGCGATTATATGACTTTGAGGACTGTAGTTGGCAAAGTTTTCGTTAATAGACAGTTATCTTTGAAATATAGATCCTTAATACTTGGATTGATTTTGGTTCTTTTAAGTATTTTGGGCAGAGTATACTCAGAGGAGGAAAATTCTTTGGATATTAATGAATTGAACCGAAATGTAGTTTTTACAGAGAATTTTTTCTTGAAACATATGCCGGATGCCATAAAAGGTGAGGAGGAAGAACTTGAGGGATTGAACGAAGTAGAGAAGGCGAGCGATGTGAGTTTAATTCCATTGGATGAAGGGTTTGCTCTAGATTTGGATTCCAGAACAATGACTCGTGATGCCGCTGATAAAGAACGCAACGAACTAAAGGAACAAGGAGAGAAGGTAGTACGTGCACATGATGATGAACTTTCATTAGTAGATCAGAGCGAAGAGGGTGATGAAGATGAATTGGCTGGAAAGACAGCAAGGCTAGATGATACAGACCCCGGCTCTGAAGAACAAAAAAAAATATTGAAATATGATACTGAAATGAAGAAAAAATTGCTTAAGTTGAGACGTAAACACAAGTATAAGGATATTCCATTTGGCCCTCAGGCACCTCACCTTGCAATGGTTGACATATTTGGAGTGACAGGAGATGATAAGGCTGATCCGTTTATGGAGATATATGGTTTGGAATCTAGGTATGATGCTGAGAGAGACCTTGAAGATTATGAAAAATTGCATAAATCTATAGTAAACCCCACAAGGTTCACAGAAAGAAAGATTTGGGGCTATGATCGTGAAGGTAATCCAATTTTTTCAAATAAAGTGTGGTTAGAACAGAAGATGGCAGGGAAAGTCCGAGAACTTAGTGACGGACTTAAAAAGAAGCGTATGGAGTATGTTTTTCCTCAGAAGGTCTACTCTACTGATGGATTTTTAGATGAGTTTGGTACATTTGGAGTAAAATCACTATTAGACAAATTTAGATTTAAACAGGAAAACAAATCTAAGGAAATAAGAAAGAAGAAGCCAGTTAGCAGATTAAAAGAGCCTGAAATTGTAAAAAAAGATATAGTGAGTGGCTCAGGAAGATCTTCGTCCGATAAATACATTAATTGGCAGGTGGCACGGAGGGCAATAAATTTAGAAGCAAGAAATAGAATGTTAAAGGACTTTGAAGGAGTAGAAGATCTTACTGGAGTCATTAACACAATGAATAGTAACAACCCTGATAAGCAAAGGAAAGACGCAGAAAAACTATTTTGGGATTATTACTCTAAAAAGAAACAAAAACAAAACGTAAAAAGAAAGGAAATATACGATTTGGAAATTTCAGTTCCAAAAATTTCGTTTAGTTTCCTACCAAAAAAAACGCTCTTTGGATGGAGGGAGGTTCTTTTTGATCATGCAATGGAAAGTATTGGAAAATATGATCCAAGAGCGAGTCAAAGGTACGATGCTCTATTGGGAAGTGACCAAGTAAAAGGTATTCCACCGAGCAGAATTATCGCAGACATGTCTAGTGAAGCGATTCGTAGGCCAAAATCACACCGTTTATTCCGAAATCCCATTAAAGGTTTTAAAAACATGTTTTGCGAGAGACTAGAAAAAAAATATAGAGAATATGTGGCTGACGTGTTACAATTAAGAGCCGAAGACAGTACCTATAATGAACTGATTGATTTATCTAACAAATATGAAACTCGACAAGACTGGCTAAGCCAGTTTGAAAATTCGTGGGTATTTATTCCTCAAGGTAAGGCGATTCCAGATGATATAAGCGACAATAAGGGAGGAAATGAGAAAGCTGATAATGAATATGAGAAAGAATTACTTTCATTGGAACTAGATACTATTCCTGCAAGTGAAATTGAAATATTTATGCGTCAGCATATAAAAGAAGATATTCTATTTCCTGATGAAGACGAAGCGGAAGAGGCAAAGGAAGCAATGTTCCGTAAAATTATTCGCGAAACTGCAGAATATAATGAAAATCAACCATACAAGCTGCCTCACAGGCCAAGAGCATCTAGATTACTTCCTGTAAATGATGGTTACAACCCAGCTGAAGCTTTGAGACAAAAAGAAAGCTTTAATACTAAAACTACAATACTCAAGCAAGGCAGGGTCGTTGCTGACCCTATAGAAAAGAAGAAAATAAAGATTTTGGAGAAGGGAGAAAGGAAGAGGGTTGAAGCAGGTTTGGATCGAGAAGAATATAGGAGAAATCTTGAAAGACAGATTGTTCAAGATTCAGAATTGTATTTAAATGAAGAAAAAGAGAAACCGTTCAATAACAGGAAGAAGTCCGCAAAAAACGGTTTAAACCAGGCTGGGATTCTCGAAAATGAGTATGTATACAAGGATGAAGGCAGAGGCCCAAGAATGAAAGACCCCCCATTTTCCACCGACGCAGTTTCTTCTACAAAAACTCCTTATAGAAAAAATCCCATACACAAGACAGTTTTTGATAATTATTCGGGTATCGACGACACTTAATATATTAGTAGAAATTTTAGGTTTGGAATGAGCGGTAACGATCTAAAAATGTACATTTGAATTGATCTTTTTTTGGATTAAATTTGATCTATCAATGGAAAGTTTTTTGCAATTTCTCAATGTTTCTGTCGAGAAGGTTTCATTATCTTTTGATAAATTAGCAAATTTCGATTCATTGAATTTTATATTAATTTGTTCTGTTTTTATAGCAATTTAACCAGAAGGTTATGTTGTTTAGATTAAAGCCCTTAATATTTATATCGTGTTTAGCGCTTTCTCTGAGTTATTTTCATGACTTAGCAGATAATAAAGTATATGCTGATGGACAAATTGAACATTCATATTTACAACTTGGGAAACCGAGGTGTCTTTCATGTTTTTCGGGAATTGGGGGGAGAATTAGAGGTTGCTTTGGCCGTTTGTTTTGTATAAATCGGGGAGATGGTGGCGACGGAGAATACGATGGTTATCAAAGCCATAATAATAAAATGCCACTTCAAAAAAACAAAGTTACCAGATGTGGAATTAAACTTAGGGCAACTAAAAGTAGTTCAAAAAGGAATGACCCTAATGTTTCAGATTTGGTTATCGAAAACGAACATACAGAAAATACCCAAGGTGTGGGTGCGGAAGATAACAATTTGCCTGACCAAGGTAATGAGGAAACTCAAGGTAATGAGGGAACTCAAGGTAATGAGAGAACTCAAGGCAATGAGGGAACTCAGGGCAATGAGGGAACTCAGGGCAATGAGGGAACTCAGGGCAATGAAGGAACTCAAGGCAGTGAGGGAATTCAAGGTAGTGAGGGAACTCAAGTTAAATCAAGCTTGGGAGGTCAGTCTTATAGACCAATACCCAAACCTCGGAATAAAGATAAGAAAGGTTTAGAGGGAAAACCAACTCCAAAACCACGTACAATATTTTTTAATATGAATTGAAGTAGATTCTGGATTATCTGGCTAAGACTAAGATGTTTCTGGTAACAAAGATACAGATTCAATTTCTGAAGTTTATCTTAAATAATTCTGAATAACATGCTATTCTTAAAAGAAAAAGAGTTTTAATATAAGGGCTCATTTAAGTTATTTCGTGGTGGATTCTTGACTCTTGGAAACACTTGAGCTTGAAAGTAGTTTTTACAGGTGAAGGTTCGATTTTATTGCATAAAAATTATTAGAAGCCTATGATTTTGGATTCAGGCATAGAAAACCATTATTTGATTGATTATAAAAGAAACCGTTTCTCAGCTTAATGGACTTTTGTATGTTAATTTTGCAATTATTTATGTTTAAGAAATAAAAATAGTATTTTATGATTTTTTTAGAAGATTTGTAAAGTTTACAATCAAAGAATATATTAGTACCGTCAAATTTAGTTTCTAGAAGTTTACTCAGAGCACTTATGTTAGAAGTTCTTAATGTTAAGAAAATGTTTCAGTATAATATTATAAGCTGGGATCTTGTCTCCATAATTAAGAAATCTGAATCATCTTGATATCACGATAAATAATATTTTTTTATAAATAAAAAATATAACGCATGAAAATATTATGGGTATTTTAAAAATTAAGATTAAAGTGGGGGAAGTTAGATTTACAAGTTTTTTATTGGATTAATGAAATCTTTGAATTGGGGTTGAGAACATATTTTTGAATTTTAGTTAGGTTATTCCTATTCCAATTACGTTTCTCAACGAACAATTCTCGAAAAAGCAATTATATTTCTTTTTATTTATCTTGGTTTGTTTTCCAACTCTTATTAAATTGTGAATAATCTTTAAACTAAAATTCATAATGTAATATTTTAAGTTGGAAGCTACAATTAGACCTGCTAGAGTAATCAAACACTTGCTAATACTGGTATGAAAAAACAGATAATCAAACAATTATCTACTACTCTGAGAATATTTAAACAATAAAATTTAGTTTTTCTTTGGAAACAACTCTAAGGATTCATCTGAAATATATTTAGTTACGCCTTATAATGTGGTACTACAATTAATTTTAGTTCCATAAGGGATTCAATCTCAGTTGAAAATATGTTATCCGTTTTTTTTTTCTTTTTTTTTTTTTTCTAAAGTACTTAAAAAAAATGTATCTGTCAATTAAACACAGTCTGGTGGCAGATTCCGAATTTGTTACTAAGTATGTTAAAAATAAACGATTAAAGGGAATCATAAATAACGACTATGCAGATTAATATGAGAATAAACACGTAATAATCAACAAAAACTAGGAATAAAGCGCTCATAAATTTTGCAAAAAAAAACAGATTCTTTCTGCGAAAAGTTATATTAAATTTTTTGAATTAGGTATTTTATATATTGAGTGTATGATGAGTTATTCAAATGACTATCATTAATCAAATTTGGATTCAGAGTACTTTGAGGATTCAGAAATAATAACAATGATCGAGTTCGCATTGTATACCTCTGAATTGATTTGCAGATACCAGAATTGTAAAGTCTAACTACAGAGATCCCGCTATTGAATTAGTTGCAAAGAATATGTACTGCTTAAAAGTTTATTTAGATTATCAAGGTTGAGATGCGATTCAAATAAAACAGAAAGAAAGACCCGAAGCTAAAAAGAGCTCTTTACAAATTTTTGAGAAGATTTATTTGGCTAATAAAGAAAAGCAAAAAGGATGAAAAAGTACCATACAAGGAATACCCATAAATCCTTCGTAAATTAAAGATGAATTAAGTAAAAGTAGAAAATACATTTAAAATGTTTGCTTGATCAAGGCACTTTTACATAAGCGATCAAGAATCAAATCTGGTACATTCTATTTTGAGATTGCCTATTAAAGACCTTGGAAGATAAAACAAGGGTCCTTAATTTAAAATTCTTTCAAAATTAACCAACTGAAAAAAGGCAAAAATACAATCAGGACGGATTAAGACAAAAACTTCTGCTTCTAAGCACAAACAAGAAGTAAATGGTTCATGAACTGAATTCAGTTGCAATTATAGTGATTAATATGTATGTTTCGATAATTTTTAATTTTATGACGGCAAATATAACAAAAGACTTATTCTACAAGAATTCGCACTTTCAGCAAATTTTAATTTAGGGTTACTTATAAAATATTATTTTGGTCAATGAATTACCAGTTTATTATATTTAAAAAACGTGAAAATATGGATTAATAATTGTTTAATTTACGTATTGTATAGAATTCAAAGCCAATACTTAATCATTTTTTATACTTTAATGTAATATTTACATAAATTTTTATCTTGCCAATTAACTGGTAAAGACAGTTATGAAAGTACATTGTTTTCAAGTAATATTTAAACAATATTTTATTTTTTGCATTATATACACAGAAAAATTAAGTAGAAAATCTTAACTAATAGTGCTTGGAATTTAATAAATGGGGGGAAGAGAAATAACAAAAAATTGAATGATTGGATTATAACTACCAATTATACAAACATTACATCGAAGTTTATGATTAAAAAGAGTTCTGCTGCAATCATAAAACCGAAGATCACTGTCTCCTAGCACGTCTAATAAGCACCTATCTTTTATATTAGTTTAATGTTAATCCTAATGATCATGAAATATCAAAACTAATCAACAAGTGTAAATCAGTTTCATATAAAGAATATTCATTTGAAAAGATTAATATATAAAGAAGCGATCTTCTCATCTGAACATCAATTTATACTAATCTTTGTTTACGAAACGAGTTCAGTATTCATAAAAGATTTCTAGTTCACAGAAATGTGAAGATTCAATTCATTTCAAAACATTTCTGACAAATATCTGTAAATTTTTGTTCAAAACAATTTTAAAAATTGATACTTTGTTTATTTATTTCTCAAATTATTTGTTCCAAAATAAACCTGGATTTTCAATGTGTACGTCTCTAAAAATATATAGATTTCATATTTTTACTACTGCCTGTTATATGAGAAAAGTGTTTTTTGACTTAAAATATTTAGATAATTATGCGCTGCATATTTTGTTGATTTGTTTATTAGTTTTTCGGGCGGGATGTCTTATTCATTTTTACAAAACTTGTAAAAAAAGAACAACAGAAACATTATTTTAACTTTTTGATGGTTATCTGAACCGTTTTGAGTTCAGTAGATACGTTCTAAGTGATTTATGTGTTGAAAGTTATAATAATTTGATGTGTGAAATTCAGTTTTTATTTATTTTGTTCATCTCAATAAATGTATTTCTCCAACTAGTATTGTTGGAAGGTAACAATCATTTAAATCAGTCATTCGAGTTTTCGATTATCAGGCTGAGAAGCTCCACTGGTTGCGGATTTAAAAGTCTTTTATGTTTAGGATCAAGCCGGAACAGGAAAAGTGGAAGTTCAAGTTCTAGAAATGATGAGGTTGAAGGGAAGAGCCGAAATGGCCGATCACCCCCTTCATCTTCCCTTCAATCTCCCTCTCAATCCCCCCCTTCATCCCCTTTTCAATCTCAATCTGCTTTTGGAAGTTATGCCTCTTTCCCACCTGAAGACCCAAATAGTATTTATGTTAATATGTTACGGACACAACCTCCTTTCCCTTTGTTCCCATTTACCAAAACTGATTCAGGTTGCAAGAGCAACAAAAAATCTAGTGATAGTGAACATAATGATGAGGTTGACGGTGATAGTGAGGTTGATAGTGTTAGCGAGGATGATGGTGATAGTGAAGATAGTAGTGGTTCTGACAACGATTACCAAGATATGAGTTCATTAGGTGCTGCATATGTTCAACGCCCACTTTCGGTTTATGACAATGTTCCAGAAACTAGAGGTCTTCAATCTACGAATTCACTCTACGAGAATGTTCCAGGTGAAAATTCTGTAACTAATCATGGCAATCATGCAGAACCTCAAGGAAAACCACCATTACCTCCAAATTGGAGAGAACGTGCATTGGCTGCAAGCCAAAAAAAGAACCAAGCCTGTCATCGTAGCCACCATAATAGCCATCGCCGTCGTCATCACCGTCGCCATCGCCATCACCATCACCATCACCATCATCATCATGGTCCACGTCAAGAAGATAAATATGACTCTCCACCACCAAAGCCTTTCTTACCATCTGGTTTCCGACTCAATAGATATTGAAACTACGGATAACAAGTGGTTTCCGTTAGTGAAAGAATAATGGCTCATTTTAATGAGCAAATTTTCAGGTTCGATGTTTACACTTATTTTTAATCAATTGTCAGTTTAAATGATTTTGAACTGATTTTATTGAAAGATTTTTGATTTAAAATGATGATTTCAAGATTTTCTACTTTAATTTGGAAAAAAAGGTTTGCATTATTTAGTTTATTTTAACTTGTTTGTGACTACCTATCTGAGCAAGCATTTAACTATATGACCGACTATTATTCCGATCAAGGCACTCTTTTGGGGGAATAGCTCAATTTCTGAATATTTCTCTACCTATTTTTGCCTTAATGAAGTCCTTTAAATTTTTTGATATTGTAAGTTTTGTAGCGATAAAAAAAAGTTTATCGAAAGGATTTGGAATTGAAAAAATAGCAAAAGAAAATTTAGATAGTTTAATAGTTTTGAAGAAAGGGCAAAATCTCATGTGTAATTAAGATTTGTTAGCAAAATTTAAGAATATTGCGCAATTCTGTATGAGAATTGCAGTAAGAATTGAGGAGGTATCTAAAAATTGATATTTTTCCATTTTCTGGTCGAAGGAAAAAATTTTTGGTAATTACAAAATATTTTGACTCTAAAGTAGCTTAAGGCGTTTAAATTATGTTTCATTAATCGCGGTGGTATACGGTTAGTAAATAGTTGATGGATCTATTGCTGTGTTTGAAACTCAATCTATTTTGTCCATTAATGTTTTTCGTTTCTTTAAATTTGTTTGCTTAATTTAGTAAATGTTTAAATGCACAGTCTTCTCAAATAATTCTAATGAAGGAAAAATAAGATAATCACCACCGTATAATTCAAGGAATTTTAGTGATGCGAACTCATAAAAACTGGGATAAATCCCGGAGTAATCAGTTTTTTTTATAATTGAAAAAGACGATAAGGTGTTTAAAGTACCGATAAGAACTCCAACCCCATATTGAATGAGAAGTCCCTTCTAGATTTTTCCAGAGGTTTGGAAGACAATCTACTTCCCATTATTTATTTACTTAAAATGCAAATAAACTCTGCTTATTTCAATTAAAGCATCTAAAAAAAAATATTTAGGATTTTGTACTATGTTAAACATTGTTGACTTGAATAAAATTTCAGAGGTTTTCCTAAGCATGTTTCTTGAATTTAACTATGTAATTCACATAAATATGTATTATTAATTACTCGATTTATTTCAAATTTATCAATGCATCTATGAAAATGAGTATTTCCAATTATTTGAAATATTCTGTAGTTAATGAATTCGAAGCAATTTTATTGGTAGATTTCAGGAAAGAATTAGATAAAGCTGGCTTGATCGATTCAAAGATTGAATCATAAATACAATATTTAGAAAGAAATTTTAAAGTAAAACTATTAAAGTTATTAAAGCATTTGGTTATAGAAACTTGATAGAGAAGTATTAATCTAAATATGTTTAAAAAAGATATTTCAAAGGAACAAATATTTGTAGTTGACTTTACATATTACTGTAATTTGAAGTTATTAATAAGATGAATATATTCATTTTGATCTGCTTATCCATGTGAAGCTAAAAGCTTAAAGTGTTAAGATTGAAATCATAAAGAATCTAAAGAATATTTACATCCTAATACTGAAAAAAAGCCTCTTGGCACATTTTTGTTCTGAAAATAATTTACTGATTAACTTTAATATTAGAAAAAATAGCTTTAAACCACAAAACTAAAAAAATATGAGAATTATGTAGTTAATTTGTAATATAAATCGGGGTTTTGAGTTTTTTCCAAATTGCGATGTGATTATAAACAATGATTATATTCCGCATGGGGCACAAACTAACACACACCTAAGTATCCAGTTTTTTAAAGGGGGTGGGGGGTGACAACGAGCGTAAAATACATAAACATGTTATTTTGGATATTAAAGAATTTAAAATAGCAAAAAAGATTAGAAGTTTTACTGAGAATTTTTATCAAGCCACGAAATATTTTCAAAATTTTAAGAATAATATTTTTCAGAAAATGTTTTTATTAAGCAACAAGGCAGCATTTATTTCCGTTTTTGCTATTGCATTCACATTACTTAATAAAAATGATATTAAGTTAGATCTTGACAAAATCTCAATGATTTCTTTAAGGGAGCCAATTCAAAAAGTTGGAGAATCGATAAAAAATTCGGAAGATAGCATTTCTGAAAAAGTTCCAAGGCTATTCAAGAATATATCTCCGTTGAATATGGATATAACTGAAATTAAAATGGATCCAGTATTATTCCAAAACTCAAATACAAGTAGAGCATTAAATTGTTATGAGAGCTTACCTCAGTACACTTTAATTAGAGGTATCTTAAGTGAATATTCATATTTTCTCACTATGTACTATAGATTGAAATGTGAGCATTACAATGAATATCATGATGGCACAAGATGTGGTGACACACTTTTCTTAATTGACCTACTGGAAAACAAGGCTGAAATCTTGAAAGAAAAATTTGTGAGCAAGAAAAATGAATGTTTTTCGCTTGAGGCAAATGCTATTTCTGTTCAATCCAGATACTTCAACTCGAATGGTTTTGTTGGAAGATCAGAAAATATTCTGAAAGATTACGAACTTCTGATGCTAGAGAGATCTTTTTTAAGAAGAGTTATTTCTCAATTTGAATCTACTTTAACCAATAAGACTATTGAGTATGAGCTCTCATGTATGAAAAATGAAAAGGCAGAAGATAATTCTGTTGACTGTCATTTATTGAGGACCGAATGCTGGATTTTAGAATCTGAGTTGCTATCTCTTTCAGAGGAGCATTTTAAGAGAGTCTCATTGTTCGAAAGGACGAAGGATATTTTGGTATGATTAAGTGAAAATATTATCTTTGATTGTTAAGACCTTGGAACAATATGATATCAAATATTTGGAAAATTCAAATAATTAAGCTGAATAATTGATTTTATACGTCGAACTAGATTGTAGGATCGACTATACCAGATTATTAACTTTTTGACTACTTAAGACCAATTATATTCATTTTCTATTCATCTTTAAATAATGCTTTTGTTCTAGAGATTGATTATTGACAAATTAAATTTGGAAATGGATTTGAGAAATTTTGTCAGTTTTAACAAGAATGTTAGCTTTTTAGCATTTATTTAATACTTTTTTTTTAACTCATTAATGTAAAGTGCGCTCATATTTAAAACTACTTTGATTTTCATTGTTTTAAACTATTATACTTGGACAATTTTTAAAAGTATGGCCTTATTGAAGAGTAATTATTTATTATTCAAACACAATCACTAAATAAAAATTGTTTTACGAAATACAATTCAAAAATTGGACAAAATAAATAGATATTTAAATAATCAGACAGTTAACATTAATCTTCTAAAATAACAATATTAAACCTAGTTCCATTTTTTATTAATTATTTGATATTGATCGAAGGTTTAATATTTAAATACTAAGTTCTGCAAAAATTTAAGTCAGCTTAAAGTGAAAATAATTGTTTTCATTTAATCAAAAAATAACAACCTTTAAAACAATTCAAGTTATCTAAATTATTTTTCCGAAAATTCGGTCGAGGCATAAGAAAAGTAACATTTTTTTGCGAAAAATTAGTCAATTTAATTTATTAATTCATGTTTATATTGGATGGAACATATTAAGGCTGTTTTAATTTAACAAAGATAATTCCATTATAGATTTATGTTCTTTTTAGAAAGTTTGTTTTTATAATTTCGGTTAGAGATTTCCCATAAATAAAGACTAACTATTGAACAATAAGGAGAAAATAATCGTCTGTAATTCTCAAAAATATCCTTTGTAATCTCTTTGTGTCCATATATAATTTTCAGCGCTTTTTTAATTGCAGTATCCGAAAAACTAAAAACGTTTTTCCTATTCATACAAAATATCATAACCATTTCTGCACTCCAAACTCCGATCCCATCTAATTTAGTTAGTTCTTCACAAACTTCTTGGTCATCTTTTTCATAAAGCAGATTTAAATTGATCTCTCTATTAACTATTTTATCGGCAATTCCTTTAATAAATGTTGCTTTTTTTAGGCTTAAACCAACTTTTTTAATTTCTTCTACTGAATATGTGGAAATAGTTACAGGATCGATGCTTTTGAGCATTCTCTTGGCTCTTTCCCAAATACTGACCTGAGCTTTTTGAGAAAGTTGTTGGCCTATAATGATAAAAAACAATCCTTGAAAAAGGTCATCTATACATTCCCTTTCAATATAGCCAATTTCCTCAATAATAATTTTTATTTTTTCATCCTTCAGTTTTATTATTTCTAATTCTTTTTGTGAGTAATCAAACTTCATTAAAGAGTTTTAGGATAAATTGGTCAAAAAAAAAAATTGTAAATTTTTTCTTAAGAATAATTTACAAACAAAAATCAAATGGAAGCGATAATTTTGTAAAAATTGTAAATAAAAATATATATTATATAAAAATTTAGTAAATTTATAATATGAAATTAGTTGATTATGGTTTATCGTTTTAAAATATTAATAATGAAGTAATTTAAAACAAGAGCTAACAAATTGCGACAATATAGAAATGTAATTCAAAAATCAAATAGGTTCAATTGATCTTGCTGATTTTTGTTTTTTAACATAGTTGAACCGTTAATTTCTTAAATCAAAAAGTCTTCAGCACTGATAACTAAAGAAAGTGATAATAAACAATTGAAAATAATAATTCTTATGAATCATACAATAATAGATAATATGAATTTATTTAATATACCTTTAAAGTTAATTACCGTGATATATTTCTTAATTTTTTGATTGCAATAAAAAAGTGAATTCAAATTGGTCAATGTTATTCTAAAATTTTAATATGTAAACTAAATAAATATGTTCTGAAAAAAATATTTGAATAGAATAAGAAACATAATTCGGTAATTGTATTGTGATTAAACATAGAAATTGAGA